TGCCGCCCGCTGCTCCCCTCAGCAGTGTACTTCGGTCCTTCTGCCTGCTCTGCTTCCTGCTCTGGCTCTGGTGAATTCTCTCACCCTCCCGCGCTTCTGACTGTACCCAGTGCTTGTATAATAAATAAAAAATAAATAAATCTTAAAAAAAAAAAAAAAAACCTCAAGAAACTAAAAGCAAAAGCTGTAGGGAAAAGCCCCCTGACTTCAGGTAGAACTAAGAAAGCTGCAAAATGTTAGCTATTGGCTTGTGCCTGAGAAAATGGTGGTCCTCAAGTCCATTCCTGTTTGAATGTCTGGATTCCCTGCCGTAACATTTGTTGCTGCTAAAAACTAAAATGAGGTATCTTGGAGAATGCTGTACATTTAAGAATAAACTTTAGGAAAAATTAAAAAATCACAGGCTGGCTCATCTTCTCTTTGGCTCTTCCGACTCAGTCATGTCTACCTGAGCTGTGAAGTCAGGGGAAATCATGCCCAAGTGTGCTGTTTTCAGTCTTGGTTCTACCCTGAATTGTGCACCACCTGGAATCCTGGAATTAATCCAATGCATTTGAAATAGCAAAAAAAAAAAAAAAGAAGAAGAAGAAGGGGCGTTCCAACATAAAACACCACAATGGCAAACCAAGTAATCAGAAATTCACAGAACCCACCTCCAATGAAGCGCTGGAATGACATCTGGATGGTCACCCAGCCATCCCCTCCAGCCCAGGAGCAGTCAGCAAAGAGGTTAAAATGCCCCTCCTGGGAGCAGGTGACAGGCTGGTGACAAAGCTTCCTGTGGCCAAGGCCAACAAAAAAGGTGTGTGGAGTTGTCACGAGCAGAGGGTTGAACCTAAGTGTGGTAATATCCAGATGTTGCATAATATTGTTTGGAGGAGAAAATCCAGGGCAGTAAAAAAAAAAAAAAAAAAAACCCTACAAATCAGTTCACATGTCTTGGTATCCAGAAATTTCTGCCTTATAACTCATTTGGCAAGGAATCAAAATTAGTATTCAGTGAATCTGGACTCACCCTGATATTGGCAACCACAAATGCAATGATAGTTCTCAGGCTCTGACATGGGGCAAGTAAAGAACAGTGCACCACCGCTTCCCCTGTACCTGCCCTGCACTCATCCTCCACATGGGAACCAGCATTCCAGGAGACCTAAGTCAGATTCCATTCCTCCTCTGCTCAGAGCCCTTCAGCGGCTCCTCACTCAGCCAGTGAAAAAGCTGAAGCCTTTATGATGGCTTTCAGGCCTAAGTGTGTTAGGGATCTTCGTCCCTACCCCATTAGCTCCTCTCCTACCCCTGTTCCCTGGCTAACTCCACTCCACCTGCACTGACCTCCCTGCTGTTTCCCCAACATGCCAGACACAAGCCTGCCTCAGAGTCTGCGCTTCTTCTCCAGATATTTTCATAATTCACTTTGCTCAGATGCCACCTTCTCAGGGAGGCCTTCTCTGACTCTTCATTTAAATAAAAACTTCTTGCCACTGCCCCTCCCTTGGCTGAGGCATTCCCCATTCCCTTTAATTTTCCTCCATGGCACTCATCACCTGACATTTGTCTTCCTCACTGGTTTGTCAGTCTTTCCCTACAAATGTCAAAGTACCACAGGCTGAACATATTGGCTGCACTCTTCACTGCTATTAGCCCAAGTACATTCAATAGTGCTTGGTCTACAGAACATAGACCCTGCTGCATCCATGCTTGTTGAATGAATGAACTAACATAGGAATCCCCCATTACTATGTCCACAGGTTCTGTCCCTGTGCTGACAGCTCGCACACTTCTATGTCTAGTGCCATGTGTGATCTCTTACTGCCTTCTGCACAGCTGATGTCCCAAAATCACAGCACACCTCGACATCCCAACTCAGCTGATCAGCTCCTCAAGAAGCCCCTTTCTCATTTTGGTAATAGCTGCATTATTTCCAGTCTCCCAGGTCAGAAATTCTTGGGCCTAATTCTGGTCCCTCTGGCTACCTCATCCCCCATGTCCTATCTCTGCAGCTTCCAGTCTCTCTGGTCCCACTGCAACTGAAGTATATAACAGAATGTAATTTTCCTGGGTCACCTGATCCTAAGAGAGTCCAGGAGACTCATCACCCAGCAATAAAAACCTGGATTCCTCCCTTTATACAAACACCCTCATGTTGACAGAGCCTTTATGCAGACATTATGTCACCCACTTTTCACAACAACCCTGAGCTTGGGTTATTCCAATGAACAGATGAAAAACAACTTCAGAGAAATAAAACAATTTGCCTGAGGACACAGAGTGAGTAAGAGGGAGAACTGGGGACTTGAATCCAAGTCCTGTCCCCAGCTGTCAGCAACCTGTATCTCCTTAAGTGTAAAACACTGTCTCTAGTCAAGTTGCATAACTTTTCTGGACCTCAGTTTCCTCATCTATAAAACAGAATAATGGACTCTAGGTCACAGGGTTTTTATGAGGATTCAATGAGTTAATCCATATGAAGTCTAGAATGGTGACTGGCAGCTGGAACAATGAATAAATGTTAACTCATTATTATTACTATTTTAGTGACTGAGGAGTTTAAACTCCCAAAATCATTCAGAAACCTTGTAGATCTGTGTGTTTTTCCTGGGGAGAAAATCCTTAGCTTCTAATTCTTAAAAGATTCTATGATCAAAACTTTACAGAAGTAATGGGCAAAAGAAAGACCAAGAATATGGTCAGTATTGAATACAAGTACATGAGCCAGACCCACAACCTCCCCCCTCCCCAACAACTTTACAATCAGAACTAAAGCGGGCCTCCCTGGTGGCGCAAGGGGTTAAAACAAAACCTATGAAGCTATCCGCAGCCGCTGTTGCACAAGTTCGATTCCCGCCCAGGGAGCAACCCACATGGTACAGTAGACCTCTCCTGACTCGCCCGCTGCTCCCCTCAGCAGTGTATTTCAGTAGATCTGCCTGTTCTGTCCCCCACTCTGTCTCTGATGACTCCTCTCATACACCACACCTCTGGCCTATACCCCAGTTCTTGTATGCATAAATAAATAAATCTTTAAAAACAAAACAAACCTAAGAAATAACCAAATCAAGAAGGCAAATATGTAAACACAAAGCAGAATGACAAAGCAGCTATGAGCACCAACAGCCATTATCTTGGCACGATAATGGCTCCTACATCACACTGGTAAAACACTCAGAAGAGCACCAGGCAAAACCAGATGCTTCCAACACACTTAGCTCGTTTCTCCCAACAGTTTCTTATTCATAAAAGGAACATCCTGTTTGAAATTCTTTTTTTTTTAAAGATTTATTTATTTATGCATACAAGAACTGGGGTACAGGCCAGATGTGCGGAAAGGTGAGAGGATTCACCAGAGACAGGGTGGGGGAACAGAACAGGCAGATCTAGTGAAATACACTGCTGAGGGGAGCAGAGGGTGAGACAGAAGAGGTCTGCTACGCCATGTGGGTTGCTCCCTGGCTGGGGATCAAACTCATGCTGCAGAGGTTGAGGACTGCTTCATAGGTTGTGTCTTAACCCCTTGGGCCACCAGGGAGGCCCCTATTTGAAATTCTGTAAACATCTCAGGTCAAACCACCCTTTCCTCTTTGCTGCCAACACCAAGTGGCTATGGTACAGATTCAGTGATCACATGTTCAGAAAGAAGCTGGTCAACATTCCAAAAACAGTAGCTTAGACTGACCATTTCACTCCTCCCCTCTTTATGAGTTAGTTTCCTCATCTTTAAAATGAGGGTGATTGGTCTGGATGATCTTCGAGACACCTTCCATCCCTGAGTCCACTGACTTTAGAAAGGCAGATACAAAGCAGTGATTGACTCTGTTCCAGCTGAGGAAACCAGGCCTACCTGGTCATTCCTATGGTCATCCCTGGCCTACTCCTTGGAAAAAACCTTTCTCCTCTGCTAAGGGCCATAGTGATCATGCTGCCCAGTTTCCGGGTAAGGAAGCTGAGTATCAGAAGGGGAAGTGCCTCAACCCACTGCCAGCTGGGTCAAGAGTCTGGACCCTGGGTTTCCAGACTCCTTTCAATGAGATTAGAGGGAGGGCAGGATCACCTGGAGCACCACAGAGATGGTCCTTTCGCCTGCCTTGGCTGCTCGCCATTTCCGGTAAGTGTCTGCCTTGAGAAGGTTTTCTGCACAGTGGGTCTGGAGATAAGAATGGGAAAAGTGAAGTTAGCATTACAGAGACGAGCTAAGTCCCCAGGTCGCCCATGTATTCTGTGTTCTCTTAAATCCTCTGTGACCTGTCAGATTTAAGTTTTCCCCTCAGTGCCACCATAATCTATCCTGAGGCCCCTGCAACATTTCCCGCCGTGAGCTCACCTATGCGTCTCCCATGAAACCCACCCCCATTCCTCCTTTTCTCTCCGGAAGTTCCACAGACACCCGGAAGTTCCCCTATTCCACATCTCACAGAATTCACTTACAGTCTCCGGGAAATTCCCCCCACGACCCTCCGCAGACTTCCGTAAAGTTTCTTTTTACATTTCGAAAGTTCATATAGAGCCCCCGTCCTCCCTCCCCCAAGAGGCCCTTACGTCTTGCAACCTCCCCCACGCCAGTCCCTCACCGAGTCCTGACTACTACAGGACACGACATGGCGGAGGCGAATCTCGGGCATGTCAACGTCGCGGGCTTCGCCTGGCCCCAACGCTGAAGAAGGGTCCGACTTTGGGGGGCGGGGAAGGGACGGAGGGGTTCTCCCTGAGCGGGCTAAAGTGCGCAGGCGCGCGAGGCTTGGTCCTTTCAAACCGCGGCGCGCTGGCGTTCGCGTCGACTCTGCGCAAGCCCAGTCGCGCCAGTCCAGAGCGAGGCGCTGAGTTCCCTAGGCAACCAGCCTTCTCTTTAGTCCCGCCTCCCTCTTGCCCTACCACTCTTTAGTCCCGCCTCCAATGGGCACCTAGCAACAGGAGCGGTCTCCCTGATTGGTCCCTACAAGAATTTGCCGTTTTCATTGGACGACACAGTCATCGCTCAAGCTAAAGCCTAGAAAACAAGACCACTAAGTAGATTTTCATAGGGAGCTGGAAGCCACCGCAACAGGGTCCCCCTCCACCGGTTCCTAAGGCTACACTCTTCTTCCCTAACCCCCCACCACACACACATACGAAAAAACTCTCGGACTTCTCTCAGGGTCATGCCCGAGCCCAAGGACCCAAATAAAACACAAAGCATGCGCCCAAACCAGACACACACAACTTCACCACCCATGCCTCAGTTTCCCAATGTGACCTGTGGGCATCTGTCTCCTACCACGCCCTCCCCTGGCTGTTGACAGGCATCCCTCTGTTCAGCCTGCGAGACCCAGGGTGCAGCCTGGGGCGTAGTCGGACCTGAAGACAACGGGGGACACAGAACAGGGAGTAGGAGCTAAGTGGAAAATGAAGGGAAAGGAGATAGGCTGCCTGTGCCCCCGCAGAACAAGCCTGGACCTGCTGGGCACTCCCAGGTAGGGCCCCACCCACGCTAGGCGCCTCCTTGGGAAGGAGAGAAGGAATTGGGGATATTAGTCCTCGCAGGTGCTCTGTCCTTAAAGGGAATCAAATGGTCTGACTCCTACCTTGGGCTATAGGCCAAAAAAAAGAGAGTGGTGGGGGTGGGAATGTGAGAAACCAGGAAAGTGACCTTCTGGGTCCTGATGGAGGAGGTGACTGGAAATCCAGCCTCTTGGGGTCCACTGGGAAAAAGGGGCTGAGCACAAGGTACCCAGTTCCCTTTTGGATTCTGGTTCCGCCCCCACTCCCCCAACCCAAAGCCACAGAGGCCTGCCTGAGATCTTACCTCAGCTATTTCTCACCCCAGGGTGAAGGTGGGTCCAGACCCGCCCCTCCTCAGCTTCCTATAAGGGCTGGGGACCTGGGACTGCAGGTTCACACACCATGAGGCCCTTCTCGAGACCGGGCACCTGCCTGCTGGCCTGCATACTGCTCTGCACCCTCCTGGGTCTTGGTAAGTGATGAGGGGCCTGGGTTCCAGGGACGTTCAGGAAAGAGGATGGTGAGAGAGCATTTAGCAAGGTCCTCAAGGGGGAAAGAAGGGGTGTCTGGAATTCTGATTCATGGTGAAGGCAAAGGTTAAAGATGCAAAAACCTGGATCCACCAGGAAGGAGAAGCTCCAAAGCTCATGGGCTTGGGTCCCTGAGAGAGGAGGGGGAATCAGTGGGTCTGAGGAAGGCATCTGAATTCTAGAAAATCAGCTGAGATCATGACTAGAAAGGGAACTCTTTGAAAAAAGAACTGGGGGGTCGGGGGGGAGCAATGTCCCCCCTCCCTTAGAGGGAAGAGTTCAAGCAAGCCCTACTTTCCCCAGGACCAAGTGTCTGGGCCCCCAGTTGCCTCCTTCCTCAGAACCAAGGAGTTCATACTCTCCCAGTTCTCATTCTCCCTTCTTGACCTGGGGTACAGAATCTAGGCTCAGCTACCCCTGCCTGAGCTCCTTCTGGCTATAAGACCTACATATGGCACCTACAAAGAGGAGGGTCTTATGTCCAAAAGCCAGCTGAGCCTGAAGCCACAGAACTCCTCCCAGTCCCCCAGCTTTCTCAAAGGACCCTGGCATCGAGTCCCTAGCCTTGTAATTAGGTAAACAGGCTCTGTGGTGGAGTCACTTCCCTCACCTAGAAGACGCTTTGATGGCTTCACCATCACATCCCAGTCAGATTTCTAGACAGTTCCCTGGACAGCGGTCAATGTCCCGCCCTTCTCATGAACCATCAGGGAAACACCTGGCCTGCTTCCCACTGGACCCCCAAACCCCCCCACTCACCCCCTTTCTTCCTCTGCACTCTTTAGTAGCAGTCCTCAGACCTCACCACCCTGACAACAGCCCCACCCTCTGTCCTGCAGGATACCCGCTGAGCTGTGAGGTGTGCAAGGGCTCCGGGCCCAATTGCAGTGGAAAGATGAAGACTTGCGAAGAGGGCAAGGACGCCTGCGTGGTGGTCGTGGGGGAGTCGAACACAAGTACGAGGGTGTGGGACCTGACTCTGGGCTAGTAGGCCTTCAGGATAGAGAAGATCACCGACCTCAGAAGGGAGGCTGCTTCACTGTTGGCGTGGATGGCATGATGGGGGGAGTAAGGAAGAGGGAAAGATGCTCATTCTCCAGGTGGATGGAAGGAAGTGAATTCAGTGGGCTCTCAGAAGCCACTGTGGTCAGGAATTTCTAAAAATGAGGTTCTCCAAATGAGAAAATGGGAGGGGGCAGACTTTCTTATAGAGACTTTCTTAGGCAGGAGGAGGTGAGGAAAGGACATGAGGAACGGAGACATCATGAGAGGGGAAGAGCCTTTAGGCAAGTGCTGGGGGTAGAGGACAGAGGGGGAGGTAAGGAGGAAGAGAGGAAACCAGATCCAGCAAGGTCATTTAGGTAGAAGGAAGGAATTGACAAAACAAGGTGGAAGGGACTCCCCCAGGCCCGGCGGGGTAGTGTGGGCAGGAAGAGCCGTGTTGATTCCTGACAGGAAGAGGAGTGTCGATGTTGGAGTGCAGGGAGAGACATAATAGGGCCCACACCAAACCGGAGCGTGAAGGTAATCCTGAAGTATGGAGCAACTCATCGTGAAGGGCAGAGGCGGGGCAAAGGGCAATGAGCAAAGTGTGAGAGGAAGGACATGACTTCAGAGGAAGGAACCATCCCAGGCCCGAGAGAGGATGAGGAGAAGGGGAGCAATGGAAGAGACACCATGCGTGAGGAGGGGGGTTCATTCAAAGCTGAAAAAGACTGCTGGAATTGGGGAGAGAAGATGGGGTGGGAGAGAAGGCAGTGATTGGAGAGACAGGCAACTTCTTGCATAGGAAGAAACCATCCAACACTGACGGAGGGTGTGTGTAAGGAAGACGGGATGGAAGATGGCAAGCATTGGTGGTGGGGGGAGGACCTAAAAGACTTGAGGAGACCACACCACACATAGAGGAGGGAGAGACAGAGGCTGGGGTGGGGAGACAGGAAGCTAGGGGGAAAAAAACACCCTTCAGTGGAATGAAGAAGGGAAACCCTAGGATCATGTTGGAAGAGACCCCGCCCCTGCACCCAGTCACCCAGAAGAGACCCAGTCACCCCTGTGGTGACTGGAAGAGACCACTTCAGGCAAGACCCGGGAATAGCCTAGGAGGGTGTCAAGAGACCCTTGGTGGGAATGACGTGGGCAAATTTGGAAGAGACCACCTTGGACACAGAGGGATTTGGCGGTTGTGGGCTTGGGTGGGGTGCAGTGGGAGGAGCTCCAAAGCCTTCAAGGTTGGGGCTATTACACACAGATTTGGGGGGAGCCTCAGGCGACCTGAAAAGCACCACACTGCAGAACCCTTAGAGGATGACTACAGGGTGGGGTGGGGTGGAAAGGATTCCCTGGGCAGGCACCTGAACTTGGCACTGGGGGACTCAAGACACCATCCAAGGCTGAATGGAGGCTACGGCCACTAGGAAGGGGTGGGATGGGGGGCTAGCCTAATAACCCCTCCAGACTGTATCCCAGGTAGATGAAGGGGTATGGCTTTGGGGGGTGCTGGAAGAGACCACCCTGGACAGTCATGGAGTGGGGTAGTGTAGGATTTGGGAGAGACCGGAGTCCAGGCTGGGTCCGCCCTTGCAGCCCACCCCCCATTCCACAACCTGCAGAGGGACACCTGTCGATAAACACCTACAAGGGCTGCATGAAGTTCAGCGACTGCTACTCGGGCTTCGTCTCCACCACCATGGGCCCCAAGGACTACATGGTATCCAACACGTACTGCTGTCAGGACGATGGCTGCAACCATGGCTCTGTGCCCCGTAAGTGCTAGCTGGGCCCCCCAATCAGGAATCCCTCGCAGCCACCACTGACCTGGCTCCAATGGGGCATCATCTGGCTCCTTAGGAGCCTCTGTTCTCCCACTTGTAAAACGAAGTGTCCATTAGCGACTGGTGTTCTCCAGGGTGGCTGTGAGGTGGGGGGCAGGGGGAGTTTGACATCTCTACGTACCGTCTGCTTCACCCTCATCCCCAGCTCCCCAGAACAATCGGACTGAGAATGGCCTTCAGTGCCCAGCCTGCATCCAGCCCTTCCAAGAGACCTGCGCTGGGACCCAGGCTGCCCGCTGTGTGGGCCAGGAAACCCGCTGCGTCTATTTCGCTGGCAACGTGCAGGCTGGTGAGGAGTGCCTGGATCTCTGGAGGAGGAGTGGGGAAGGGGCCCAGAACTGGAGGCTTCTACTTGCAGATTCTAGGGGAGATGGTGGTTCCAGGGAGCCTGGTGAGGAGGTGGCAGGGGCCCAGACTCCTGGGTAGTGAGGAAGGAAGGGCGGAGGGCTCTGATGCACATCTGAAATCCTCTTCCCAGGTATCATCAGGACCAAATTTGCCACTCAGGGTTGTGCCACAGAGAGTGCCTGCTACTCCAAACCTGGCGCCCAGGTGCCCTCAGCCTCCTATCTCTACTTCCTCCGTCGGGCCGACTGCCTTCCAGCCCCCCGGTCCCCTAGCAGGGCTGAGTGAGAAGCTGAGGATGTATGACTTGAGGTCTCCATTTAGCCTCGGCCTGCAGCTGCCCATGTGCACATGATTAAAGAGGTCAACAGAGTCAGCCTGAGTCCTTGTGATGTGATACATGTCAGGGAGGTGGGATGTGGAAAGCAGGGGTCTCAACACTCTGGGAATCTCATTTACAAGAAAGGGAGGGAAGACCCCGCTTTTATTAAGAGATTATTTCCTGCAGGGCCCCTGTGCTAAATGCTGTACCTCATTTTACAACCATCACAATTCTGTGAAGTTGGCCATGTTTCCCCCATTTTGCCAATGAATAAACCGAAACAACCAGGGAGGACCAGACTTCAGAGTTGACAGTCAACTCTCCTGATGAACCTCTCCCTCTTTTTTGCCACAGTGTTCGCAAAATGGAGGAGATAATAGTTCTAGATTCCTAGTGTGGTTATGCTAGTCAAAAGAAAGAAAACTTAAAAAAAAAAAAAATCATGTAGTGCAGTGCCTGACTCCTTTAAGACAGTATTGGTCCTAGAGACAGAATGTCTGAGTAAATAGTAATCATCCTAATAGCTGCTCCTTACTAAGCAGCCATTAGCTAGCAGGTGCTCCACACTGGCATCAGTCAGGGAAGACTAGAACATGCTACAGTTACAGACAGTAATCTCTGGTTTAATCTCTGGTTTAAAACAACAAAACTGGGGCCTCCCCGGTGGCGCAGCGGTTGAGCGCTGGGTTGCGAAACTGCGCGCAGCCTCCGCGGCGCCGGTTCGATCCCCGGCTGCTCCCCGGCCACCGGAGGAGGGTCCCACATGGCGTGCAGACCTCTCCTGCAGCCCGCTGCTCCCCTCAGCAGTGTACTTCGGTCCCTCTGCCTGCTCTGCTACCCGCTCTGGCTCTGGTGAATTCTCTCACCCTCCCGCACTTCTGACTGTACCCAGTGCATGTATAAACAAAAACAAACAAACAAACAAACCAGCAAACAAATAAATAAAGCATGCCTCTATTAAAAAAAAAAAATAAAACAAAACTGAATTAGTCCACTAATGCCGCCATAATGCTGTGTGACAAACCATCCCTAAACTGAGGCCACAAGTATTCTTCTAAGGTTTTGTGGCGAGGGTGGCTCTGCTTCCAGCTGTGCCTTGGTTGGCTGATTTGGACCCAGTTGGGGAGAAGGGTTGAAGTTCTCTGAGAAGTTCCATAGTTTTGTGGGCACAGTGGCTCCCTGGTTAATGTTCTCATGGCAGATTACAGGAGTCTGTAAGCCAAGTGTACTTGAGATCCTCGCGGAGGTCAGGTCAGCTCACACGCCACTGAGTAAAGAAAATCATAGTCAAAGTCAACATCACTGGTGTGGGGGTGTGGATGGAAAAGACTGCCCCTCCAGTGGGAGGGAGAGGAGTGGAATTTGCTGAGCATGTATCTATTCACAAATGGGTGATTCTTCCTTCACGGTATGTGTCTAGCACCACCCACAGGGCGATCTGTTCCTCACAGGCAAATCAGCCATCAACTCAGAAGTATATTCTGAGCACAGGATTTCTGCACACAGGCCAGGGAGTCTCCTATGGCGATTGAATATACTGAAATGTAGCAGGGATTTGGCACAGCTCATTGGTTGGAGCTAGTCACGTGGCCCCACCAAAGCACACAGGGGGCATGAAGTGCCATCTTGCCCCCTAGACATGGCTGCTTTCCTAACTGTGGGTTCAAGGCTGATTCTCATTTTTATCATCACAATCCCGGTGATAGGCATGATTCTTCTCATCCCTGTTTTCAAAAATCTGAGGCCCAGAAGGGATGTCATGTTGGCAGAACATTGTAATCGTTGAGGTCGGTTGAGGTGGGAGAACACTCACATGCTAGCAGTTATCTTTCACCACATAACAAACCACTGTATAACTGAGTGGCTTAGGACAATCACCTTTATATTTCAAGATTCTGAGGTTGGCAGCTTTGCCTGGGTTCAACTGGGTGGTTCTCTGCTGGTGGCTGCTTGGGTTCAGCTGCCTGGCAGCTAAGCAACTCCATTCAGAGGGTTGTCTGGCTGTGTGGGTATCCAGGCTGGCGGGGCCACATGACTCAGCAAGTTTCCAGGGGCTTCTTGTTGTGGCGAAAGTTCCCAGGGCATCGGAGAGGCCCCAGTACAGGAGCACTTTTCACTTCTCTGCTTACATTATGTTGGTTGTTTTCCCTCAGGCTACGCTAATCACATGACAAGCCTAGTCAAAGGAAGAGATGATGTCTGGCTACATAGAGCTGAACAAATTGGAGGTACCAGTGGGCTAAGATGATTCCAGATGCTTTATTATCATAATCCTCCAAGGTCTAAACAGTCACCCAGTTTATCTGTCATCCCTAGGCCCCAGGCAACAAAGCTCACAAATGAAGTCTCTTGACCCCAGCCCAAGGCATTCTATTCTGTTTGGGTCTCCTCTCCCAGGGCCCAGGAGTCCCCATCCTTGGCCCCCTCCTTCCTCAGACGCAGGAGCCCAGGATTCCAGCTCCACTCAAAACCCCAAGCATCTTTTTTTCAGTCAAACCACTAAAGAACACACAATGGGTATTCTACTAATTTTTATTCATTCCTCCAAAAGCACCACAGGCCCACCATACCCTCAGTTTGTTTTTCATGGTTCCCCTATCCAATGGACACAAGTCTCTCCATCATTATCCAGAAATGTACAAAACTCAGCCAATGTGCTAGAGTTGTCTCATCCACTGAAATTTTTGTGCCTGTTCTGCCTCCAATGATGGCAACACCAAGATAAATCATACATTCCCTCGAATCCTTGCCCAAGGGACTTCTAGCCTGAGGGCAGCCAGTGAGCCATCTGCAAGGACTCAGTCTTTTCTGCTTGGATGATCCCAGAAATATGCCTCACTAGCAACCTTATTCCTCCACAAGGCCTAGAATTCAATCCCATTGAGAAAGTAGGCAGCCACTCGCCAAAGCAGTCATGACACCCAAGGGTGCCAATATCTAACTATATAAATACAATCAGCACCAAGACACATACAAACAAAATTGCTTCTCCTGCTGAGTGAGGGCAGAAGAAGTTCGGAGCAGAGCAGAGGTTGTCAGACAGACCGAGTCAGAGGCAGTGTCAAAGTGGTAGGAAAAGAGGGCACTTTGCAAACAAGGACTTGGGGGTGAGATGGTGTGTCCAGACTGGGGTCATGTTGGTGCTGCCCAGCGCGCATTGTGTGGGCACCCAGGGTAACTCGATGAACGTTTGAGCTCCCAGTGCAGCTGGCTACCCAGACAGTGCGTATGTACGACACAGAATGCATGAGGTACATACACATACTAAATGCTCACGGTATCCCTATGATGTACGCGCCGTACAAATGACTTGCCTGAGGTCTCCACCAAAGTCAGTAGGATCGTCCAACCCTAGAGCTGTGCTAATAGGATTTCCTGTGGTAAAGGAAATGTTCTAGGTCTGTGCTGTGCAATGCTGTAGCTACTCATTACACTTGAAATGCGGTACATTCAACTGGGAAAATGAATTTAAAAAATGGATACTCGTCTCAGTTGCTGGACAACTATTCATTACAATTGGGACAACCTGGATATATGAATTTATATCTCCAAACATGAATTTTATGAAATCTAAATAGGAGTCAAATGTGTCTGATGAAAACTTAGTGTCTGAATTGAGATGTGCTGCTAAGTCCAAGCCACACACCAGATTTCAAAGACTTAGGATAAGAGAATATAAAATAGCTCATGAATACTTATTTTATGCTAATTATAGGTTGAGCTGGTATTCTGGATACACTGGGCTGACACATTAATTTCACATGCTTCCTTTTGCTTTTTTAACATGGCTACTAGAAAAATGAAAATGACACGTGACTGACATTCTATTTCTACCAGATATGGCGCTACTGTGGCTCTGGTCTTTCTTGTAGCTTCGCCCTGCAGGTCAGCACGTTTTTCCCATCTTGGCTATCTCAACTGTGATGGGACAAATTTTATCAGTTCAAGTTGGAGATGGAGGTACCATCCTCTGAGGATTTGCCCCTCCGTTGGGTTATTTTTTGTCTTCAGTTGACAAAGGAAACAGGAGCTGGAGGTGGGGGGTAGTGTTTATGGTTCTCATTCAGTCCTTTCATTCCATAGGTGGGAACATAAGGCACTGGTCGGAGTCACACATGGGGACAGATGGCAGCGCGTGCCTGCTCCCCTGGCCCCCTGACCTCAGACCGGGGCTTTCTCTCCTACTCAATACTCGCTCCTTTTCCCTGTTGCGGCAAGAGGAGGACCATCTAAATTCCAGCCTGACTTCTGCCACTGACTGAGAAATTAAAATAATAAAGATCTACTAAGCATCTACTGTGTGTCAGCACTGTTTGAGGTGCTGGGGATACAGAGGGAATAAGACAGACAAGGACATAATAGCAGCTAAAACAGGTAAATAAATAAATACATATAAATATGGTAATTTTTGACAGTAATAGTTGCTACAAGGAAAATCAATCTGGCCAGATGGATAGTGAGGGCGTGCAGACTGCTCATGTTAGAATGGTCAGGGAAGGTCTCTCTGAGGGGTATGTGAGCCAAGACCTGGTTGACAAGGAGTCAATCTTGGGAAGATCTAGGGACAGAACATTCTAGGCAGAAAGAGCATCAAGTGCAAAGGTCCTGAGGCGGGACCCAAGGCAATCAGAAGGAAGATCTCTCATGCTGACTGGGGCTGCAGTGAGACAGAGAATAAGAATAGTCAGGGGCCAACTCATGTAAGGCCTTGCTCTGTGCTGCTGGGCCTAGAGCCTGCCTCTAGGCTTTGCTTTGCTCTTCTCATCTATCCCCAAAAATATTTGACTCAGGTTCATCCTTCCTATTTTTGACACCAAAGAATTCTGTGACCTGTAGCTTCTCTGCATGTAGCTGGCAGTCTAGAACATTCCAGGCACTGTGGTTTCTGCCTTTGCCTTACTTACTCTGGCACATTCCCAGAGTCTGGGACACCCACCCAACTGTCCTGTGGGCCCCACGCTCACTGTGGCATTCTGTATGCACACCAGAAGGCAGAACCTCTTGGGGACGCCCAAGAGAGCCCACACAGAAATGCTTGGGTCAGTGCAGCAGGACAACTGCTTTTCCAAAAAGGCAGGTGAACAAAGTACCAAGGCCAGAGAGGATTAAGGTTTAATGACAGAAGAAACCAAGACCAAAAAAAGATAGATACCCTCAAAGGAGAGGGACAGAGGTACAGACTCCCCAGAAAGCTTCTGAACTGCCTAGCACCAATAAAATGGGGGCAGTCACATCCCTTCTAGTCAAACTCAGAGAGGGGGCAGTTGTCAGGATCCAAATTCCTTGGGGATTTGTGAGAGATACCTCTGAGGTAGAAGTTTCTACTCTTCCACACCCAGAAGGCCTGATTTCCAGTCTCTAGCTACACCTAGAGCCCACTGTTATTGTGGGACCATTCTCTCCACAACAGCTGGGAGAAGAGTCTACCTCACCAGGCCCCTAGCGGGCAAATGTTAGGCAGCCCTCTCCTTCACACAAGACCAACTTCTCCAGCTCTCCCAGCCCCAATCCCTCCAGATGTAGAACTTCCATCACCCAGGGATTATGAACTAAGGAGCCAGATCTGATACCCCAGACATGCCCCTCCCCTGAAGATTCAAAGCCCACAGCCTCTTGAGAAACTAGAAGGCCACACTGTGTAGGTGTAAACTTAGACCCTATGTTCCACTGTGGCTCAGAAGTCCAAGGGCTCTAACTACCTGCAGTACTAGTCCCCCAGACCCCATCATGAGGCAGGGTGTCCATCCCCTCCCCAACAACTCCATTCTACTTTCTTCTAGGCAGTCAACCGCTCCACTCCCTTTAGAATATGGGTATGATGCCCTGTGGTCCCCTGGCATATCAGGAGTCCTGTCCCGGAGACTCAGAGATCCAGGTAACTAAACGTCACAAAGCCATCCAAAAGTCTGTGCCCTCACCCCATTCAAGCACCCAAGACTTTGAGTGGTGGCCACTGCTCTGTTATCTGAGGCCCAGACGTCCCACACTGGAGTCTGGACAGCTTAACCCACTCCCTCTAACCGGGTATTGGAGTCCTCAGGCCCTGGCAGAGCCAAGCAGCCAGGATGCTGGGCACCCCGGTGGTCCCAGCCCTCATCCCATGGCTCACTGGGAGGGTACTTGGGGCGCCAGCACAGCCTCGGCATCTGCCAGCATCTCGTCTAGTGCCTGCAGGAGGACACCATGTGCTGCCCGGTAGCCCAGGCCACCGGTGGCTGCCGCGCCGCCCGCAGGCCACAGGAAGGAGAGTGCGCCCAGTGCCGCACCCCCTGCAGTGCCCTCTCCAGCCCAGGCACCCAGCCTCGCCTCCACTTCCGAGCGTGTCACTGGGCCAGGGAAGCACGTGCGCTTTGCTAGCTCCCCAGGAGCCAGACCCAGTGCACGCTCCCGCCGGGCTAAAGCTGCAGGCTCGAGTCCCAGCGCCCGCCGCCACTCAGCCAGCTGACCTCGAAGAAGGGCCACGTCGCACGCCCAGCCGAGGCCCGGGACCGGTGCTGCCGCTGCCGCCAGACTAGCCAACAAGGCTGGCCGCCAAGCCCCTGCACGCAGCGCTGCAGCCTTCTTTCGGGCAGCTGGGGGAGAAGCAGGTGGCAGCGCCAAGAGAAGCGCCCCAGCCTGCGCTGGGGGAAGCAGGCGCTGCAACCACTGGCAGAGGCCCGGGAGTCCTCCTGGCCGCAGAGGGAACACGGGGGGCGGTGCATCCTCCAGCACCTCCCACGTCTCATCCTCAGGGCTCAATGCAGCCCCACGCTCTGGGTCCCCTGTGCCTGATTTCTTCTCACTGATGCCAACTTGTGGCAACTTCTCTGCGCCTGCTTTCTTTGAATCTTCCCCACTGCCTACCTCCTGCGACCCGGTGCCATGTTTCTCCCTTTCCTCACTGTGAGCATTCTGCATGCCTTCTCCACCAGCACCCCCTAAGCTCTCAAGGCCAGACCTCTCAGACTTCTCCTCTTCATCCAGAGACTCTGGATCCTCGCCCTCACCGTCTGTACGCACGCAGACCAGTGGCGCATCTGGTAGCACTAAAGGCCGGACTTGGGCCCAGTCCTTCTCAGTGGGGGGACCCGGGCTGACAAGGATGAGGGCATCGAAATGGGTTGAGTGGGGTGCCACAGCAGTGTTGGCAGAGCCCAGAGGCACAGTCCAGAACACTACATTGGGGCGTTCTGGTGCTGGGTAGGGCGTGGGCCCCGCAGGCACCAAAGTAGGCACAGCACCTGGGTCGCCGGGATCCAGCCCAAGTAGCAGGTTCAATACAAGGGCCACGTCAGTTGTGCCGGCCACAGCCAGGTCCAGCCGTGCGCTGCCCAGTCGCTCCAAGCTGGCACGAACCCAAGACAGAGCAGCCTCCAGGCCACCAGTCTCGAAGGCCTCACGGACTGCCTCCAGCTCGGCAGCGCCTAGCACCTCAAAGCCATCCTGGGCTGGTGGCAGAAGTCTGTGGGGACAAGAAAGGATGGGGTCAAAAGCAGAAGAAGGTCTAAACTGGAGAAATGGCAAAGGGGAGAGAATTAGGTTATGATAACCCGGGTAAAGGGTCCTGAATAATCCCCAGTGAGGCAGAAGCAGGATAGGGTTGGGTGACATTGATGGCCCAGCAGACAGAAACTAGGGTTATGAAGAAAAGGGAAGGGCTTAAAGTGGGATGGGACAGGTTTCCCACAGAGCCTACAATGAGAACCTGGCTAAGTCTTCTCAGGAACACAGTCTTTGGGGACAGAACTTTTTGGAGGAACTTGCAGGGTTAAGAAAAGGCAATGAGGGCCTTTCCTGGTGGCGCAGCGGTTAAGCACTGGGCTGCAAAGCTGCCCGCAGCCTCTGCAGCAACAGTTTGATCCCAGGCTGCTGGGCGAGGGTCCCACATGGCACGCAGACCTCTCCTGCCGCCCGCTGCTCCCCTCAGCAGTGTACTTCATCAGTCTGCCTGTTTGGTTGCCCGCTCTGGCTCTGGTGAATTCTCTCACCCTCCAGCACTTCTGACTACCCAGTGCTTGTATAAATAAATAAAATAAACATTAAAAAAAAAAAAGAAAAGGCAATGCTAGGCAGAGCAGAGCTCACAAAACCCACTCACAGAGTGGGTACAGAAAAGAGGGGATGATAAAGGGATGGGGCAGGGTATTCAGAAAAAACAAAGCTCATGGAGGGTGTGGCTTTACAGGGATCACCAGCTTGTACAGCGAGTGAGCTCTTCAAACTTTTGCCTGGGGAGTGTATTTGGGAGATAATTTCCAGCTACTCCTAGAATTCTAGCTAGGCAGATGGACTTTAAAACTCAGAGCAAGGGCCTCCCCGATGGCGCAGCGGTTGAGCGCCATGCTGCAAAGCTGTCCACGGCCTCTACGGCGCCAGTTCGATTCCCCGCCGGCCAGGGAGAACCCCACATGGCGCAGCAGACCTCTCCTGCCTCTCCTGCTGTTCCCCTCAGCAGTGTCTTCGGTCTGTCTGCCTGTTCTGCTTCATGCTCTGTCTCTGGTGAATCCTCCCACTCCCCCCACCCCCACATCTCTGCCCTGTACCCCAGCTCTTGTATGCATAAATAAATAAATCTTAAAAAAAAAAAAAAAAAACAAAACTCAGAGCACTCACAAGAGGCAGGATCATGAGGATAGGGTAGGTCCTTCAGCTGACCCTAAACTGCAGTGGAGCTTAAACGACAGAAAAGGGTCAAACTAAGAGTGTTGGGTTGGGGTGGAGTCTCCCTGACCTCAAAACCTCTGAGAACTTCAGAGGTAGCTGGGAGTGACACTGATGCCTTAAATTTTGAACAAATCTCTCAGGTTGCAAGTCTAATCAAAAGGAATGGATTGCTTTTTTTTTTTTAAATGAAAGAAACAACTGGCCTAAAATGGGGCCCTTCGTGCCCAGTCCCCCCAAGACTTAATACCTAACCTAACTGTAGTTTTAGCCTCTCCCAAAAGCAGAACTTTAAACCCATCAATCTGGAGTTTCCAGAACTGCAGTAAGAAGGTAATCTGCAGATTAAGATCCCTTCCCTTCCCCTAAGGGAAGGTGGCTTGTACAGCTAGTACAGCTAGCCAAAATACATATTTTTTTTTTTGGCTAATAACCTTGATTCTGCCTTTTTTCGTACCAAGAAAACCTTCCATGTGGTAGAATCCTTGCAGAGCCTTTCTACTTGCTAGATGAGATGCTGTCTATGAATTGTTTAATAAAGCCCATTATAGCCCCTAATATAACAAAAGAAAACAAAATGATGGGGCAATAACCTGGATAAGGGAGATGGGCCTCCAGCAGATACCGCGCCTCCAACTCGTTGGGGGCGGGGTCTGTGTACCCTAAAGAGCACGTAGGGGCGGGGTAGGGATGGGGAGTGAAGTCTAGCCCGAAGGACCAGGCCTCCCCAGCTCACCAAGAAACTCACCGCTGCAGCGGCTCCGCCCGGTTCCGCAGCGCAGCCCGCAGGCGCTCCAGCTCCTGGCAGCCGTCACTGCTGCTGCTGCAGTCCGCCTGCAACACGAAGAGAGCCGCGGATCCCAGCCCCGCGCTGTCCAGAAGGGCTGCTGTCTGGTCCCGGGCCTGGGCTTCATTCTGTGAATCCCCCGGACGGAGATTCCGCACAGCTAGCAGTGGGGTCCCACGAGCCAGGGCTGCCCGCGCTGCCTCTCCCAACGCCGGGGCTAGGGGTTCTGCGTTCCCCTCGGGGTCTGGCAGCACCAGGACCAGCACGTTGGCCTCGGCTGCCCAAGGCCCCGGCGCTGCGGGTGGGCAGCTCAGCTCTCCCAAGAAGAGACCTGGGCCCTCAGCTCGCAAGCTGGGGATCCCCGACTCCGGCCGTCCCTCGGGGATCTCAACCGTCTCCACATCACCGTTGCACAGCGCTGAGATCAACGCCGACTTTCCTGAGCCCGGGGGCCCCAGAAATAAGGCGGTCACATCACCCCGTGGCGTAGGCATAGCTGCAAAGAAGGGATCAGAAAGACCGGGGTCAGGGGGCACCAAGCCTTTTTCTTCCCGAGCCGCCCCACCCCCCACCCCCCCCCGGTCTGAGACTTCAGTCCCCCACCCTGACCCCTTCTCCCCCGCGCAGGTGTCACTCCCCAGAGCGCAGAAATCCGGCGCCCGGGTCCTATTCCTCAGGGACCCCAAGTCCCGACTGACCTTTCCCTTCTTCCAAAACAGGAATCCGGGATCGAGTCCCTTCCTCCCCCAGGGGCACAGAGGTTTTATCCTCCCTTCCTCCCTTCTAGATCACCAACCGAGCAGAGAGCAGAGGCAGCGCGGAGCGCAGCGAGTGGCGGCCGACGGGCCCGCTAAAGAAGCCGCCGTTGGGGTCGGGCGGATGGAAGCCGACGAGGCTAGAGAGCTGGGATATGGGGTCGTCCCGGCACGTTGCGGGGGCTCTGATCTGACGTCACCCCTCTTAGGAGTGGGTGTGTCTTGGAAGCAAGATCTAGGGGTGGCTGGGGAGGACCGCAGCCTCCCGCAGCGCGTGCGCAGTGTCGCGTGGAGCGCTCGCTCCCGAACTCCGGCGGCCGCCCGGCGCAGAACAATAAGGGCGCCAAGGCGCCTGCGCATCAGGAGCGACTACCTACAGCGCTGCGAGGGGAGAACTGTCCGGCACAGGTGGCCAACGTCATCATACCGCGCCCCGGTGCAGAGAAGGCCCCTCCCGTTAGTTTGAGGACCGGGTGGGCACGACTAAGTCACTGCCGGATAGTAATTCGGGTTCTCGGCCCCGAGAGCCTCGTCAGGCAAGAGTGTGGAAACCGCTGGGACCCTGAGGCTCGGTGCGCGCTACCCCGCGTCCCTCCAGCTGGCGGCGCTGTGACCGGCGACTGACCAGCGCAGCGCAGGGCAGCCCTCTGCCGTGGGCAGAAAGAGGCCTGCCCTAGCGGCCTGGGGCGCTGGGACTCGAGGGCAGTGCTTAGGGCAACAGGACGCGGCGACTGAAAGCGGGCGTGGGAGACTGGGGCTCTGGGTGGAAGAGTTACAGGATATCAGAGAAGACTCTCTCCCGGGAAGAGGCTGGTTAAAGCCTGGACACCACTACCTGCCACAAGACATGTGAGAGAAGGGGCGATGGTGTCAAAGATCGAGAGCCCAGCGCTGAGTTCAGCGAGCTTGACTTAGGTCATAGGTCTCGTACAGGTGAGAAGGCTCCAAGAGGACTTACAAACCTAGGGAGTTCAATTTTGGGGGGGAGGGTCGAAGCTTCTCTGGTAAGAGTTTCATCAAGTTAGAATTCCAGGAGATGATCTCTCTCGAGGGTGGGGACCAGAGGTGTGAAAGGCTGGCAGGAGAGCCTCTCAGAGGTCATAGGACCGAAGGTCTTCTAAGGTTGGGGACAGATGAGCGACTTCATTTATTATTCTGTCTTGCGTGCTCCTCTCTTCATCAGAAGGGTCCCAGTCACTATGGAAGGTGCGCACCCGGAAGAGACCAGAGAACAGGATTCATCCAAGGAGAGGAATCCCCGCAGTCCAGGAGGCAACATCTGTGAGTACTTCTGGCCAGAGGAGGGTGGGATGCAGAAGCTGATGCTAAAAGGATTTCTCTAGCATTTCAACGTCCAAGGTGTTGCAGGGACTTGCTTGTTGGAAAGGGGCTGCAGTGGCCCCCGAGCTGCCCTACCATGAACAGCCACTCCCAGCCATAACCTACACTAGACTTGGATGTACCCACTCAGCTGTCCACATGAGCAGGAATGGTATGCAGTTCAGAGTGGCATCGAGAGGATTGGGGTGGGAAAGGTGACTGGGCAGACAGACAGGCACCCCAGCTTTGGTGCCAACTCTGCCTCAGACTTTGAGTGACTTGGCTCTGTTTCCCTGTTCTTCAAAAGGGGAAAGCTTGCTATTAGTGAAGGTAGCCGCTTTGATATTTAACAGTCTGTAGAATTTTTATTATGTGCTGGAGGTGTTCTAAGAGTTTTTCATTATTTAGTTCAGTCCTAACAGATTCTGTGGAATTGGGTCTATCGCCTTCAGATGGGGGAATTGAGGCAGAGAGGAGGGCCATAGCCCCCACACCTGCAGCCAGAGATCAGCAGGAACACATCTGTAGTTAACAAGTTGGGTTTATTACTCATTGCCCTAGGGAAGCACAGATAACATGGGGGAACCTAGGGCAATCTCAGTAGGAGGGCCCGGGCTTATGAAAGGCCCTGGGCTTGTGGTATGGGGAAGGTTTCCAGGAAGAAGGGCTTGGCTCTTGATTGGATGCTGCCAGGAAGCAGAGGCAACTGTGTGGTTGACAACCTTAATACATCTAGGAGGAAGAAACTAGCCAAGGTGAAAGTCAGGGTTGGAAAAGCTGAAGGGACAGATGCCACCACTTCTTATCAGTAGCCAGGAGAGGGGGATGTTTGGTCACTTTTGTGGCTTGGACAATGCCCATGATTTGTCTGTGTGCAGTATTACTATGGGATGGTCTTATCTTAATTTACTCGTAATAGCGCAGCCTTCTGTGACAATGTTCCATGAAACTCGATGCTCAGTAGAACACCAAGGCCTCACAGAGTGCCAGGCCTGATCCCATGTGTCAGGCTGCTTTCCTCTTTCTGGATAGTAATTGCAAACCATTGTGCAGCACTGTTCTAAGCGCTTTATGCAAGTTAATTCCAACAACCCTGTGAAGTAGATACTGGTAATTATTCCATTTTCCAGCTAAGGAGCCTTGTCCTTACCTTGGCTGTTCTACAAAAGGGGAAAGCTTGCCATTGATGAAGGTAGCCACGTTGACATATAACAGCCAGGATTAATTCTAGGCAGTCGGGCTCCAGAGGCTGTGCTTTAATTATAAGGCTCTGTTGGAAGGGCAGACCCCCAGGTTCCAATTCTGACTCCACTGGCCTCGTGACTGTGGGCAAGTTGCCTAACCTCTTGAGCCTCCATCTACTCATCTATAGAACAGGTCCAGTAATAGTTGCCCATACTGTTCAGCACTACTGAGCTTTGCACATACTAACCATTGTTAATTGTTGGCATGATTCTGGAGCTTAGGAGAGGTCCTGGAGACTCCTGGGGCCTTCCCCGACCTCTCCCCACATCCCTCAGGCCACCTGGGGGCCCTGCAGTGCACTCGCTGCCTCATCACCTTCGCTGATTCCAAGTTCCAGGAGCGTCACCTGAAGCGGGAGCACCCAGCGGACTTCGTGGCTCAGAAGCTGCAGGGGGCCCTCTTCATCTGTTTCACCTGCGCCCGATCCTTCCCCTGTTCCAAGGCCCTGATCGCCCACCAGCGCAGCCACGGTCCACTCACCAGGCCCTCCCTGCCAGCCACACCTACCTCTGCCCAGCCCACCTTCCCCTGCCCCGACTGTGGTAAGACCTTTGGGCAGGCTGCTTCCCTGAGGCGGCACCGCCAGGCGCACCAGGCCCGCACCCCTCCTGGCCCCTTTGCTTGCACTGAATGTGGCCAGGACTTTGCCCAGGAAGCTGGGCTGCATCAACACTACATCCGGCATGCCCGGGGGGAGCTCTGAGTGGGGCTTACGACTTCCCCGGGACAATGGAGACTCTGGCTCATGGGGTCCTCCTGTGATATGGGATGGGGACCTTGAGATTTGCTTCCCTCCATGGAAAAAGCAAAGGGCTCCTGATAAACAGGACCCAGATGATATTCTTTTGTGCTTCAATTTTTGGAGGACACACAGGCCTTCAGGGAAACTCTGAAATCAGACAATAGTGAGATCTTTTGTTTTCAAAAATGAGCAAGAAAGAGAAGGAAAACTGTTCTGTGTATCTCCCTTGTTCCCAATTAAATAGTTGAAATTACAACTAGCTGCAGATTGTGTAATCACCTTTAATTCTTCCCAGATGGATGCCATGGGCTATGGAAGCGAATTGTCCTGGCTCTGCCTGATGGGGGCAGGGAGGCGAGGTGTTGTTGGCCTGTAAGGCCACCTATGGATCCCAGATGTGAAACAACTTATACCTTTGGGGATGGGACAGCAAAGTTGGGAATTGTACTCTGAACCATTGGGAGTTGCAATTTCAGTCCCTGTCTGCCCAAGCCCCCCACGCCACCAGGCTTTCTTAAGGAGAGGACAGGGCATTGGGCCCTCCAGATAACTTATTGCCCATTTAAATAATTTTGTGTATTATTCTGGTCATGGAATTTTATTTTTTATATATGTAGGTGAGAGGGCATGAATAACAGAAGTAGTATCTAAAAACAGGAAAGGTGTAAGTAAAAAGTAAATGCCAATGCCTGCTGTGCTACCAAAAAAATTACCCATTCTGAAATAACCATTGTTAATGTTCTAGTAAATTTCCTTGCAGACTTTTTTAATATATTATCATAATTAAAAAAAATAAAGTTGCTATATTTAAAAAAAAAACAAAAACCCAGAAGGCCTATATTAAATACACAGGGATCTCTGGTTTTGAGCAGCAATTCCCACAGAGCATACGAAGGGCACAGGGAGCAAGGAAGCTCTGGGCAGAGCTGGCCTAGCCCTGTGGAGAAACTGGTTTGGAATCAAACAGAGATACCTTCTGTTTCCTGTTGTACTTAGCCTACATTGGCGATTTCCCAGGAAGATCCTGTTTTCAGCTCTTGAAAGGCACAACCCTGGGTGTCTATTATTTTCAGGAGCAAGGCAGAAGCAACAGCAAGCTAAGGCTGAGCCTTGGGTGTTCCCATCAGACTGGAAACTAGTCCCACCAGGCCAGTTTTCCTCCCTTGACTACCTGCCCTGTTCCTAGAGACAATGGTGGATGCCCCGCATACAATAATCAGAGGCTACAGGCTTCCCCTGGTGGCCCAGCGGTTGAGCGCTGGACTGTGAAGCTGCCTGCAGCCTCTGCAGCCCCGGTTGGATCCCCAGCCGCCGGAGAGGGTACCACATGGCGTGCAGACCTCTCCTGCCATGCCCGCTGCTCCCCTCAGCAGTGTATTTCGTCAGTCTGCCTGTTCTCTTCCCCACTCTGGCTCTGGTGAATCCTCTCACCCTCCCGTGCTTCTGACTGTACCCCATGCTTGTACAAATAAAGAAATCTTTAAAAAAAAAAATCAGAGGCTAGTTAGATTGAGGGCTATTTTTATTTTTTTATATATATATATTTTTTAATTTTCTAGAGGCATGTCTTATTTATTTATTATTTTTATTTGTTTGTTTGGTTTATACACGCACTGGGTACAGTCAGAAGCGCGGGAGGGTGAGAGAATTCACCAGAGTCAGAGCGGGGAGCAGAGCAGGCAGAAGGACCGAAGGACACTGCTGAGGGGAGCAGCGGGCGGCAGGAGAGGTCTGCGCGCCATGTGGGACCCTCCTCCGGTGGCTGGGGAGCAGCCGGGGATCGAACCGGCTGCAGAGGCTGCAGGCAGCTTCGCAACCCAGCGCTCAACCGCTGCGCCACCGGGGAGGCCCGAGGGCTATTTTTAAAGCCCATAGGGGAGATGGATGTAGTAGAGGGTGATAGCTAGTGCTCCATTTTTAACTAAGCCCACAGGCGCTACAAAGAGTAACTTTCTCAGATTCCTGTGCATTTAGATGTGGCCATGTGACTAAGTACTGGCTGAATTCCTGGGTAGAGTCCTCAAGCTTCAGGAAGGGACATGCCTTTCCTCTGTCTTCCTGCCTGGAATGTGAACACAGTATCCAACCATGTCCATGAGTTGGGCCATGAGAGCAACACATGGGATGGAGCAACAAGACAGCAGAAGCCTGGGTCTCTGGTCAACATCAGAGTGTGGAGCCCCCATACCAGCCCTAGAACATACCCACTTCCATGCTGTTTTATAAGTTCCATTACTTTGAGTCTGTCATGTGAAGCAGGATTTACAACTTAAGCAGGGACCTGCAAACTATGGCCAACTCCACCCCGCTGCCTGGTTTTGCAAATAGTTTTACTGGAACAGTGATGCTCATTCACTTACGTACAGTCTATGACTGCTTTTATGTAGAACAGTAGATTTGAGTAGTTTGGATCAAAGCCTAAAATAATTACCATCTGGCCCTCTACAACAAGCTAGCCAATCCCTGTCTAACTGATAGACATACAACCCACTCTGAGCATAGAAGCAGGGATTCCTGCTCGAGGATACCACCGCTAACAGGGGGAAAGGTGTGGGGAGGGGGAGAGAGAGATTTGGGGTAGGGTCCGCTATCTTACATCTCTGCTGGAGTGACATGGGTTTATGGAATCACTTGCCATCATTTTTCCTAAAATTTCAACTTCAAAGCCAAATTATTTCCTGTGACATTACGTGAAAGCTCCAAGGTTTCTGACCCAGATGTTTCCCACCATTCCCAAAAAGGCTCCCCCAATCTGAAACCTGCGTATCTAATCCCATACATGCTCCCAAGGCAGACAGCAGCCTGCCCAAGTACACCCTTGACTTCCTGTTCTCCACACTCTCCAGATGTCATAGATTCCTAATACTCTAAATAGCACCCCTGGTGACTTCCAAATCTTTATCAGTCCAAACCCCAGACTTCCTCCATGAGAAACAGCTGCTTGGATGACAAAGGGAATTGCAAAATGGGTCAACATGACTCGGCAGCCCCTTCCCTAATAAACTGCTGTGTTATTAGTTAACCCCACACTCTACTTCCGAATTCCTGAGCCTTACTACTGCTTACCCCAGCCTTCAGTCTCCAAACTGCTCTGCCTGCTACCTCCAAGCTGCTGTTGGATCCTGGTCAAGTCACTTCTCTTTTTTCACATCCCAGTCCAAGAGGTGGGAGCTTCTTATACATAATTAATTTCTGGGCACCTCACTTTTCCAAGTTTCTTCTTTCAGCCTTCTAACACCTATGTAGCCAATTCCCTGTATCGAACCCTCTCTTTGCAATCCCTGGCTTGGTTCTCACATCCTGACTGGGACCCTGAGTAAATGGGACCCCACTGGCAACAGACCAGGTCTCTTGATCCCAGTGTCTCTCTCATGGTCGTTAGGACTTTTTGCCAGTGGGTGCACAACTCTCTCCATTTGTGCTTAGAAAGCCCTCTCAGAGCAGAAGAGGGCTCAGACATGCCACCCCGGGAAATCAAATCCATCCAATTGCTGTGAATGTCTGATTCTGCTAGACCAAGTGGGCATGAAAGTCTCAGCTCAAAGAGTGGATAAATGTCAAGTTTCTGAGATTCAAGGATTCTGAAATTCTAGGATTAAAAATGGGTTTTGAGGGCCTCCCCTGGTGGCGCAGGCGGTTGAGCGCTGCGCTGTGAAGCTGTCCGCAGCCTCTACAGGGCCGGTTCGATCCCGGCTGGCGAGGATCCCACATGGCGCAGCAGACCTCCAGTGTATTTCATCAGTCTGCCTGCTCTGTTCCCGGCTCTGTCTCTGGTGAATCCTCTCACCCTCCTGTGCATCTGGCCTGTACCCCGGTTCTTATATAAATAAATCAATCTTTGGGAAAAAAAAGTGGGTTTTGAAAAATGCTTTGGTCTAAGATACTATAACAGGCATCAAAAATACATATACTGGTGGGAGAACCACAGGAATGACCCCTGAGGAGAGAAATCAAGTACTATCCAAAAATTAACAAAGATGTAAGAAATGAGTAAATGCAAATACTCCTTGGGGCCAAGCAGGTACCATAAGTAAATGAAGCAAGCAGGTTGTTAGGATTGGTCCAGATGCCAGGCCGTGGGGAATGGGGGAGACAGCTCATGTGGGAATTCCCCAAATACAGATAACCCCTACTAATCAATCCCATGGGATTGTGGGTTCCGCAATCCAGAGCTCACAATTTCCCAAGAGAAGTGAGAAACCTCCATTTTTCTTTGAGATCTGCCAACTTTTAAATGTGATCAAAAAACCTCACCTCTGGAGACTAAATACACTCCTGCAGCCAGATGGTGCCTCTGGCCAGACTGCCGTTTTTGGTGTGTGGCTTAGTGGCTAAGAATGTGTGCCCTGCATCCAGCTGTCTGCATTCAAACATGGGTTCTGCTTCTTACTAGTGTGACCTCTAGTGGTAACCCAGTCTCTCGGTGCCCAGCGGTAGCAGTTGTGAAACAGTCACGCTATCAGCCCCTACACCCCTCTTGCAGAGAAAGCCAAAGTCAGCATAATGGCCTACAGAGCCTGGCACCTGTCTGATCTCTCGCCAGTCTTCCCATGCCTTCTGCAGCAACTGCCCTGTGGCTCCATGTGCTCTTCCACAAACATCCCCAACAGGCTTCCCCCTCAGAGCCTTTATACCTAATGTATAAAGTCATGGGGCCTGACTCCTCTCCTCTAGGTCTTTGCTCTGGTATCTCCCCTTCTTGGTGAACCCTTCTCTGACCTATTTGAAACTGCTCCCCCAACTCCCTTTCCCTGTCCTCTTCCGCACTCATTACCTCCCACATTCTCGATATTATAAATGCCTATCCACCAAGGCAAGGAGTTTTTGTTCATAATGCTCACTACTCTATTCCCAGCTTCCAGAACAGTGCCTGTATCTTGTAGATGCTCTATAAATCCCTGTTGAATTAATGTGGGGGAAAAAAAAAAAAAACAAAACAAAACAGTCCCAACCTCATAAGGACCCCAAGCAACTGTCTATCTAGTGGGCCTGGTCCACTGTGAGCACTGATTTAATGATGGCCATTGCAGTAATTCAGGTTTATTCTTAAAGGCTCTTAGTTGCCAAGCTTCTGAGTTACCACAGGTAAAGGGCATGAGAACAGGGCTTGGGACACAGGTGATGCACAGTAAATGGTAGCTGTCATTATAATCAGGCATCTATTTTCAGAGGAACTGCAGAGCCAAGCTTCTGTGAATTAGGAGACAGAGAGAAAGCGGTAGAGAGCCGAAGTTTCAAGGCTAATGAACTCGCCCTCTGCTAGCTGCTCTCTGACCTCATCCTTACAGCACTGCCTGCCCTGCCCCCCATCCCCCCCAACTCTGGCCTCCCTGACACTGGGCAGACTCCTGCCTGGAACACACTTTCCATGAGGGATACACGCCCCCCCCACTTCAGATCTCTGCTTAGGTCCCTCTCAGAGAGGACTACACTAGTTGAAATTACACCCCACTTCCATTTTTCTTTTATTTTTCTCCACAGCATTTACCATCACCCAGCAGAGGGTACATCTTGTTTACTGTCTGTACCCACCAGTGACCCCTTTCTGCATCCTCCCACCCCATATAAACTGTGAGGACAAGGATTTTATTTTATTCCCTGGTGTAGTCCCTATGTTTAGCACACGGCAGGGCCTCAAAAGGTATTTGTTAAATGATTTAATGGCTTGCAGTCCCTACCTCACCGAGTCCTTGTGAGGCCCAATGATCTCATGCAAATAAAGTGCAGCGTTCTCTGAGTGCTGGGAAAACGGCAGCTGTGATTATAATTAAGGTTCTATTTTCGTAAGTTCCTAGATGCACTTCTCCGAGTCAATATATATAAAGCTCTGGGACTGGCACTTGCCTCTCAGGAGGCACAGCTATGATTATAATTAAAGTCCTCTTTGTGATGGTTCTTAGGCAAAGTGGCAGAGCATGAGCTGTCCTCCACAAAACCTTTCGTGCTTCTGGGTACTTGGCTAAGCCGCCCGCCCAGATGCCCTTGCGGTGAGCTCGGACACCTGACTAGGTTCTCGACAAAGGAGCAGAATGGAGGCAGTCTGGCCACTTCTGGCCCAGGCTGGTCAGAGAACTTTGTAACAGTGCTGCTCCCAGTTCCTGCCTCTTCCCAGGCACCACCAGCCCTCCAGAACCATGTGGATGGCAGAAGGCTGAAGTGATGGCCTAGAGCCCCAAACCACCTCTGAAACACCCACATGGACTATTACGTGAGCAAGAAACAAAACTCCTTTGTTTGAACCTTTACATTATGGGCTCTATGAATAAATCACAGGAATCGTTTAGTAAACGTTAATGATACTGGCAACAATGACTCAAGTTCCCTCAAGGACCCAGGGGGATGGTGGCATAAACACCCAAGAGTGAGCTTCACACACACAAGCGTACACACAGGTGCACACACCCCCCCAAACACATGCTGGGCCAACACACAGAATTTGGCTTTTATTCTGGCCTTCACACATCTACTCTAAGACGACACAGATATCCCAACCCCCATGACCACCATGAACACCCCAATTTCCTCAGCCCCCTGCTCCCACCCCGCTCCTTCAGCCAAGCTCCCTGGGTGGGGGGGCTCTGCCTACACCTCCCCCCGGGCATGCAGCATGAAGTGGCCATGCAGCTCCCCAAGGTTGTCGAAGGAATCCTCACACTCAGTGCACTGGTAGGTGCCCTCCTCCTCCTCCTCTTCCTCCTCCTCCTCCCTCCCAGCTGGTCGGCCCTCCCCAGCCCGAGGCGGCTCCTCCTCTTCCTCCCCGAGGGCCCTGCCTTCAGGGGCTGGTGCTTCCTGGGGGGCTGTAGCAGGGCAGCAGAGCCGGCAAGGTGGGGTGCCTGGAGGGGCCTCCCCAAGGGGTGAGCGGCCACAGAGCTGGCAGGGCTGGGCCGGGGGGCCCGGGGCCTGGGCTGCACGGGGGGCCCGACGGGAAGGGCCCCCGCGGCCCCCCCCTAGGCGCTGCTTCACCTTGTAGCCAGGGTCATATTCGGGATCATCTGTGGTCTCCTCTTCCTCCTCCTCCTCATCTTCTTCCTCTTCGGAGTCTGGCTCTGAGAGAGTATATTCGGAGTCAGAGGAGTGCTCGGGGCCTGGAGGGGGCCAGAGTTGGAAAGAGAATGGCATCAGAAGACAGCGGGCCTGCCTGGCTGTCCCTGCCCTGAGCCAGTGTTGGGAGGGAGCTGGGGCACAAGCCTGTCCTTCCCCACGGATGGGTCCCCATAAGGGGAGGCTCAGCATCCATGCAGGAAGCAAATGAAAGTCTTGCAAAAGCTGCCATTTGGGAGTTTACTAATGATAAAGCAACAGTGTCCACTGCTTTTTTAAGTCCTGTTCTTATTATTAACTCATCTAATCCTTACAATTACCCTTTGAGGGAAGTATTATGTTATTATCCTCGACAAATGGGGAAATCAAGGCATAGAAAGACTAGGGTGACTCACTCATCTACAGTCACACAGCTAACAGCGAACAGCTAAATATGGGTAAAGACCTACAATGGGTCATTCTAGGGAGGTAAACGCTTGGACAAGTATAGGTGGTTTTCGATAGAAATACCTGGTTAAGTGACTTAAAAATATTTTACACTGTTATTTCATGGACAGGGAGGACATGTCTAGGACAAGTTTAGATTCAAAGAAAGGAAGAAGGGCCTCCCTGGTGGCGCAAAGGGATAAGTCTCAGCACTATGAAGCTATTGGCTGCCACTGCAGCATGATTTGGATCCCCGCCCAGGGAGCCGACCCTCATGGCACTGCAGACCTCTCCCATCTCGCATGCTGCCAAGAGCAGCGTATTTCAGTAGATCCACCTGTTTCGCTCCCCACTGAGTCTGGTGAATCCTCTCACTCCCTGCACCTCTGGCCCGCACCCCAGCTCTTGTATGCATCAACAAATAAAATCTTTCCCCAAAAAAAAACTTAAAAAAAAAAAAGAAGAAGAAAACTTCTGATATACAGGAAAGAGTGACATTAGCAGTCCATTCGGGGTGTGGCACACGAGCACCGGCTGGGGTTGGGGAGCCTCACAGTGGCAGCAGTGTGAGAAATACCATTTTCTTCAGTGCAGTGACAGGGGCCGGCCAGAGCATCTGTTAGGGCTGCCACAGCCTTGCGCTTTATTCATCTAGGTCCCTTCCTCAGTTTCTTCCAGCAGCCCAGAGGGATCCTATTACAACTGAGCCCGTTACATGGGTTCCGCATGCACCTGCCTCCTGGCCTTTGCCACCCTCTCTGCAGATGGACTAAGGTTTGCTCCCTTCTTCTCTGCCATATTCAAGTAACCACCTCTGAAGTGACACCTTATCTAACCAGCAACCCCCCGCCCCTCGCCCCCAGCATTCCCACTATCCATACTCTGCTGTTTTTCTTCTCATCTCATTTTATACAACACCTTCTGGTATGTGTGCTGTCTGCACCCCCAGCAGGGATTCTGGCTCATTTTTTTTTTTTTTAATTTTTTTTTTAAGGTTTATATTTATTTATTTATTTATTTATTTATTTATTTATTTATTTATTTATTTATTTATACAAGCACTGATACAGTCAGAAGCGTGGGAGGGTGAGAGAATTCACCAGAGCCAGAGCAGGGAGCAGAGCAGGCAGAAGGACTGAAGTACACTGCTGAGGGGAGCAGCGGGCGGCAGGAGAGGTCTGCGCGCCATGTGGGACCCTCCTCTGGTGGCCGGGGAGCAGCCGGGGATTGAACCGGCGCTGCAGAGGCTACAGGCAGCTTCGCAACCCAGCGCTCAACCACTGCGCCACCGGGGAGGCCCTCATTTTTTTTTTTAAAGATTTATTTATTTATGCATACAAGGACTGGGGTACAGGCCAGAGATGCGAGGGAGGGGGAGTGAGAGGATTCACCAGAGACAGAGTGGGGAGCAGAACTGGCAGATCTATGAAATACAACAGGTGAATCAGAAGAGATCTGCTGCACCATCTAGGTCACCCCTCTGGCTGGGGATCGAACTCGTGCTGCAGTGGCTGCAGATTGCTTCATAGTGCTGATGCTTAACCACTTGCGCCACCAGGGAGACCCCGGGATTCTGGCTCATTGCATCCCTAGAACACTCTCTGTGACTGGCACAGACAATCCATTTCTGAGGTTTTTACACATGCCATTATTCCCTCTGCTGGGAAGGTCTTGCTCTAATTTCCCCCATCATCCTTTAGGACTCAGTAGGAGGCCACCCCTCCTTGGTGAGGCCACCCCAGATCTATTCATCCCAGGAAGTCAGTCATTTTTCTTTTGCCTTTGGGCTGGAACTATCCAAAGTCTGTTCCCCACCAGACCGGGGGAAAGCCTGCCATGACTCATCCCCGAGGCCTCAGCATCACCCAGCCCAGGAGAACGGGTTACAGATGTTTGACCAACATCCCTCCTGCAGCTCTCCCTTAACTTGTACTAGTCCTGGCGCCTCCCGGCCATTTAACCAAAGTTTCCAGAGGCCTCGGCATGGGCTGGTCCCTCTGCCTGGAATGCTGGTCCCCACTCTGTCTGCCAAACCAACTCCTCCTCCTTCAGGACCCAGTACAGGCCCTGTCCTCTACGAAGGCTGCACCCTGAGGCCTCTCTCTGGTCCCTCACCCTGACCCCCCCTCATCACTGCCCTAGAGACTGTAGCCATCTGGGCCCCAGCCTGTCTCCCCCTTCAGAATAGGAACCCCCTCCTGGGCAGATCTGACTCATCATAGGATCCCCACATTGCCCAGCGCAGGAATGTGGGTTGAATGGACCAGTTTGGTGCCAAGGCCCTGACCTCCTCCTCCAGGCTTTTGCCTCTGCCCTTGTCCTGCCTGGGGTGGCCTCTGCCATCTCTATCAGCAAGTCCTGCTCCTCTTTCAGGCCAGCGCACACATCACCTCCACCACGAGGTGCTCCCTGACTCCCCAGGTGGTCAGTGTCTCTCTCATCTGGGTTCTCCTTCCCCCTCTAACACACGTTGACCATCTGGGCAGTGACCCTGCTGCACCTGGCTGTGGGCTCCTGGAAGGCAGGGCCTGGACCTGACCTATCTCCCATGTTCCCAGCAATGCTGAGCATCAGTCAACCTCAGGGGACATTTGCCAAGTGGCTGCAAAACACAGAGGAAACATTTCTAGCCCTCTTTCTCCTCCCACCCCTGACTTCACACCACCCCCTCCAGGGTATTCAATGCCCACTATGACTTCACACAGCTGGCCTGCGAAAGGTCAGCATCCTCCATGATGACTACAAGAGCTTTCACGTCCACTGTGGGCCACAAGGCCTTTCACACCCACCATGCCTTCTCCACCCATGAGATCCACAAAGCCCAGCACATCTCCCGAGTCCACTGGAGCCTCCCTACCCACAGCATCTCCCAAAGCTCATGCCTCCCTGAACACCGCCAAATTGGCAACACCCAACAGCCCCTCAACAGCTCCTAACTCCATCACGAGCCCAGGCAGTACCAAGTCTACTAAACGGGCAAGAACAAAGACAACCTCTTCCAATCGGCCAAGAAACAAGTCCCAAGTGCGCAACCAGGCAAGAACATCCAGCAGGGCCAGCACTGACACCAGGTCCAGCAAAGTTAGCAAGGTCAGTGGGGTAAGACGCCACCAGCGGAGAGGCACACACAGTCGGGGCAGAACTCCTGGCAGGAGAGGGAGCCGCGGCGCCAAGAGGTCACCCAGCAGACCCAGCACTCCCAGCAAGCTGAGAACTCCTGATGCCAAACCAGGTGTGCCTAGCAGAGCAAGAACTCCTACTTCCCAACCCAAACAGCACAGGGGGAAGAGTTACAGTCGGCCTAGAAGCAACAAGCGAGAAAGGAGTAAGAGCCAGCCTAGAAATGTGAGCAGGGAGAAGAGTGACAGCCCACCAGGAGCCTCAGGTCTGAGGAAGAGCTCCAAGCTGGCTGCAGCATCCAGTAGAGCAAAGAGTTACAGCCCCACCAGCTTTCTCTTCGAGGAGCAAGGTCACAGTCAGTCTCTGCCATTACCGGGGCTGAAGAGTTACAGCAAGATGACCACCCCCGGCAGGGAACAGAGTCATAGTCCAACGGATGTGTCCAGCAGGATCAATGATAATAACCAGGGGAATGTGCCCAGTAGGACCCGAAGTCACAGCCATTCTAGCACGCCAAGCAGGACCCGAAGTCACAGTCATTCTAGCACCCACAGCAGGTCTCGAAGCCACAGCAAGTCGAGAATGCCCCAAAGACCAAGAAGTCACAGTTGGAAGAGAGACACAGTGGTGGTAGAGTGGATGAGAAAATACAGTAGGGCAAGAAGCCGTACCCGTAAGGGAACGCCCAGCCAGATGAGAAGACGCAGCCAGTCTAGAACCAGCAGCAAGGGGGAGAGTTATGACCGACCCAGAACCCCAAGAAGAGAGAGAAGTCACAGTGAGTCTAGAAGCCCCAGTAAAGAAAGAGCTCACAGGCGATCCCCAAGTCCCAGCAAGGAGAGGGCTCACAGGAGATCCCTAAGCCCCAGCAAGGAGGGGTCTCACAGGCGATCCCCAAGCCCCAGCAAGGAAAGGGCTCACAGGAGATCCCCAAGCCCCAGCATGGAGGGGTCTCACAGGCGATCCCCAAGCCCCAGCAAGGAGAGGGCTCACAGGAGATCCCCAAGCCCCAGCAAGGAGGGGTCTCACAGGCGATCCCCAAGCCCCAGCAAAGAAAGGGCTCACAGGAGATTCCCAAGCCCCAGCATAGAGGGGTCTCACAGGCGATCCCCAAGCCCCAGCAAGGAGGGGGCTCACTGGCGATCCCCAAGCCCCAGCAAGGAGGGGTCTCACAGGCGATCCCCAAGCCCCAGCAAGGAGGGGTCTCACTGGCGATCCCCAAGCCCCAGCAAGGAGGGGGCTCACTGGCGATCCCCAAGCCCCAGCAAGGAGGGGGCTCACTGGCGATCCCCAAGCCCCAGCAAGGAGGGGGCTCACTGGCGATCCCCAAGCCCCAGCAAGGAGGGGGCTCACTGGCGATCCCCAAGCCCCAGCAAGGAGGGGGCTCACTGGCGATCACCAAGCCCCAGCAAGGAGAGGGCTCACTGGCGATCCCCAAGCCCCAGCAAGGAGGGGGCTCACAGGAGATCCCCAAGCCCCAGCAAGGAGGGGGCTCACAGGAGATCCCCAAGCCCCAGCAAGGAGGGGGCTCACTGGCGATCCCCAAGCCCCAGCAAGGAGAGGGCTCACTGGCGATCCCCAAGCCCCAGCAAGGAGAGGGCTCACTGGCGATCCTGGAGCCCCAGCAAGGAGAGGGCTCACTGGCAATCCGGAAGCCCAAGCAAGGAGAGGGCTCACTGGCGATCCCCAAGCCCCAGCAAGGAGGGGGCTCACAGGCGATTCCGAAGGCCCAGCAAGGAGAGGGCTCACAGGAGATCCCGAAGCCCTAGCACAGAGGGGTCTCACAGGCGATCCCCAAGCCCCAGCGAGGAGAGGGCTCACTGGCAATCCCCAAGCCCCAGCAAGGAGGGGGCTCACGGGCGTTCCCCAAGCCCCAGCAAGGAAGGGGCTCGCTGGCGATCCCCAAGCCCCAGCAAGGAGGGGGCTCGCTGGCGATCCCCAAGCCTCAACAAGGAAGGGGCTCACAGGCGATCCCGAAGCCCCAGCAAGGAGAGGGCTCACAGATCTCAAAGCCATAGCAAGGAGGAGGCTCACAGGAGAGCTAGCAGCCCCAGCAAGGGGAGGAGTCTCAGACAATCTATAAACCCCAGCAATGAGAGGGCTCACAGGCAATCCAAAAGCCCCAGAAACGAGAGGGTTCTCAGACAATCCAGAAGTCCTGACAAAGGGAAGACTCAGAGACGATCTAGAAGCCCTACCAAGGGGAGGAGTCTCAGACAATCTAGGAGTCCCAGCCAGGAAAGGAGTCTCAGACAATTCAGAAGTCCCAGCAAGGAGAGCAGTAGCAGCCAATCGGGACCCTCCAGCAATGAAAGAGCTCACAGTCAATTTAGAATCCCCACAAAGTGGACATATCACAATCAATCTTCCGGCAAGACAGAGAACAAGCTACTTAGAATCCCTGGAAAGGAAAAAGAGCCTAGCCAATCCAGAACCCTCAGAAAGGAGAAAGATTACGGCCAATATAGATCCTCCAGCAAGGAAAGCTATTCCAGTCAAACTGCAGTCCCCAGAAGTCTCAGCTGGAAGAGGTCCCCCAGCAGGACACAGAGTTCCAGTCAGAATAGCACCCCTAGCAAGACAAGGAGCCACTCCCCCCCAAAATATCTCAGCAGAGCCCCCAATCCAAGCCAATATGGTAATCAAGCCAATACCACTACCTCTAAGACTGTCTCACCTGGAGAAAGATCCTCATCATCTTCTTCCAAGCTGGCGTAGCCCCCAGTCTCAGCTGGCTCACGGGTCTCTGTCATGGCCGGGGAGAGGACAGGAGACAGGAGCAGAGCAACAGCTGGGCAGTGTCCCTCCCCTGCCAGCTCTCCACGGTCACAAGTTTCTAACGCAAAGTGTCAGCCGGTAGAAAGGGATGCTGGACAGGAGAAAGGAAAGGCCTTTGGTGACTCAATAAATTTTTACATAGCATCTGCCTCCCCAGGCCCAGTTGTGTGCTCAGTGCTGCGGGCAGAGTAAAGATGGCCCCAGCTCTGTCCCTGACTGCCTAAAGGGCCTTGGTGGCAGGCCCGGCCCTACTATAGGCTTTTATTTCCCCTTCTGGGCAACAAAGCTATCTGTGGTTTAATGGGGTGTAGAGGGGTAACATTCTAAATATTTAACAGCAGGAATAGCATGGCACCAGTCAGAACTCTGAGCAGAACATGGTCCTCTGCCAGGAATTAACCCTTCAGTTGCTGAACTGTGAGAAAATCTGGGGCTGGGGGAGAAACAAAGTCACAGCTGGGGTTAGGGATTACTTAGGGTAATCATGATACACCAGCCAGTCTGGAAGTATTTCAGTATTTAAAATAACTGAATGCCAGCCCTAGTTCTGTATCATGTTACACCTTGGCAAGATGGTGTCTAGGGTAGAATCCTAAACCTGCCACATTCTAGCTGTGTAGCTTCAAGCAAATGACCTAACTTCTCTAGTGTGTTTCCTTCTCTGTACAGAAAGGGGATTCCAGGGCTTAACTCCAGTACCCCTCAAAACCATGTTGAGACAGATTATTATCTCCTTTGCACAGTCAACTGAGGTGCAGAGGACTAACAAGTAACCCAAGGTTGTAGGATTTAAAGTCATGCCATCCTACTTCTCTCATAAAAAGGCAGGCTTGTTAATATAAATTGCTGGTATGGGGCAGGTACTCTACTAACTAGTGATACCTACTCTCATCCCGACCCTCTATAAACTCCAGCCATTGCAGGCTTCTCATCTCCCCCTGAGCATGCCAGACCTTTCCACATCTATGGGTCTTGGCACAAACTTTGTTTTTGTCTAAAATGTCTTCCTTCTCCCTCATGTGCCTGGAGAAACTTCTACTCACCCTTCAAAACCCACCTCAAACACAAGCACCTCCGTACTTCCTAGATCAAATCCCACCAGCTTCTGCCTCTCCCAAGAAGTTTACTGTGGCATCTTTCCCTCTTCACCTCCCTTCACATGTACAAGACATCTTATGTTTTCCCACTTCATTCCCTGACAGCAGAGCCAGACAGAGCAAGTTAGTGAAGGGGCTGGCAGCTTTAGCTGCACCTCTTATATGCCAAAGCCTGTGCTGAGCGCAGTAAGTAGAGACAGTGGTGGAGAATAAACAGTCCCTTCAAAGCCCAGATGTCAACTTTAATGCTGGGATGGTGAAGACTAAGAAGATAAAGACTAGGATGGAAGCTTGGACCAGGCTAGAGCATTGGAGGTTGGGCATCATTGGTATGGGAAGCTTTCTAAAGACACCTGGATCGGAACTTTTAAGGAAGAGAGGCCTCATAATTGGCAGGTGAGAGTACTTATAATACCCTATTGCCAGCATTTAATTTCAGAATTCTGCTTTAGGCCTGGATACAGTAGCCAGATTTAGTAAATAAAAACATGCCCAGTTAAGGGATGTGCACGCAACACCTGGAATGTGTATTTCTAAAAGATTTTGTTTATCGGAAACTCGACTTGTACTGGACGTTTTCTAGTTTAAATGGCATACAACAGGAACAATCAGGACTTCCTATGAGGTTACCGGGAGACATCGCTCACCAGTTCAGCCTTCTCCCGGTGCATTGCATGGGCCACTTACAGAGTATCCCATGTGTTAGGTGTAGAATTCCTTGGTGCACAAGTCCCATTCCTACAATGACTATGGGGGCCAGACTGGCGCCCATGATCTCAGAGGGACGTAAATGAGGCTCCCTCACTACAATAAGGTGAACACGGTACCCAAGACCCCACCATGTCCAGAGCCTACAGCAACCAATTCCCAAGATGGCCTGTTCGGTGACAATTGGTACCCATCCCCACAAAGCTGGGGCAAGGAGGCCAGAGCAAAACCTTAGAGGGAGCAATAAGGACCAAGCCCTGGGAAAGCTCTTCCCAAAGATGCCTCAGACCTATAATGACCACCTTCCAAGGTGCTCTGTGTCGAAGCCCTCCACGCTTCCGGGATGCTCAGTGCAAGGTGTGACAAAAGGGACCAGCTGTCCACAAGGACCCAGGACGATCCTTCCCAGAATGCACCAGGCCTGTAACGACCAGCCGCTTCCCACAATGCCTTAGGGCGGGGAATCCCGTTTCCCAGGATGCCCCAGGGCAGCACAGAGCCGCGTGGGGGGAGAAAGGGAAGCCCGGGTCTCGCCCTCAGGCCACCACGACCCGACACCGCGGCCGGCTTTCCGGGAGCCATCACTCCCATCATGCAATGGGGTCGTAGCGCCCGTTTCCCGGCATGCCCCGCGCGCTCTGGCCCCGGACACTCACCGGTGCTGGCGGCCCCCGCTCCGGCTCGGCGGCGGCGGCTGCACGCCCGGGCTCTGCGCCTGCGCCGCAAATGGGGTAGGAGGGAGTGCGAGGGGCGTGAGGAGCCTAGGGCGCCTGCGCGGCGTTACGGACCATTCCTGTCGCGCGGTGGGAAGAGGGGCTCGCCGAGGCCGGCCGGAGACGAGGCCCGCGCCAGGGGCGCCGGGCTCTGCCCCTGGCCGTCCGGGTGTACTTGGTACGGTCCGCGGCCTGACGAAACGAGAAACTGGGGGCTTGCGCGTGCGTGAGCGGAGCCTGAACGCGCCTTTATAGAAAATGGGATGCCTTGGGGGTGGGGGGCGCCGGCTCGGCCCGGATCCTGGACCGTTTGCCTGCTCATTTGCATAATCTTGGTGCGGGACAATGGGAGGCCTCGGGCGCTGAAAGGAGTGATTTGCATATTCCCCGGAGAGACCTGACTCCCGAGCGCAGTGATTAGCATATGGGGGGGGGGCTCGCGCGCCTGAGGAAAGCGCTTGCGCACTCAGACTGCGGACTGGCGCGAATGTGGCCTTGTTTTTAGTCGTGAATCAGAGGGGAGGCACTAAGGCCGAGACCCATGCCGCCCCTCAGTCCTTTACTCCTCCTTCGCCCCCGGATGTTTATTGCTCTCTAATGTGTCAGGTTCTGTGCTAACGGGATTTATGGTTTTCGCTGTGAACAAGACATACCTGGCCCCTATCCTCAAGGGGCCCCACTCCAAGAAGAGCCACACAAAAGCAGAACCACAATTCCAGAGGAGTCAGACCTGGGATGAATGGAACATAGGAAGCTCTGGGAGCCAATGGGGGCGCCTGCCTCCCTGGAAAGTCTTGCAAAAGATGGTACTCTTTAGGCCAAGAGTGGATAGAAGTCAACTAAGGAGGCTTTTTTTTTTTTAAGGAGGCTTTTTGGCAAAGGAAACAGCAAGGGCAAAGGCCTAGGGGTAAAAAAATAAAAGGTGCTGTTAGGGGGAAAGGATGTCCTGAGATAATCTCATACAGGCTTTGTGGACTCCACCCCCACTCCAGACTAAAGCCATCAGGACATTGGGAAAGACAAATCCCATCACCACCAAGGGGAGGGTGGCTGGGACCTGAGGGTGGAGTTGGGCAGCCAGGTTGGATATAAAAACCAAATACGTGGTCCTTGCTCGCTCTCTGGCTCGCGATCGCTCGCCTCCTGGCTTCACCGCTCCTGGCTGGCGGCCAACTGAGAGCGCCATTTTGGGATTCCTGATCGGCGGATCGGGTAGGACGCATTTAAAACTTTGTCTCCCACTTTTCTCCCAGAGCTGTACATTTCCTCATTTCCCTTTCCGTTGTAAATAAACCTTTTATTAACCTTTCACGTGTGCCTGCAGTAGAGCATTGATAAGTCCTTTTAAGCGCGCGGGTGAGGACCCACAGTCAGGCACCCCGTTTTGTATCGGGGTTGCTCTACAACAGTTTGGCGCCCAGCGTGGTTTCCAAGTTACACCCGCGGTTGACCAGCCCAAAGTAACATCCCTTGCGTTGGTCACCATAAGCGCACTAGTTCCGCAGGACTAGCAGTATAATATTTGTCTCTAGTCCTGAAAAGTCTGTTTTTTTCCCTGTGCGTACAGCCCTTGTGGGTGTGTTTTGACTCAAATATGGCCTCAACCATGAGCCTATACAGTTTCATCCCTAGCCTGAGTTCTTTCAGTTTCCTTCCGGCCTTGAATTTGAGCAGCCTTCTTCCATTAAATATCACCACCAGTTTCATTAATATAAATAATTTGATGAAGCCTGGTGTATGGCATGTGATTTTACTATTGTATACATACATGGGTGGTTTACAAGCCATCCCTTTACAGACTGTGCTTCTGGGTGGTTTTTTGGTAATATGTGTAAGCGCAGTTTGCTACATTCTTGTTTCTGTGAGCGGTAGAAGTTCTACTTCACATACTGAAAATGTTACTGACTTCTTTTCCAGTTATTGTTGCAGGATACCCAAGGACTCATATTTGGTTTGCAAACTTTTGCTATGTTGTTTTAAAAAATTTGGGATCAAGGTTGAGAAAATTTGTCTTTACATAAGTTGAACCATTTTAAGATTTTTTTTCCTGTGATTTTTGACATATCTGCTGTCTTGTTCTGGCTAATGCCTCCAGATGTTTTCTTTCGGCTGGGACTGATGAACTGTTTTTCCAGGAATGGAGGACTTTTGCTTTCCACAATGGACACTACCTGGAGGGATTCGTTTTCTTTCAGACTGGAACCCTGGAAAATTTTCATCTGAGACTGTATCCCAGAATCCATATGTTTGATCTTCATCACCATGGAAATGGTGGCAAAAAGTGAAAGGGGGGAATTGTTAGGGGGAAAGGATGTCCTGAGATAATCTCATACAGGCTTTGTGGACTCCACCCCCACTCCAGACTAAAGCCATCAGGACATTGGGAAAGACAAATCCCATCACCACCAAGGGGAGGGTGGCTGGGACCTGAGGGTGGAGTTGGGCAGCCAGGTTGGATATAAAAACCAAACACGTGGGCCTTGCTCGCTCTCTGGCTCGCGATCGCTCGCCTCCTGGCTTCACCGCTCCTGGCTGGCGGCCAACTGAGAGCGCCATTTTGGGATTCCTGATCGGCGGATCGGGTAGGACGCATTTAAAACTTTGTCTCCCACTTTTCTCCCAGAGCTGTACATTTCCTCATTTCCCTTTCCGTTGTAAATAAACCTTTTATTAACCTTTCACGTGTGCCTGCAGTAGAGCATTGATAAGTCCTTTTAAGCGCGCGGGTGAGGACCCACAGTCAGGCACCCCGTTTTGTATCGGGGTTGCTCTACAACAGTGCTAGTTCTGATTGAGGAAGTGAAAGCAGTTTAAACCTGGAACAATTGAAGAGGCTCTTACAGGTGACCTTAAGAGCTCAGACTTCATGCTGAGGGAATAGGAAGTGGTAGAAACATTCCTGGTCTTCGGGGAAATTGACTGTCAACTCCAGCTCAACATTCTCAAAAGGGGTCTGATTACCTCTTTATTATGCCCTCAGGGGCTGTATGCTGGTCTGGCCCTGCTGTCTGACCTCACCCACCTCTCTCCATTTTATCCCCTGCAGTCAAGTACCATCTGCCTTCAACCTCCACAATCTCTTTACAATCTCAGGCGTTTGCCATGCTATTCCCCTTACCTAAAAAATGCTTTTCTTTCTCATCTTTGAATAGTTGCTTCTGTGCTCACCATTCACATCTGGGTACAGATGTCCATCTGAGAGACTTTTCCCTGACCTTTCGAAAATAGCACCTCCAGATTGAGAGGAGTAGGGTACAGATAAATCAGCAATGGCTTTGAAGTGACGGTTGTCAAAGCTGGTGTGAAGGATCTGTGGAATTTAATTGCCCAGTTCTACTAATATAAGTTTAAAGTTTTCCATAAGTTAAAATAGTATCTCTCTCTCATCCCCTTACTCTGCATTTCATCTTAATGTTTATGGCAATCTAAAAAAATTTTTGGCTTCCTTGGTAATAGTCTTTTTTCCTCATGAAACTTCCTGAGGGTGGGCCTCCCCTGGTGGCGCAGGCGGTTGAGCGCAGCGCTGTCAAGCTGTCCACAGCCTCTGCAGTGCTGGTTCTGTTATAGGACAGGGAGAGGGGCAGCCCCCTTTCCTGGGGACCACCCTGTTGCAGTTCCATCCTGGCCCCGGCTAGCCGGCGAGGGTCCCACATGGCATGACAGACCTCTCCTGTCACGCCAACTGCTCCCCTCAGCAGTATATTTTGTCAGTCTGCCTGTTCTGTTCCCAGCTCTGTCTCTGGTGAATCCTCTCACCCTCCCGCACATCTGGCCTATACCTCGGTTCTTATATAAAATAAATAAATAAATCTTTAAAAAAAAAAACTTCCTGAGGGTAAGAATGGAGCCAGTCATCCCTTCTCACTTTGGGTCCTCAGTGTGTAGAACAAGTTCAATTTTCAGATGAGTGCTGAGCTGTCTGGAATACCTCACTTTTGCCTGTTTTATTCACCAGGGCATCTGCAGACCTTTGAGCAACACCTGGCACAAAGAAACAGGCCAATATATTTTAGAGTTGAAAATGAGAATCACTCATGTAAAATTTAGATGAATAAATGGGGGCTGTGTGGGATGCTGGACTAAGGAGGTGACCAGGAGCTAGGTGGAGGTTTTGACAGGGTAAGATATGAATAGTTGAGAAATCTTCCGTGAAGATTGATGTCCCAGAGTTTCAGTAAGGGAGGAGGAGGGTCCAGGTCACTGGCTGGGAATGGGATAGTTCAGTGGCTGCTGAAGAGATGTGACTATTTGGCTAATGGGTGACCAGGCAAACCCCACTCTCCTTGGTGAATGGAGGTGCCCTTGGAGAGATAAGGACCCTCTCCTGACCTCCACTGTCTACCGGCAACCATCTCACTCCACTCTCTCCCCCTCCCAACATGCTATAGCTCTGAGCAGAGTGACAGACACACAGCCATCCCAAACACTTGTTCTCTCCTCAGTTTAATGGTGGTTAGTGGGATTGCCAAACCCCCTCCCCGCTTCCCACCCCGCCCCGTACAAAATGTGTTTTTTTTTTAAAACAAGAAAAAGGGGGCAAAAGCCAGGAATGGGGAGGGGGGGGCACAATCTGATATTTTCATACAGATTTTTGATTTTTTAATATATTATATATAAAACCATAGAGACCAATGCACCCCCCCTTTTCTCCCTTCCCCATCCCTTGGGGGCCTGGAGGAGAGATGGGGAAGGCCCCCCTAAGGACTGGGTGGACAGAGAGACAAATACGGGTGGGAGAGATGTAGGGGAAGGAGGTGGAGAAAAAGGGAATCCGGGAACCTGGGGAAGGGGAACTGGAGAAAAGGGTTCAGGCTGTCTCCCTCACCACCCCCATCAAAGTTATGACACAAAGACACACAATCCCAGTTTCCACGCCCTCCCCCCCACCCTTACCCCCACCGTGCAAACATGGCTTTGCAAAGAGGTGCCCAGAGCTCTGTGGAACTCCTACAATGGCTGGCATGGGGTCTGGGACCCCCAAAGAAATCTATTACCCTTCCCTGCCCACCCTGCCCTTCCCAGAATCTGACCCCCTCCCCACAAGACCTGGTTCTGCTGCTAGGGGCTCTGGCCTTCCCCCAGTTATCTTCCCCAAACCCAATCCCTAGTGCCCTCCCTGGACTTAGGGGGTCTGGACATTTGGCCCCTGCCCCCTGGAGGACCCAGACCTCTGGGCCCTTGCTTCTGGCTCTTGCAGAGACCCAGGCATCGGACACCCCCATCCCTGCCCAAACGTCTGAGGTGTTAGTGGTGGGGGGAGATGCCCACCATCCCAGACTCTGGTAAATGTCTTTGCAGCTGGCAGTGGGGTGGACCCCTGCCCAGGCCCAGACCTGGGGTGAATGTGGGGTCAGATGAAGAATTCTTCTTTTCTCTTGTGTCCATCGCTGCCATTGAGAAAGGCTTCTCTTGCTTCTCCTTGCTCATCCAAGCCACTGGCCTCATGGGTCAGATAAGAGCCTGAGGGGTGACAGACCCCCAGGGATGACAAAGAAGTAACATACATGTGGACCCAGGCATTGGACCCAAATATAAAGGAAGAGGAAGGCAGGCAAGACAAAGGATAGACAGAACACACAGGGAAAGGGAATCAAGTCCAGGGAATGGCAACACAGGGGCAGAGAAATAGATAAAAGCATAATTAGGAAGACTCCATCAAAAGTTTGGAAATATCAACCCATATTCATTCCCTTGATGGTATGTCCCTGCTCCCAACGAATCCAGCATTGGGAAATAAAATTTATTCAAACCCATGAACTTAATTCAGCTTCCACTGTCACCACTTTTTGAGTCAAGGGCTGAAAAATGCACCCCTCTTGGAATCGTGGCCTCAAGTGCCACGGCTTTTAATTCCTGATTCTGAGCTTCCCCCTTGCTACTGATGCCAGCTTTATTCCCTCCCTCTTTCGAATCCCGACTGTACGCCCCTCCCCCTTCAGAAAGCTACAACCAACCACACCCCTCGCCGATTTCACCCTTTGCCCAACTCACCCTTCTGCCGTACTGAGCACCAGACCATGCCCACCAGCACACATATGATCAGAAACACCAGTAGCGCCAGGATCCCGCCCACAATGGCGTAGGGCACGGACGTCTGAGCCTCTACCACCGCACCAGGGTCTGCCAGAGGGAGAGGGCACAGGACCAGCACATCAAGGACAGTCCCGGCCCCGCCACGCCCCCATGGTGGCCAGTCTCCTGAACCTGTCTACACACCACATCGCACCATGCCACACCCCTCAAAAAGTATAGCCACCTGGTAGCCCCTTTTCAGGGTTCCACTCTTTCCAGATAATCCATTTACTCAAGAAATACAAAAGCACCCTTGAGCCATTTTGCTAATACCTGCCCTGCCTCTCTCGAGCCTCCTGCTTCCCCAGGACAGCCGCAACCTGCCCTCACCACAGACCACCAGCACACGGAGAGCTTGTGGCCATGCTAATTTGACGCCTGGGAGTGTAGGTGCCACTTCCCGCTGATACCAGCCCCAGCAGCGTAAGCGTTTCCCCACCTGCCTCGGCCCACATCTCTTCTTTTGACTCATTTCTTTCGGGGGAACCTCAGGTCCAAATCCTTCCCCATCTCGTCTAAAATGCTCCAGGTATTTAAAATGTTGGGCTAAGACCCAACCACTTCCAAAATTCCTACCACGTCATAAACATATAACTTATTTTGTTCTAGGTCGAATCACTTTATGTAGCTCATATACTCTTCACAACAGCCCTATGAGATAGGTGCTATTGTTTATTTCCATTTTACCAATGAGGAAACGAAGTCGTATACAGCTACCCGCAAAAGGACGCCGCAGAGACAAATCTGAAACCAGATACTGTTAAGAACTCGGCTGGTTATTCCGGAGTAATTTTCTGCCCAGACCCCGGCCCGCAGCTCCACTGCATTAGGATCGTCCTATCCAGCAAGCCCATTCCCAAGGGGCGCCCACGAGGGCCAGGGGAGGCCCTCCCCCCCCCCCCCCGCCCCGCCCCGGCCCGCCTCCTAGCCGGCAGCACCCTGCCCTCACCGTAGACCACTAGCACGTAGAGCGCCCTCGCGTGGCCGTGCTTGTTTGACGCCTCGCAAGTGTAGGTGCCGTTATCCGCAGACACGAGCCCCGGCAGCGTAAGCGTCTCCCCCACAGCCTCAGCCCGCTCGGGCAAAGACTCATTCCCACGGTTCCAGCGGATCTGGTTTGGCCTGGGCGGGGGTAAAGAACAGTGAGAGTTAGAGACACAGGTGCCACCACCCAATTGTGCATCTAGACGTGCAGCTCTCCAAATAAGAGAGTCCCCTCCTATCCCGACCCCTTCCTATTGTGGAAGACCAACAGTCCCAAGTTCAGTCTCCACTCATGACCATGGTCTCTGGAATCCTAGCCTTCCTAGTCCCCTCCACCTCAAAATTCAAGAGTGGGGACTCCCAAAGCCGCTTTCCTCAAGATCGAGGTGTCCAAGTCCCAACCTCCTCCCTCAGGACTCGGAAGTCCGGGACCCTCTGCCCAACACTCCCCTTTCCTGAGACACAGGTCCAGACCCCCAGTCCACTCCTCTTCAGGATCCAGCAGTCTCAGGACCCACTGCTCACCTGGGGTTCCCTGTTACAGCACAAGTCAGCACCAGGGTGTCGCCTTCCCTTACCACAGCCTGGGAGGCATGGATCCGGGCTGTGGGGGAGTCTGCGGGCACAAGTGAGAAGGGAGCGTGGTTGCCCAGGTCAGCCCAAGGGACTAGGAAGCCTCCCAGGGGCGGGCAGCTGGCGTTGGGATACCCCCCTCGCCGAGGCCCCGACCCGCCGGGCACTTACACTGCACGTCCAGCACGTACTGCGTCTGCTTGCTGTGCCCGGAGGGCAGCGCCTGGTTCTGCGCCTCACAGATGACAATACCGCCGTCGTCCTTGCGGTCCACACGAAACCTCACGGTGCTCGCCACGCTCCACACCTTGCCATTTTCCTGGCCGCTGCTCATGCCTGCCCCGCCAGGCCAGCCCAGAGTTAAAGCCGAATCCAGGCTCCGCCCGTCGAGGGGATAAGCCCCTCCCCCGCCAATCCCAAAGCAGGCTATTTGCTAAGCCCCACCCCTGGGCCGCAGGTGTCACCTGTCCTCCAAGCCCCGCCCCGCCCACAGCCCCGCCCCCCTTCACCGCCCCGCCCCCTCCTCTACCAGCTCTTTCTGTAGCCGCAGGTGGAAAGGCCCGTCTGTCAGACCAGCGCTTTTCTCCACAGGAAAAGCCACAGGAAAACCAATCTTCCTTAACCACGCCCAGAGCCCCGCCTGTTTTCAAGGCCCGCCCCTACTGTCCCCAACCCAGGCAGTACCTTTCAGTTCCTTGCGGTCCCGGTACCACCGCAGGACAGCAGCTGGGCGGGACCTCGGAACCAGACAGCTGAGCTCCACTTCACCGCCCTCCACCGCCTGCTCCCGAACCTCCACCACGGGATTTTCCGGGGCCACTGCGGTGGGGAGGGCGTAAGGAAGGGTCATCAAGGCAGGGTCGGAGGTGGGCTCAAAGCGACCAGGCTATGGGATTCCAGGGACCGAAGGGAACAAGAGTCCCAGGTGGCAGGGTCAAGTCCCAGGGGTGGCAGAGGTCAGGAAAGCCAGCGTTATTTACTGGGCTAAATGTCCAGATGAGAAAGGAGGGGCTGGGCAGGAGAAGAGGGGAGTCATTACCCAGCACAGTGAGTGTGGCGATCTGGTGGTGGGTATCCTCTGTGTACAGCTGACAGAAGTAGCCCCCCTCATCCTCCAGGCGGGCATCGGAGAGCCGGATCCGTACCCGGCGGGGGGAGAACTCCTCAAGTTGGAAACGCTCATCCTTCAGGGCTGGAGAGAGTGAACCAGGAGTGAATTCGGGAATCCTGGCCCTAGGAGTCCACCTGTTCTCCAGACTCACCTGCAAGTCTAAGGCCCCTACCTCTTTACTCCCTTGGTGACCCAGAATGATTCCAGTCCTCCTGCCCCTAGCTCCTTCCTCCCTCAGACACAGGAACATGGGATTCCCAGCTCTGTTTTCTTTTAGGACTCTGGAGTCAAGCCCCAGTCCTCTCCTTCTTCAAGACTCACCTCGGGTGCCATTGAAGAAGAGGGTCTGCCGGGCTGGGTTCTGAAGGACAACTATAGAGCCATCATACTGGTGCAGACGGCAGGTTATCTCCGCCACCCCGCCTTCAGCCACTGTCACATTCTCTGTCTGCACTTCCTGTCCTGCCCCTGGACCAGCAGAGAGAGCACATAGGAGACTCATGGAGGGCTGCAATTCTGTCTTTTCTTTCTCCCTCTCCCACCAAACCTCCAACCCCTCTCCTTCCCCTCCCATGCAGTTCATTACACCCAACAATTGCAGCTGGAGTCTGCAGCTGGAGAAACTCCACTTGGGGCTCTAGAGGAGTCAAGAGCCAGGGACATGTGCTCTTATGGAGGCAGCACAGGGGCACACTGAGAGCCCAGAGGAAGGGAAGACTTCTGGTCAGAGAAGATTCTGGAAGAAAGATCCGCTACATTCAGGTATTATAGAGTGAGCAGTTGTTCAGCCTGCGTAGGGAATCACTATGTGTTCAACACACCCCATCTTCCATACCCGGGTACACATTACACTTTTCCTGCAAATATGGCCTGTTCTGCTCCTTGCCCTTGCACACCAGCCCCTTGAATCCGAGTAAGCCTGTGACTCACTTTGAGCAACAGAATTTGCTAGAAGTGATATATTGTGTGAGTTCTAGAGGCTTGGCAACTCCTGTTGTGCCCTGATACAGGTGAAGGTGCCCAGAGCAGCTTCTTTGAGGATGTGACCACATGGAGAGAAAAGCAACCCAACAGCCAGCACTAACAATCAGCCATGTGAGTGAGGCCTTCCTGGATCATCCACCCCCGTGGCACCACCAAGTGACTACATTCACACATACCCCTCCCTCCAGAACTGCCCAACTGAAATTGCTGACCCCCAGAGTTGTGAGTTTTGGAGGCTCTGTTACACCACCAAAGCTAATTGGTATCACACACAATTAGGCTACCATTCCCAGCATCCCTTGTCTTTAGGTGGGGCCATGTGACTGATTTCTGGCCAAGGGGATATAGGTGGAAGAAAGAAATACACCTTCTAGCTTGCCTCATTTCACAATCCTTCCTGCTGGCTGCATGGAGAGGCCTTCACAGAGCCCAGAGTCCTGTCTGACTGTCTCTTGTGACCTGCCTACGCAGGACTGTAACATGAGCCACTGAGATTTCAGTGCTGTTTGTTACAGCAGTTAACCTACTCTGATTGATCCATTAGAGCAACAAGGTAGGAGATTAGATTTATAGCCTCGAGTAAAGGTCAAAGCTGAGACCCATCAGCATCAGCATCGCCATCATCATTGTCACTATCACTTTCTAAGCAATAACCACAATGGCTACTGTTTATTAGACACTTGCTATGCCAGACCTTGTGCTAAGGGCATTAGCAATTTATTCATCACAATGCCTAAATAAGGTAAGCACTATTATCAATCCCCCTTTTTTTTCCAATTCCCATGTTAGAGATGAGAACATTAGCCCAGAGAGAGAAAATGACTTGCCCAAGGCCACAGCCTGAGAGTAGCAGAGCCAGCATCTGCATCCAAACCATTCTGATGCCATATTCTGCATCCACATCTACTCTAGGCTGCCTGGGTAAAAAGTGTCCAGCATTGGTGAGGCACTGGGAGATGTCCTGACCAGAGATTTCAGGTGCCAATCTATTAGCTCTTGTCCTCAAAGTCAGTGGAGCTTCCAAGGCAGGACAGTGCCTTGAGCAGATCTGGTGATTGACCTTTAAATACAGGGATAACTACCTGTTCGTGTATCTTATATTCTGGCTCAGAGTCTCATTCATTCAAGTATTTCCTGAACAGTAGATAGGTTTTCAGGGAATGTATGCCCAGAGATGAGTCAGATGAGATCCCTGCCCTGGAAGGCCTTCAGTATTTATGAGGCGGTAGACAGAAATCACTGTAATATCCCACCAAAAGTGTTCCCTATAAAAGCATAGGTAATCTTATTTGGGAGCTGAGGGATGGAAATGATTAATTCTGGAGGGTGGAAGAAGAGACAGTGAGCTTTCTACGCCCATATCCATGCTTCCTTTTTCCCTTAGTAAAATAACTGTATTTTTTAGTTGCCCTATATCCTGCAGAAAGATACTTCCCAGACTCCCTTGTGGTTAAGTGGGACTGTGTGATAAACTTGAGTCCAATTGGATATAAAAAAAAAATGTCATGTGGTAATTTTGGGAGGAATTCCTAGAGAAAGGGGAAAGGCCTTTTCCACCAGGTCACCTTTGGCTGCCTGGAACTCTGATGTGATGCCTGAGTTCTAACAGCCATCTTGGACCTGAGGACCAGGGCAGTAGGGCTGCCAAGAACCGTAAGTTGCACAGGTCTCTGGTGATGATGTGGAGCTGCCATGAAAGTTCTGGATGCCTACTTCTGGACTTCCTTTATGTTTTCATATAATGCTTTGTGCACTTAAGCCACAATTAGGGGTTTATCTAGCACCTCCTGGAATATCAAGTTTAATACATTTAATCCTTGCCTCTCCCATGCTTTCTCAATCTCGGTGCCAATCATCCAGCCAATTGCTCAAGCCAAAAGCCTAGAAATCATCCAAGTTTTCACCTTTCACCTCACCTCTTAACATCCATTCCATCAGTAACAGCTATCTATTCTTCCTCCAAAACAGTTGCCAAATCTCTTCACACTTGTCTACCTCTTCTACCATCACCCTGGTCCAACAACGACATCTCTTATCTGGATCCTTTAAGAGTCTTCTCTTGGGTATCCCTGTTTCCATGCTTGCCTCTCCTGACCCCCACTAGAGCCATTCTTCACACAGTAATCATACGTATTTATCAAAAAGATCAATCAAATCAAGTCACCTCTCTACTTAAGGCCTCTAAAAACTGCCCATTATACTTAGAATAAAATCTAGACTTCTTCCCTGGATCTTCACAGCACGTGCTGCATGGCCTGGCTCCTCTCTGAATACAGCTCCAGCCACCCTCCTCTACTGGCTTCACTGTAGGCTCACCAGCCTTGATGTCCCTCAAACACACTGAAGCTCATTTCTACCACTGGGCCTTTTCACTTGCTCTTCCCTCTGCCCTGATCATCCCAGGACCACCTCCCGTTCTCATAGATTTCTGCTCATATCAACACCTCCTTAGTGACCTTCTTACTCCCTATCCCTTCACCTCCAGAAGACGTTCTACATCATCATTTTGTTTTATTTCTTCTATGGAAATGTCACTAATTTGCTTACTTGTTTATTGTCTGTCTTCTATCACTAGAACATAGAGTCCACGAAGGTAGGGACATCATCCATCAGGTCTATTGTGGCATTCCTAATTCCTAGAAGAGTACCTGGTGCTCAATAAATATCTGGGGATCTCAGTGAATCAAGTACACATCAGGCAGTATGTCATTCAGCCTCACAACAACTTTGTGACATCATTCTTCTTCTCCCAAACACCTGGTTTGATCCCAGCTGGACTACTGGCCATTTATGTGACCTTGGGCAAGTGATCTCACCTTTCTGAGCCTTGACTACCCAATCTGTGAAATGGGGATGATGCTAGTGTTGCCCAGTAGCCCAAACTCAGGGAGGGTTGTAATAACAATAATGCTGTTATTACAACCTCCAGAAGCACGCCTGTACCCATGAAAACTGACCAGCCTGCACATTCTGGCACATTTAAAAACACCTCGAAGCCTATCCATGGATCCTGAACCTCAGGGCTAGTCCAGTGCTAACCCCCCATTTTACAGATGTGGACAATGAGGCTCTGAGGTCCCAAACAAGTCAGTGGCAGAAGCTCAACATCTCCTGGAAGCCATCAGGACCTCTAGATCTGATCCCCCCAATTTATACCTTGTTCTCAGCTTGAGGGTGCACATGGGGTGAGGGTGGGGGGCTTTTGTCTTATTCCCTCCCCCTCCCGAGGAGTCAGTAACCAACAGCGTTTGTGCCTGGAATATTAATGTCCCAGGAGCTTTTGTTTCAGGGTTGGGGGGTGGTGAGGCGGGACTTGCTGGTCAGAGAGGGGCTGAGCTTTGGGGATTGGGGCACTGGCCCTTTAAACTGTTGACAGCCTAGAGCCGGTCATGGGAATGGTGCCTGGAAAAAGGCATAAGGAAAGGTTTGGGAAAGAGTGGCTAAGCAGGTGATATGTGGAGACCCAGAATCCAGCACTCGCCTCCCTTCCACTAAGAATACGATCCCCAGCTGTCTCCTCTCCCAGGATCTAGGTGTCCAGGCCCCTTGGGACCTCCTCCATCAGAACCCAGGAATCTGGATTTCCAGCATCCTCCTCCCTCAGCCCAGAATTCCAAGCCCCTACCCTCTTCCCCTTCAAGCCCAGGAGTCTGGGCCTCCAGCCCCCTCCTCCTTAAGGACCCAGAAGCCAGGGGTCCAGACTACACAGCTGGTGGATGTTTCCACGGAGACTAAGAGAGGTGGGGGGAGCACTTCCTGGGTCCTGAGTCAGCGCATACCCAAGGGAGTCTCAAGGTCATAGTTCTGGGAAGGTCACAGCCACCCCCTTAGTATCCACTTCCCAGGGGGCTCATGGCATCCTGCCTCCTTCCCCCACTTCCTCCCCTAGGGAGGTGGTACATCCCTACATCCTGATCGAACCCCCTCTCAACCCCCCATCAATGGCGGAGTCCGAACATCCTCGCACAAAGCATCAATTCTTCCCCAGCTCAAGCCTGTGAAGGAGCCTGTATTCGCAGGACCTAGGCATTAAGGTCCCAGCCCCTCCTCCCGCAGAAACCTAGAGTGAGACCCCCAGCCCCTTCCTCTCTTAGGACTAAGGAGACTGTGCTCCCACCCCCGCTCCCCTTACCTCCCTCAAGAATTAGGCTTATGGACCCTCAGCTCTCTCCTCCCTCAGACCCAAGAGTTCAGACCCACAGCCTCCTCCCTCAGACCCAGAAGTCTGGGACACCAGTCCCCTACTCTCTCTGACACACATGTCCAGGCCCCCCCAATCCCTCCTCCCTCAGACCTATAATCCCAGGCCCCAGCCACCCCACCCTCAGACCAGAGTCCAGACCCCCAAGACCCTCTTACTCAGACCCAGGATTCCAGATATCTCCCCACCTCCCCCCCCCACCCCCGCCCCATCCTTCCTCCCTCAGACCCAGGAGTCCAGGCCCCCAACCTCCCCCCACCCCACTACCCCTTCTTCCTCAGACTAGGAATCCAGGCCCTTAGGTCCCTCCTCTCCTAGAAACTTTGACTGGGTTCACAGTCCTCAACCCCCAGAACCACAAGCCTGCCTTCCACTAGCCCTCTGGCCCCCTCCTCTCTGGGGCCCAGGCATCAGGTGGGGGGTGTAGGGGTGAGTCAGCAGCCTCACACACAAAGCCCCCCCTGTGGGCACACGTTCCTGGGATATTCAGAACTCCCTGCATTCTGGGCCTCAGGCCCAGCCAGAGGGTGGGGGAGTCCTCGGAGGTTCCCCTGTGACATGGGGTCAGGAGAGGAATTCCTGCTCTGAGAAGGGTGCAAGCCTGCACTGAGCTCCCACTGTCCTCTCCTCCACCCCCAGTGCCCTCTATTTACCCCTTCCCAGAAAGGCCCAGGCTCTGCCGCTGCCTCTGGTCCCACTGGGTGTGTGCGGAGGAGCCTTGGTGCCTGGCTCCTGAGGATCTATGGACCTGGAGTCTGCCTGGGTGGGAACCAGTGGGTGCTTGGGTCCTGGTGCCACAGGCCATTGGGCACTGGCGAGTCTGACTGCCTCCAAGGCCCCCCCACCCCCCACCCTGAGAAAGAAAGCTGCCTTTGTGTTCCCCAAGATGGGGACAGGCCAGGCTCGCACAACATTAACCCACCCCAGGCCCCAGCCCTGCTGTGTGTAAGATCCTGGGATCCTTATTACAGAACCTGAGCCCTATTTCCAGGCTCTTGAGGACTCAGGCCTCTAGCTCATGGCTAAATGGGGGTCCATGATGGAAACCTCCCAAGACCTGTACTTTGGGGTGACTCACGATGGGGAGAAGGTCCCCCTAATCTCAGCTCAGCCTGTCCGAACTTTAGCACTTTAAGGAAAAGTGAGTCATTTGGGAGGAAACCATTCCTTAGATCAACAACTTCTCCCTCTACAAAGCCACCCCAACTCTTAAGAGCTTCTCTATCTTTTCTTCGTATCTCTTCCCCTGGCTCCTTTGTCCCATCCAATTCCTGGCCCTGAGTCCTTTTCTGCTGGGTACATCTCTGGGCAGGGAGCCAGATCCTTCTCACCTCCTCTCGCCTGCCTGCCCTGGACACTTCCTTCTTCTGGCATAAATCTCAATACTCTTTTCTGATATTCTTGGCGGATGTATGGGTGAACCAGGAAAGACAGAGTAAGTGTCTGACCTCATGTCCCAAACCAAGACCTGCTGATTGGACAAGGTGAGTGAGAAAGAGGGGTGACTAAGAGGAAAATGAGGGGACCATCGATATCCCCTAAAATCTGGTGGCCAAGGCCAACAGAAAGGAAAAAGAGGCAGGGCCCTCTGAGACCATGTACTCCAGCTCTCCAGGCTTTATGGAAGGGGAAAGTGAGCCCCAGAGAGGGCAGGGGTAGACATAAAATTACACCCTTGCCTCCCAGCCAAGTGCCTCCATGACAGTAGCTCTCTTGCCCAACATTTAAAGCCCCATGCCATTAAATTTAGAGAAAATTTAAAGAAGGGATTGGGGGGGCCAGTTTAAAAGCAGTGACTTGAAAATTACACAAGAGGCAAGCTACCTTCCAAAAGTGCTGGAGAAAAGATGCTGGAACTTGGTGGGTGGTCCTCTTAGGCTGTCTTCTGATTTGGAAAACCTAAAAGGCCCATGATTCTAAGCTGTCAAGATGCTAGTTGGCAGAGATGTCAAGATTCTGCATCTCTAAGAGGTCAAGATTTCAGAATTTTAAAGTTGTCCAAGAGGTTGGTATGCTAATGCCATCAAGGTTCTAGAACTGCAAATGTGTCTTTATTCTAAAGACTTTGAGATTCTGGTATCCTAAAGATGTCGACATCCTAAAATACTGTCAGGGTCTTTGTTCACTGGGTCTCGGATTCTAGAAGCCTGGCTTGGGGTAGGGTGGGAGACTTAGAAAATAAAGACAAAAGAAAATTGGATGAAAATGTAGCTAAGATACCAAAGCGCTGATCTGGGAAATGATGCCAAGGCTGCCTCAAAGAAAGGAGCTAATGAAAGTTCTGAAGCAATGGCAGAAGACTATAGAAGGAAGAAAGGTCAGAGGGTGGCAAGGTCAGCTTTGTCTCTTGCCTTGTCCACAGAGGAGAGGAGGGAGGCTCTGTATCAAACCCTACCCTGTTCCCTTGGCTCCTCTGTCCCATCCAATTCCTGGTCCTGAGTCCTTTTCTGCTGAGTGCATCTCTGGGCAGGGATTGGGAAAGGGAGGGGAAAGAGATAACCACACCCAACATGCCAGAAGCTGGAGTTCCCTTTCAGGTCACTGAATTCAACTTCTTCACTTTACAGGAAAGGAAGCCGACCCCGAGAGCGGGTCATCCATTGCTAGGTCAAGGAGCCACAGTCAGGATGTGATCCCAGCTCCCAGCCCTGTGCCATCAGGCTACACTCCTCTCCCACATCTCTTTGGAACCTCTTGCTTCTGCTCTGCCACCTCCCCATCATCCGTTCCTCTCAAGAGTGACTTTGCCCACCAGGGAGGGGGTGACCTGTGGTAGGTACAAGGTTCACACAGTGTGAGAGTGTGAATGAGTGGGTGACATTTCCTGACCTTGTCCCCAGTCTCAGGGTCACCCTATCTTGGAGGTCTCCAGCTTCTCACAGCATGTGATAAAGAGTTTGTGTATGACTCCCAGGATGTGCAGGAAGGGGACTTCTCTGAAAGTCAGGGCTTGGGTGTGTGAATGGGTGGGGAAGGGCAGCCTTTGGGAGGCAACTGCTGAATCCATGTGTGCCCACATGCTGAGGTTCCCACATACTCCTACACTCACACACATACACACACACACACGCACATACACACACACACACACACACTTCCTTCCAGGGCCCTTTAGGGTGCCCTTCCTGACTTCATTTCTCTCCTCAGGAGCTCAGAGGGATAGGGAGATGGAGGAATGAAGGATGGCACGGGGGATCCTGGGATGGAGGTTGTAAGGCTAGAGAGGGGAGACAGACAGACAGGGACAGGGAGACCGTGGGGCAGAAAGAAGGGGATAGAAGGAGCGAGCCGATGGGGGAGGGGAGCGAGAGAAACAGGCATGACAGAAAGATAGGGGGACAGAGACCACGGTACGGGACAGACAGGGGACAGAGAAACAGGGTGACAGCGGGACTAGGAGAGGGAGAACGGGGCAACGAGGAAGGGCAAAAACACAAGGGGACGAAAAAGGGGCATAGAGGATGATGGGGGTACAGAGTGACCCAATAAAAAAGGACAGAGACCAGGGGACAGAGGTGGGGGACAAAGACAGGACAGAGAGGTGGGAGCCAGGGAGGTGGGGGCACAGGGGGGACAGAGGGAGAGGACTTCAATACTGGGGGACAGAGGACAACGGTGGAGGGACGAGGCGAGAGACTGGGGGACTCAGAGGCAGCCGGGCCCAGGGACGCAGAGACGGGACAGAAGGACAGCGGGACGGGCGGGAGAGGCGGGCTGGGGACTGGGGTTGCGGGGGGATGTTCTCCGGCCCTTTGTCCCCGCCGGGCGCCGGGCCTGTGCGGGGTGGGGGTGCTGCGGCACGGCGGCGGGCCCGCGCCCCCTCCCCCGCCCGCCCGCGGCCCCGGCTCCCGGCGGCGCTGCGCTTTGTCCCGGGGAGGGGGCCCGGCCCGGCCCCGCGCGCATTGTTCGGCCTCTGCGGCCCCGCGGCGACCGGGCGGCGACCGCGGCGCGCCCCCCTCCCCGGCCCGGCCGGCCCGCCCCGGACCCCGACCCTACCTGGCCCCGCCGCGGCCGCCCACAGCAGCAGCAGCGGCCACTGGAAGCGCCGGGCCCGGCCCATGGTGCCGCCGACACCGCCGCCGCCGCTGCTCGCTCCCGGCCCCGCACCTGCACCGCCCGCGCCGCCCGCCCCGCCCCTCGCCCCGCCCCCTGCCCGCCCGGGGCGGGGCTTCGGGGCCGGGGCGGGGCTTCGGGTCGACGGGGGCGGGGCCGCGGAGGGGCGGGGCCCCGGGACCCCGGAGCGGCCGCTGGACAATGCGGGGCGCCGCTGGGGTTGCGGCACCCCGGTGGGAAGCGGCGGACGGGGCCGAGGGCGCGCGCGAGGCGTGGGTGAGCGTGGCCGTGGCGGGGAGGGGGAGGCTGAGGGCCCTGCGTGAGGCGCGAGGCTGGGGCTGTGCGAAGAGGTGAGGGTGTGCGGGCGGCTGTGTGTCAGGAAAGGTGAGGGTGTGAGGGGGGGGGGGGGGGGGGCGGGGGGAAGCTGCGCGGAGGTGCGGGGCGGGGTGAAGGGAAGGAGAGGGTGTGAGGGCCTGAGCATGGGGGCGCGCTGTTTAGGGCGAAAGGGGAGTGCGGGAGGTGTTCTGCGGACAGGTGAGCGAAAGTGAAGTTGTCGCGGGCAAGCGTGGGTGAAGGCCTGGGTGAGGTGTGCCCGGGCTCTAGAGGGAGTGTATGCGAAGGTGAGAGCCTGGAGGGGGGAGTGTGGTCTGGGAAAGGTGAGCCAGAGGTGTTCTGTGGACAGGTGAGGGTGAAGGTCTCACGTTAGAGGCTGTGAGCAGAACCACCGAGAGAGGGAAGGCGGCAGCCCAGTGTCTGTCTGGGAAAGTCCAGGATCTCCAGGGCAGGGCTGGGCTGGGCTGGGCTGGGCTGGGCTGGGGTCGGGTGCCACCCTCCCTCCACTCCTGAACCGGAAACTCAGAGTTTCTGCATCACTCCCAGGAGGGAGAGGCTCCTGTGGACTCCTCCCAGGCCCTAGGTTCAGCTTCCCCACCCCACTTCCCTGCTCTTGCCCCATCTCCGTGACCTGATCTCTCTATGTTCCCTTTCCTGCTCTCCCATCACTGATGTTGATGCTCTTCCAGACATGGATGGGTGCTGTCTGCCTCCTAGAGAGTGGATCTGTATACCTGGTGCAGGATTATTACTTTTAGAAACCATGGAAGGCAGATGACCGTAACCTCCCCTATGTTGCTTTGACAGTTGGGTACAAGGAGATGTGCCAGATATGAAAACCCTTGCTCTTTATCTCCATCACTACCAAAAATTCTACATTGGGCCCCCAAGGAAATTCAACTCCTGACATCTTTTCTGGCTGCATTCCCTGGTTCCCAGCATTCTATCTTCTCTGTCCTAGGGACCCAAGGGCCCATCAACCCCTGCATCTCCAAGACCACAGCTTGGAGCGACTCCTTTCCTTTACCATTCTCGCTTACCCTTCTGCAAGTTAGGGGATGAGGTAGGCAGGCTGGATCACCCTCCTTCCAAGCTCACATTCTGTGAGTTAGGATAGGTGGCAGAGAGGAGTTGTCCTGGAGGTGTCTGACCTGGATTTGGGACACTGGTTTGAAGGGGGGGGGTAGCTAATCATTAACTATAGGTCCCCTTGCTTATGACTCTACTCAATGTCTCCTGTTCCAGCTGCATGACACCCTGGGAGACTATTGGTTTGGGTCTCATCTGTTCTCTTTGAGTCCCACCATTTCTTCTAGAAAGAGAATGGTGGTTCTGTCCCCATCCCACTCCACAGTATTTTATCCACAAGGGGTTTCATGTAAGTGACAGCAAATCCAACCCAACTGGTTTAAGAGGAAGAGAATTGTTTTATATGTAAAAAAGTGTCAAGTGTGGCTAACTTCGGGTGATCTGTCCATCCCTTTGCCCTATGGATAAGTGATGCTCCTCACAGTGCAAGCTAGCTAGCAAAAACCCTTGTGGCCCCACTTTTCCTTCACATTTGGAGAAAGGCGGAGGGAAAAAGGCAGACAGATTGAGGTAGGATGAGGAGTGGGGTGAGGGGGAGAGAAGAAAGAGACTTTAAGAAGTTCCCTCAGAAAAGTAGGAAAACACTTTCCCCCAGAACTTCTGGAAAACCTTTTAAGGGTCTCATTGGTCCAGATGATGTCACCTGTCTATCACTGAACCTCTATCAATGGCCAGGTAATGTAACCATGCTGAGTAAGTTAGATGTAAGCATCTTCCTCCTCCCCAGGTCAGAAATGAAATCATCTTTCCCAAACAGACATGGATATTGGGGAGACAGCTGCTGTGTTTGATGTTTTTGGAGGAGGGAATGGATTGCACATCATCAACTAATCATTCTTGAGTTTTGGAAATCTCTAGATGATACAGACTTTGTTAGTTGGTCCTTCAGTATCATTCACTCCCCCTTTGTTTCTTCCTAAGAAAGTCCTGATTTTACTTAGACATCCATCTTTCCTTATTTTTTTAAAAAGATTTATTTTTTTAAAAGATTTATTTATTTATACAAGAATCGGGGTGCAGGCCAGATGTGTGGGAGGGTGAGAGGACTCACCAGAGACAGAGCCGGGGACAGAACAGGCAGACTGATGAAATACACTGCTGAGGGGAGCAGCGGGTGAGACAGGAGAGAGGTCTGCCTCGCCAAGTGGGCATCTCCACGGCTGGCGGGGATCGAACCGGCACTGCAGAGGCTGTGGACAGCTTCACAGCACTGAGGCCCTGAAAGATTTATTGATCTATGCACACAAGAACTGGAGTACAGGCCAGAGGTGCGGGGTAGGGTGGGGGTTGCCGGTGAGAGGATTCACCAGAGACAGAGAGGGGAACAGAACAGGCAGACCAACCAAAATACACTGCTGAGGAGAGCAGAGGAAGAGTCAGGAGAAGTCTGCTGTGCCATGTGGGCCACTCCCTGGCCGGCTAGGAATTGAACTCGTGCTGCAGTGACTGCTGATAGCCTCGTAGGTTGTGTCTCAACCCCCTGCGCCACCAGGGAGGCCCCATCCAGGCCCCATCCACCTTTCTTTAATAGCTAGATGAAGTGGAAGAAGTGCCAGGAATGGGGTCTGAATATGTTTTGCCAAAAATCACTCTCCCAGTGATTGCTGTAGGTATGGGTATCCAAAACAAGTCAGAAGAATAAAACAGGAAGGAAAAGCTAGTCTGAAGTGTTAGGATAAGGTTTCTTTGTTGTTGTTGTTGTTTTTAAAAAAAGATTTATTTATTTATGCATACAAGAACTGGGGTATAGTCCAGAGGTGTAGAGGGCTGAGAGGATTCACCAGAGACAGAGTGGGGAACAGAACAGGCAGATTGACTGAAATGCACTGCTGAGGGGAGCAGCGGGCGAGACAGGAGAGGTCTGCTGCACCATGTGGGTAGCTCCCTGGCCAGCAATCGAACTTGTGCTGCAGTGGCTGCCTATAGCTTCATAGGTTTCGTCTTAACCCCTTGCAATACCAGGGAGGCCCCAAGCTTTCTTTGTTTTTTAAAAAAATATAGGCTACTGAAAGATGGGCTTTGTTATTGCCTCTGAATGTAGGTGTGATGTCTGGCTCTTCGGCAGCCAGCTTGAGGCCATGAGTTAGACAAGCTTGATTTGATCCTTTTGGACATGGTAGAAACACTGAATTAATCAACCCAGCAACTGCCTTAACTCATGATCTCTCAGTATGTGAGATAGCTTCTCTTTGTTTCAACCATTTTGAGTTGGGAATCCTGTTTTAGCCAACCTTTGCCACCATTTTGCCTGTGATTCACATATACTACACAGAGGGAGCCCTATTTGCAGGTTAAAGCATTCTGAGTGGTATTTTTCTTTTTCAAGTGCTCCCTCATCCTCTTGTAGGATCTCTTTCACAGAGGTTATTTTCCAAGCTCTGCCAAGTGGGCTGTATGCCACGAGCATTTCCAGAGCATTGGATGTCTGTTAGCAACCTGAGCAACTGTATATAGTGACTTTGGTGTGCACTTCCCTGACTGTAGCAGAGGGGATCATAGGCAGAGCCCTGACCCAAACTTGACCCCATCAGAGTTTACCCTCTAAAATTTTAGAAGTGGGGCACAATAGTTCTTGGTACATGACATTTCAAGGGCAGATTTAGCTATAACACATAAAGTAGAAGAAGGCAGTCTGTGGAAAGAACAATAAAGTGGAAGCCCATGAGGGAAACTATACATCCAGAGAGACATCCTTGATTTTCAGCTGTTTCCTGGCCCTAGTGAGGCCCAGAGACCTAGCTCCTGCTTGGATTCTAAACTTCCAATAACCATTGTAGTTTTTGCTTAAGTCAGCTTAAATAGATTTTATTTCTTGTAACCAAGATCCCTGAATGCAAACTTAGGAACCGTTAAAGATGAGATCTTGATCACAAGTGCTGGTGTAGGACATTTATTCCTAGCCTCAATTTATAAGAAATTTATCCCTAGTCTCTGCCATGGAGCATCTTGGAAGATGTAATCCTAGCCTCTGACCTCTATCATGAGGTCTCATGGAAGATGCAGTCCTAGCTTAATTCCTGCTGCATGGAAAATGTATCCTTAGCCTTCAATCTCTGCTGTAAGGCATTGTGGTGGATGCAATTCTAAACTCCAATATCTATTGAAGGGAGTCGTGGGAAAGGTAAAAGGATCCTCGATTTTAATTTTCTGGAATCTGTGGAATATAAGAGAAATAAAACAAAGGAACTGACTAAACTAAAACAAACTCTAGAAATATGATTGCAGAATAAGGCTACTAGAGGGGAGAGAAGGCAGGAGGGAAAAGGGGGGAGTGGGTCCTCATGGTCAATGGTAAAGGACTATGGGTGCTTTGATGATGGGTGTGGTGAACTACCTCTGTGGTAAAATACATCTGTGAACCTACTCCCCTAAATCATATAGTGTTGTAGACCAATGGTACCTTGATTTAAAAACAAAAACAGGGCCTCCCTTGGTGGTGCAGCAGTTGAGCGCTGGGCTGCGAAGCTGACCGCAGCCTCTGTACCGCTGGTTCGATCCCCAGCCACCGGCGAGGGTCCCACATGGCGCACAGACCTCTCCTGCCGTGCCCGCTGCTCCCCTCAGCAGTGTATTTCGTCAGTCTGCCTGTTCTGCTCCCTGCTCTGGCTCTGGTGGATTCTCTTACCCTCCCATCCTCTGACTGTACCGGGTGCTTGTATGTATGTATAAATAAATAAATAAATAAATAAATAGATCTTTTTTTAAAAAATCACTTTATAAATAAATAAATAGATAGATAGATAGATAGATAGATAGATAGATAAATAAATAAAAACAAAAATGGAGGATACCTCAGATGTCATCTTGGCCTCTTCTCTGCTAAAGTGCATCACAGTGATAGGATCCTAGCCCAGACTTTGTTGTAAGACATCACAGAAGATGTGATTTTTCCCTTCCTCCTTTCCTTTCTCTTCCTCTCTCCATCACTATCTTCTTCCCCTCTCCCCTTCCGGACCTTCCTCTCTCCCTTCCTCTCTCTCTCTCTCCCCCTTCCTTCCTGCCTTCCTTCCTTCCTGTTTGCCTCTCCCCCTTCCTTCTTCGTTCATCACAGGTCATGTCCCTGGCACTAATTTAGGTGCTGGAAGTAAAAAAAATGAGCAAATAAAAGGCTTTGCCCTTTATGGAAATTATTGTAAAGAGATTTAGGGGAAAAAACACACACAAATGAATGGCTGTTTTCAGTTAACTGCTTCAACATAAAAACATAACAAAAAAAAAAAAACAACAAAATATCCCAATCTATCCCAAAATATCCCAAGGCTCAGCCTTTTCATTTTGTGATTCTGCAGGTGGGGAATCTGAGCAGGCACAGCAGGATCCATACATATCTGCTCCACAATGACAGGGCTGCAGGGAGCTGGCTCACACAGCTGGAGCTGGATGGGATGGTTCATTTGGGGCCATAAAACTGAAACCTGGGTTTGGGCTGTTGGCTGGCATTGTGGGTTGGGTTGTGTCCCCCTAAAACATGTGTTGAAGTCCTAGCCCCTAGGATCTACATGACCTTATTTTGAAATAGATGTTTGCAGATGTGATTAAGTCCTACTGGGTTAGGGTGGGCCCTACTTCCAATAACTGGTGTCCTAGAGAGATCTGGAGACACATAGTCACATTCAGAGGGACAAGGAAGGCCTTGGGATAACAGGGACAGAGATTGGAGTGACACAGCTGCAAGCCATGAGTTCTCAGCAAGCCCCAGAAGCTAGGAAGAAGACAGAGAAGGTTCTTCTCTTCCCAGAGAAGAGAAGCATACCTCTACCAACACCTTGATTTTTGACTTCTAGCATCCAGAACTCTGTGAGGATACTTTTCTGTTAGTAAAAGCCAACATGTGGTGTCACCTCAGCCCAAGAAATGAAAACAACTGGGTATCGCATTGCCCTTGGGGTGGCAACATCCATCGTGGTTCCTTTGCTCATCCAGCTGGCACCTGGGCTGAGGTAGCTGGGCAGAGGTGATGCTCCCTCTGCATGTGGCATCCATGCAGGCACCAGTTACCTGGGGCTCTTCAGAGCATGGCAGGCTCAAGGCAGGATGTCTTTTGCATAGCAGTGAGCTTCCCTAAACAGAATTTCTTCAAGCCTGAACCCTCACATGGGACAGGATAATTTCCTCCACATTCTGTTGGTCGAAGCATATAGTCACCCTCCTTGCCTGCCCCCCCAACCCCCTCCCCCAATCCGTCCACCCCCCCCCCCAAGAAGTGGAGATAAAGGCCTCACCTCTTTAAGCCATCACAGTGACAGTTGGTGATAGAGGATTTGAGGATGTCTTAGGAAGAAACCTTGTCCTGCAGCTGTCCCCCCATGGAAGATGTCCTATCTTTTTTCTTTTCTTTTTTTTCATTAGCTATAGGGCCTCAGGGGTCTATAATTTTGTCTCTGCGGGTTGCCTCCCTGAACATGGAAATATGAATTCTTCCCCATATTGTGCACTGAAATGTCTTTTCTCAATCAGTCCCAGGGCAGCTTAGGAAACAAACAGCCCAGCCTTTATCGCCTGCCCCCAGAGCATCAGGGCAAATGTAGTTCCATCCTTACTCCTCATGGAAGTGTATCAAGGGAGTGTGCTTATCTCCTGTCTCAGAGCCCCACTGGAAATGCAGCCATGTCTCCTTAGAATGACAAAGTAGTCCTGACCTCTGGAGTTTGGTGATGACATTGGAAGGTTAGTGCTTAGGTGGCTGATTTGGAAGGTTGCATTTGGAGCCCAGAAGTAGATATAGGGCCTCCCCTGGTGGCGCAGCAGTTGAGCGCTGGGCTGCAAAGCTGCCCTCAGACTCTGCAGCGCCGGTTCGATCCCCGGCCGCCGGTGAGGGTCCCACATGGCGCAGCAGACCTCTCCTGCCGCCCGCTGCTCCCCTCAGCAGTGTACTTTGTCAGTCTGCCTGTTCTGCTCCCCGCTCTGGCTCTGGTGAATCCTCTCACCCTCCCGTGCTTCTGACTGTACCCAGTGCTTGTATAAATAAACAAATAAATCTTTAAAAAAAAAAAAAAGTAGATATGGAGGTGGCTTAAGGTGGAAGCTGACATGGGATGACTTCCGAGGTGGGGTACTTGAATGCTTAGATCCTAAAATGTGAGGCCTAATTCCAGGAACCTGCAGAAGGGTGCCCCCCATTTATCCTCTCAAGGACAGATGCTATGGGGAAGGAAAGATCTGGTCTTGTTCACTAGTAAAAAAACAAACTTTATTTATATATAAAATATTAAATAATACAAATATTAATAATAATAGTGGCAACAATATTAACAATAAGAGCTCTCCCACTGGCCCATAGACTTTTTCCAGGTTTTCCCTTTAGTTCTCAAAAGTTGGTGAGATAGTTGTTTGCAAAGCTGGGAAAACTGAGGCCCAGAGAGGGTGGCACACTGGCCTGAGGTCACACAGCAAGTCTGCAAGACTGGGAGATGAGGGAAGGTCAAAGGCGTCCTCTGGATCCAGCCAGGGTAGGGTGAATGGGGGTTCAGGTTCAGAGGAGAGTGTCTCCCCATAGTCTGACCATGATAAGTAGGGTGAAGGCGATGCTGAGGTGGGCAGGGGCAGCCCGGGGGGCACCCCCCATGCGGGGTTGAACATCATTGACTGGGTGGTTACAGCCATTTCCAGTACAGCAGGTGACGTTGACATGAGTCAGGCTGAAGGCTTCAGCCACGTGGAGGCCTTGGCACCATGAGGGGGTTGCGCAGCCTCGGACTATGTAGCCTGGGGTCCCCAGCCCTGGAAGAGAAAGAAGACTGTGAGTCTCAGCACTTGGACCTAGGCCTGGAATTCTCACCAAGTGACAAGCCACCTGAAGGAAGCAGCAGTTTTAAGTATGGTCCAGGGACCCCTGAGGGTACCTCCAACACTTCCAGGGAAACTGTGAAGTCAAAATTATTCTCCCAATAATACTAAAATGTCATTTGACCTTTTTTGCTCTCATAAGCATTTGATGAAATTTCGCAGACACCCCAGGACATACACTGGTGTAACAGACTGAAAACAGAAGCAGCTATGAGGACCCAGCTGTCTTCTAAGCAGGACATCAAAGAGATTTGCAAATAGGTAGAACAAGGCCAATCTTGTTACTTATTTTTTTCACTTGGAAAACACAGTCATTTTTTTCATAAAAATATGTTCTGTTCGCATGTAATGAGTTTTTCTTATTTTAAAATGAATGAATAAATGTATCTTGGCAAAAGTGCTCAGTTTTAATTTCTTTTTTTTTTCTTTTAAAGATTTATTTATTTATGCATACAAGAAACGGGGTACAGGCCACAGGTGTGGGGTGGGGGTGAGAGGATTCACCAGAGACAGACTGGGGAGACTGACTGAACTACACTGCTGAGGGGAGCAGCAGGGAGACAGGAGAGGTCTGCTGTGCCATGTGGGTAGCTCCCTGGCCGGGGATCGAACTCGCAGTGGCTGCGGATAGCTTCATAGGTTGTGTCTTAACCCCTTGCGCCACCAGGGAGGCCCTCAGTTTTAATTTCTAATGCAGTAAATATCTATAGATATAACTGACACACATCAGGATTTTTTAAGAGCATGAAGAAATCTTGAGACCAAAAATTCTGAGAACAACTGGAAGAGAGAGACCTTCCCAGGTCATCATAGGATGACAACCCAGTGCTATTCACAGGAAGTCCCCCTCCAAAAAAGCCAACAGTTTTATGGCCATTTCCTAACAGACAAGTTCTCATCCCTTACTATCATCTGCACCCTCCTACAGGAAGGTACCTCTTTATACAAAATGTATTATATTTTATTGAGGTAATGTTAGTCTACAACACTGTGTATGATTCAGAGGTATAGGTTCATACCTCTTCAGATGCGTGTTACCACACCATACCCAACACCAAGGCACACACTGTCCTCCATCATAGTCCCTTGAGGATCTTCTACACTTAGCTCCTAACCCTCCGCTCCCCCTCTGGTAGCCTCAATTCTTGCAGTCAGATTTCTCAGATTTCTTCTGGTTTGGTTGCCTGTTCCTTGAAGGTAACTTTTCCTACAGGAAGCTCCACCTCAATGAAATCCACCTTAACTAGGTTAAGTCTCAGCACTCTCATGCTATCACCGCCGTGGCCTGAGTTCGATTCCCGGCCAGGGAGCTGACCCACATGGCACGGCAGACCTCTCCTGTCTTGCCTGCTGCTCCCCTCAGCAGAGTATTCCATTGGATCTGCCTGTTCTGCTCCCCAATCTGTCTCTGTAGAATCTTCTCCCTGCCCTTTCCCCACACCTCTGGCCTTCACCCAGTTCTTCCATGCATAAATAAATCTTAAAAAACAAAAACCTGTTTTTTAAGGGGAACCCTACCCCACCCCCAAGTATGCCTCACCAGCAGAGCCTGTGGCTTCCAGGCATTGATTCATGGGGCCTTGGCAGGTGATCAGGGAGGTCTCTTCCAATGAACATCCATGGGTGCTGTTCCCCTCACAGCTGTAACACTGGACGTCATTCAGTGGCAGGTGTTGAAGCTCCAGGACTTTGGAAAAGAAAAGTGATAGACCAAGGAAATTAGCATGGGGGTGGGGATGGTGGAGGGATGGAGGGGTATCATTTTTCCTTTCCTTGCATTCATCCTCCATACTCCAGCTTGAGTTGTCCTGGAGCCCCACTGTGGTCAGGCATTGCAACTACACTTTCAGTCAGGGTTGGAAGGGGAGGTAGGGCCTTCTCTAGAGCCTTTGAGAAAAATTCCAATTCCCACCTCCCAGTGAGTCCCTATCTGACCAGGCACTGGGAAAGCAGCTGTGTAAGATCAAACAGTCCCTACCCTCACAGAATGCACAGTTTAGAGCTACATTCCCCAATATGGTAGCCACTGATCACGTGTGGCTATTTACATTTATATTGAAATGAATTCATATTAAATAGAGTTTTAAAAATCAGTTGAGCACATTTCAAGAGCTCAGTCACCAGATGTGTTCGTGGCTGCCCCATGGCACTGTGCAAATACAGAACATTTCCATCACTGTGGAAAGTTCTATTGGACAGTACCAGCTTACAGAGACAGAATAAGAATAGCACAAAGGATCTAGATTATATTGGGAGGAGAGGAGAGGAAGTGCAGGGAAATTGTTTCCCTGAAGACAATCCTTTAAACTTGAGAATGGGAAGTAGCTAGCCAAGACGATCTCTTGGGGGAGGGTCCTGCCTGGGCAAAGACTCTGAGGCAGGATGGAGTTTGACAGCCTTAGAAATGAAAGGAAGACCAGGGGGCAGCCACGTGGTAGATGACAGGCCACAGCATGGTCTCTGGAGTTTATTATTTTTTTTAAAGATTTTTTTAAAAAGATCTATTTATTTATACAAGCGTTGGGGTACAGGCCAGAGATGCTGGAGGGTGAGAGAATTCACCAGAGACAGAGCAGGGAACAGAACAGGCAGAAGGACCGAAGTACATTGCTGAGCAGCAGCAGAGGGAGCAGCAGGAGAGGCAGGAGAGGTCGCCGCGCCATGTGGGAATCTCCCTGGCTGGCAGGGAATTGAACTGGCACTGCAGAGGCTACAGACGGCTTCACAGTGCTGCGCTTAACCCACTGCGCCACCGGGAAGGCCCTGGAGTTTATTCTTTTTTTTTTTTTTTTTTTAATATCACTTGGTTTTTTTTTTTTTCCTTAATAGAGGCATGTTTTATTTATTTATTTATTTGTTTGTTTGCTTGTTTATACATGCACTGAGTACAGTCAGAAGCGCGGGAGGGTGAGAGAATTCACCAGAGCCAGAGCGGGGAGCAGAGCAGGCAGAAGGACCGAAGTACACTGCTGAGGGGAGCAGCGGGCGGCAGCAGAGGTCTGCGCGCCATGTGGGACCCTCCTCCGGTGGCCGGGGAGCAGCCAGGGATTGAACCGGCGCTGCAGAGGCCGCGGGCAGCTTAGCAACCCAGCGCTCAACCGCTGCACCACCAGCGAGGCCCCCTGGAGTTTATTCTAAGGAGGGATTTTATTCTTTTTTTTTTTTTTTTTTAAAGATTTATTTATTTATTTATATAAGCACTGGGTACAGTCAGAAGTCGGGAGGGTGAGAGAATTCACCAGAGCCAGAGCGGAGAGCAGAGCAGGCAGACTAAGTACACTGCTGAGGGGAGCAGCCAGCGACAGGAGAGGTCTGCACACCATGTGGGACCCTCGCCCAGCGGCTGGGGATCGAACCAGTGCTACAGAGGCTGCGGGCAGCCTCGCAACCCAGCGCTCAATCGCTGCGCCACTGGGGAGGCCCTGGAGGGATTTTATTCTTAAGAAAGGACAGTGAGGGCCTCCCCTGGTGGCCCAAGTGGTTGAGCGCCACACTGTGAAGCTCTCTGCAGCCTCTGCAGCGCCAGTTCAATCCCAGCCAGCCCGCGAGGGTCCCACGTGGGGCAGCAGACCTCTCCTGTCTCTCCTGCTGCTCCCCTCAGCAGTGTGCTTCGGTCAGTCTGCCTGTTCTGCTCCCCACTCTGTCTCTGGTGAATCCTCTTACCCTCCTGTGCATCTGACCTATACCCCAGTTCTTGTATAAATAAATAAACAAATCTTTAAAAAAAAAAAAGACAGTGATATGATCTGATTTACATTTTTAAAAAACCCTTCTTGCTGACTGTGTTGAACTCTAGTTAGGATGGCAGCAGTGGAGGCAGATCATGGGGTGAGAGGTCATGGGGCTTCAACCATGGAGGAGACAGTGGAGGTGGGCAGTGAAAGATTTCAGGGAATGTAGGAAGTAGAAAGTGAGGGTCTTCCTGTAGGCTTGAAAAGTTCTCATTGAAGGCCAAATCCTTCTTTGAGGAGGGGTTTGATATCTCCATTTTTTTCAGAGGTGAACATGGAGACCTAGAGAGGAGGGATTTGCCTACAAGCATGGTGCTTTCTGCCTCTGTCATCTCCCTGCCCCCATCCCAGGCCTCCCACTTGGGATGCCTTGCTCCTTACCTGTGCCCGCGTTACATTTGGTGGTGTTGCAGCAACGCAGGAAGTGGAAGGTCTGGTTGTTGTGGAAGCCAGTGGGTCCTGGGCAGCCAGGAAGGTAGCCACAGCCACGGGAGTGTTGCTCATCTGCTAGACTTCCTGGAATCGTGGTGGGGGGCAGAGGAGATAAGTCTGATTAAAGAGGGCCTGAAATTTGCCCACCACAGTTATCATCCACCTGTTCTCTGCTTCACCCTTCATTATAGGACCCTCGTTTTATTTGAGGCAGCCACACATTTAGCCAAAAGACACATTTTTCTAGTCTCCCTGGGTATAGTGATGTGGCTAAGTCCTGACCAATACGATAGAAATAGAAATGATATATGAGACTTCCCAAAAAAAGAACCTTCACAAAAGGTCTTTCATTTCCCCCATCTTTCCCGCTTCCTCCTTCCTGGAACTTGTACACGAGGCCTGGAGCTCTGGCAGCCATCTTGTACTATAAGGCAATTTTGGGAATAGAATGAATATGGAAGAAATGGGTTCCTGGTAGCTGTGAAACTGGCCTAGTGGTCCTGAAGCTCCTATTGCTGGACATTTTGTGTGAGAGAACTAACTCTATCTTGCTTAAATCCCTACTATTTGGGTGTCATTGTTAACTGAAGGCTGGGGAAGGAGCAAAGTAAGGAGGAGCTGCTAGCAGGCTGGCACTTACCTTCCAGGCTCCTGTGGGTCACCACCTCCAGGCATTGTTCTCCAGGGTTACGGCATTGTAGGGTTTGGTCCCGGCCTCTCTCACAACTCATGTCTGATGAGGCACAGGAAGCACATTCAAGGTAACGGCTTCGGGGAAAAGTAGGTGCCCGGCCTGTTTGGGGAGAAGCAGGAGGAGGGTAAGACTCCATGGAGAGAGTGCCAAAGACCCATCTTCCTTGAGGGCTCACCTCACCCTTCAGCCAACCACCCTTCAGCCAATCACAACCCATTGTGATTCTTTCTAGAATCCATTCCCATCATTACAGCCCCATGACCAGGTTCAGCTCAGACCACCCTCATTACCAGCTTAAGCCCAGCCACCCAGTTTCCATTCTTGCGCCCACCCCCAAATGTGAATGCTCATATGGCCCTAAAAGATGTTTCTAGTACTCAGATCTGACCCTCTCCCTCTTCTTCTCAAGAACCTCTCCAAGGTTCTCCACTGCCCTCAGAGTAAAATTTAAGAATGGGCTCTGAGCCCCAGCATGGTGGGACTAGGACTATCTTGGCCACTACTTTGTTCCAATACCAGGTAGCACAGGATTAGAGCCAGAGAAGCTATCCAAAAAATATTTGTTGAATGAGTGAATGAACAATTATTTAAAATCCTTCTGTTTTTCCCCACGACAGTTAATCTCCAAAAGAGCCTCCAACGATCACTGCTTCTTGGTATTCATACCCTTATACAGTCCCTTTCCAAAAAGAATAGAACTAAATGATGTAACCAATAGGATATTATGGTAAAGATGCTGTGAGTTTTCCAGACTAGATTTTGAAAGACACTTCAACTTCTTCCTGGTTCTCTTGAGCTGGAGGACATCAGCTGCCATGTTGTAAGGAGGCTCAAGCAGCCCCATGGTGAGGTCTGTATGGCAGACCGTGCATGTAAGTGTGCTGCAGTCAGGACAGCCAATGAGGTTCTCTGTCATTCATGAAGACTTGGAGTCTAAATGAATTTGCAGCAGGGGGAGGCTAGGAGTGCCATGGAGAGCAACTCTCACTTTCACTCTCCCAGTCCAAGCTTTTACTAAAGATATGAAAAAAGGAACATGAAAATAGCACACAATTGTGGTTTTGCTTATACAGATTAATAAATTACCACTGAAAACCAGTTTTTCTCGTTAGTAGGGAACATGTGCACAAGCCAGTATGTCCTCAGACAACAAGAGTCAATTCTGGGAAAAAGTTCTGTTTGCAGAACTTCTAACGACCTGGAACTCCGCGTGCAGAGTAAACAGGTATTCTCTAAAAACTCAACTCCCTTTAGGGCAGCAGTCTCCCAACATAAGTGAAGCTACATTGAGAGCCTTCAGGTGTCTGCAGCCAAGCCACCATTTTGACTGCCTCCAGATGAAAGAGCCATAACTACCTAGCTAAGCCACGCCTAGATTCTTGCTCTTCAAAAGCTTTTTGAAACTTCCCAACTTATTTATTTTTGTTTTAAGCTTTGGGGGCAATCAGTAATGCAGCAAGAAGTCATTAATACACAGCTCGATAGTGTCAGGGGCCAAAGCCTTACGTGATTGATCTGTGATAACTTTGTCTTTCACAGAGCTCTTCCCATCTAGGCCGAATGGACTAGAATTGTTCCTCTGCCCAGAGGAACAATTGACTCACACCATTTCCCATGGTGACGAACCCTGCCCTACCTAACTGCAGATACTCAAATTGAATGTGGGCCAAGTCTTCAAGAAGGCTTGTCTCAGGGCCTCCCTGGTGGTGTAAGAGGTTAAGCACAGCACTGTGAAGCTATCTGCAGCCACTGCAGCACGAGTTCAATCCCCTGCGTCACCCGCTGCTCCCCTCAGCAGTGTATTTCAGTCAATCCTCCTGTTCTGCTCCCCACTCTGTCTCTGGTGAATCCTCTCACCACCCCCCCCACACCTCTGGCCTGCCCCCCAGCTCTTGTATGCATAAATAAATAAATCTTTAAAAAAGAGAGAGAGAGAGAGAAGGTCTATCTCAGCCACAGCAGTCAACTAGCAACCTGGCATCGGCAATTAATGAATTATTTATACCCAAAGCCTTTGTCCCCACCAAAATTGAAATTAATAAAAAGCCAACCACCCATGTCTTTTTACATGAACTTTCATGAAAATGCAAACAGGAGTTGCCATCATGCCAAAAGCTCTGCTGCCTCACACCTTTCATGAGTCTCCTTTGTGAATTCTTCTAAATGTGGGTGATCCTCATGGTCTGTCTTAGGTCCTTTAATTTTCTCAAGGCACACACTCCATCCTAGGGGATCTTATCCAGTGACAGGGCTTCATTCCCAACTATCCACAGGTCACTCACAAAATCCCCCTCCAGCCTGGACTTCTCTCTGACCCCACAACTTCCTGAATGCTCCCTGAATCTCTACCCCACCCCCTCCAAGTGAAAGTCTCTATCTTCTTCCCTGACCCGCTTCTCCTGAATTTCACATCTATAAGTGGCTCCATCCCACCCCACAGGGCAGAATCCTGGCATATTCCACATGTAGCCATCAATTATTAATCTGGATACTTCTGCTGCTCTATCTCCTAGTTTTTCAATCTTTTGGCTCTCCCTATTTCTGATCTCTATTAAGTATGTCCATTGATTTCTTAATTTCGGTCATTGTTCTGTATTTCCTGTTTTATTCTTTTTAAAAATGGATTCCAGATCTCTGCCAAAATGTAGTTCTTCCTCTATTATACTGAATATACTGATCATAGCTGTTTCAAAGGTCCTTCCCTAATAATGCCAACATCTGAATCATTATGAGGCTTTTTCTATTGTTGGATTTTTCTCTTGGTTTCTGGTCGACTGGTTCTCCTTATTTTCTTTAGGCTATCTTGTAAGTTTTTATCAGATGCCAGAATTACGCATGAACATTTGTAAAGGCTCTAAATGATGTTATCACCTTCCAAAGAGGGTTAGGTTTTCTTCCGTTGAGGATCAGACTTAAGCTTCCTTAGGGTTGGTTTATTTCAGTTTTGCCCTTACTACAAGGGTATGATCTAAGAGGAAAGCCTGAGGGACCTTGCCAACTTGGCAACCTTAGTCTCCTTGGCATCACATGCCTGCTGGAATCCTTGCTCTGTGCTATAGCTTCCCAGCTATTATTTTCTGGCATCTAATTCTATGCATGTATAGCTTGCCAATGACTTGAGGAAAATTTGCAGATATAGGAACTCCCTTTTCTGAGCTTCCATCTATTCTAGGATTTTACCTTTCATTTTCCAGACACCCTGGTAGCCCCAGACATAGTTTCCAACCACTATCTTCTTGGTCTCGTGACAACCTCTTTCTGCTTGGGATCTGTTTCCCCTGCACAGTGGTGAAGTAGAAAGGGCACACAAGGTAAAAAAAGCCAGGTTGTCTCTGTGGAACTAGACTTCTGTGTTTCCCTCATTTCAAAGATTGCAGCACTCAAGTTTTCTCTCTCGTTAGCTATTCTCTAGTGACTGATTTCAAATATTCATTTATAATTTGTCCAGTTTTCATAGTTGTCATTGCAAGGGGAGTTTGTCTAACACAAGTAATTCCATCATGACCAGCGCTACAAATCCACCCATCACATTGAATCCATCACCATGCCCTGCTCATCTAATTGCTGAACAGTTCTTCAGTCCACCACTTATCTCTATCTTCAGGGATGCCACACAGCCACTCTCTTCTCTATCTGAATAACCTCCCTCACCTTCAAGTTGGTTTCCCCTCATCTACCTTCCACCCATCTACTTTCCACTCTGAGCTTGGAATGCTTTGTCAAATGCAATCAGATCATGATACTCTGCTTAAAACACTCCTGGACAGTCTATATTCTTCACTATGGTCTATAAAGCATTGCATAACATGATCCTGTTAATTTCAGTGGCTTGGCTAGCCCATTTATTCCTTCCTCCAGTCATACATTCACCCACCTCTGGATCTTTGTATCTCTTAGTCCTTCTGCCTAGAAGACCTTTTCCACTGTTGCTTAAACAGTAGAACTCCTAGTCATCCCTCAAAATCCAGCTTTGCTGCTGCTGCTTCTAGAAAATTCTCCTTTCTCTGAGTCAGGCTGTCTTCTCTAGGGCTCCTACACTTCACTCATCCCATTTCTAACTCCTCTATCCTCTGCATCCCCCATCCCAGCCCTAAATAATCGGAGCAGTTGCTGCCTGGAGATGGGTCTATCATTGCTGCACCCCACCACCACCAAAAACTAATCTGTGGGTCGTGTGGGGACAGGACCCAAGGCTATCTTTCACTGCTGTGTCCTCAGTGTCATATAAGTACATAATGCGGTTTAACCAACTATCTAGTCACCATAAACAGAGTAAAATGGCCTTAGACATGGGCCTGATATAGGCATATCAATTGTTGAATTATTGTATGACAGATGCTGCCCCCATGCTCCCTCTGCCCATTGCCAGCTTCCTCATTAGAATCTTCATGTCCTGAGATCCACCAGGAAAAGGGATAATACCAGACTCAACAGGGGCCCTCCAAGGGTCTGTTCTGTTTGATCAATACCTTTTTTACTGACTAATATTGTTAAATATTTTTAACATTATTTCTGATTAGAAGCAACACTTAGGCTCAATTATTAGTGATTTCTTGAAGCATGTGTAACCAAGAGAGGAAGCTGGTGTCTTCTCTCTTGCCACTTCCTTGAAAATAAATTCCTTATTCAGTTGCTGCCAACAGATGAAAATCAGGGTGGATGCAGAACAAGGGGAAAAAAATAGTGCATACACAGATGTTCTGCTTACAGACGTCATTGTGACGTCTAAATGGCCTAAACCATTTCCTTTCTTACCAGGCCCAGGAAGAGGAATTTCTGCCTGACGGAGTTACATGGGTTTATCCTTCCCCTTTCTCTTTCCTCTCCTGTCAGAACTTGGGGGAATTTTTGAGCCCTTCAAACAATCTTTTTCTTAAACAGACCAGAAGCTAAAGTCATGCGATTGAACAAAAGGCTTATGAGAGTTTCTTCACATCCCCTTTTTACTGCCCAAGTCAAGTGCTACCTACTGCCAGGAATTTTCTGAGCTCACTTATGCTCTTTTCACTTTCCTTAAGGACTTTTAAGTCTCAGTCTCTCTCTCTAGTATCTTGGTCCCTTAGCAGCTATTGCTGAACCATCTCCTGCCCAAGGAAAAATGAGATCACAGAACATTGGTGAGATACCTCACCCAGAAGTAGATGGGGGGCCTCCCCTGGTGGCGCAGCAGTTGAGCGCTGGGCTGCGAAGCTGCCTGCAGCCTCTGCAGCGCCCGTTAGATCCTCGGCCGCAGGCGAGGATCCCACATGGTGCACAGACCTCTCCTGCTGCGCCCGCTGCTCCCCTAAGCAGTGTACTTCATCCATCTGCCTGTTCTGCTCCCCACTCTGGCTCTGGTGAATTCTCTCACCCTCCTGCGCTTCTGACTGTACCCAGTGCTTGTATAAATAAATAAATAAATCTTAAAAAATACCAAGTAGATGGGGTAACTCACCATTTATGTGTGTGTGTAGCTTACATATAGGATACGATTGAGTTAGGGATGGGTTTTGAATCTGTAGTGGTGGGTTGGGATTGGGGGAGAGTTGCCATGAGATGGTGTTGATTTGACTTTAGAAATATTTGGAATAAGGATCACTATGAGTTGGAAAAATTTGGGGGTAAAATGTATCAATAGCTGGGGGGAGCGCTGGAGGTGAGGTTGAATTGGGGATGGGGATGGGGTTGGGCTGGACTGGAGATGTGCTTGGGAGAAGGGTTTGTGTCCCTGCATTGATCCTGGGGTAAGGCGTGGAGCTGGAGTTGAAGTGGCATAGGGTTGAAATGACCATGAAGCTGAGTCAGCCATGGTTTGGGGCTGGGCATGATTGGGGTAGCCTACTTACCTAAGTGGGGCTGATTACACAAGTCTGACACACACACGGTCTCTGACAGGGTGATGATCTGCATCCCAGTCCGGTAGCTCATGGTCCTATTGGTCTTCTCTGGGTGGGCACAGCCTCTCTCCACCACCTCCAGCTTGTCCTCACCTGTGAGGAAGGTATTTTCATCACTCCAGAGGCTTCCCTGGGTGCAACCAGCCTCTGACACTCCTGGTCTTATGGTCATTCACTCCCAGGGCTGATTGCTATTAGGCATTTTCTCTAAGGGTCCAAAGGTCTTTTGTAGAGCTATCTTCCCACCTCACTCTCCCACCCTCCCCTTGCCCACAGGGAGCCTACTCTCTCTTAGTGCCAACATTATCACTGGAACTTTCCAGAACCATCAGCCTTTCCCTCACAGCTTAGTGTTCTCAGCAAGGAAATGCCTTTAATAGATGCTTTAATATATCTATTAGAACATCAAACTTACCTACAAACAAGCTGTAAGAGAATGATGTAACTACTATGTATACATTACCCAACTTTGTAAAATTATTAGCATTTTGCAATATATGTTTCAAATAATTTCAAAATTTTTTTTAAAAAAGAAACTAAACTTAAAGGGTACAATTAAAGACTCCTGGTCACCTCCCCCAAATCCTGTTCCCCTTATTTCAAGCCCAGAGGAAAACCACTGGCAGGTAATTCTTACAATATGTATATAGAATATTATACATTATTGTTTTACATATTTTACCCTTTATATTAAAAAGTAGACTCTGCAAAATGTTTTTATCTCTCATGTTTCTGAGATGTATCCACTTTAATACCTGCAGTTCCAGATCCTTCATTTAAACTACTGCAGAGCATGGCATTATGTGATTATGTCATGCTTCTCCTTTGCTGCAGGTTGTTCCCAATTTTCCATGGCACAAACATTACTGCTTAGAATATTCTTACACATGTGACCTTGCCACGTGTGACCTTGGGCACACCTGGCCAAGGTTCTTTGGGATTTCTATATTCCTAGGAGCTAAACCGCAGGCTGTAGGGATGCTCATTTTCATCTGTACTAGATTACTAGATGTTGCCAAATCGCTCTGTGCCACGAATGCACCAATTTAACCCCTTACCAGCTAGGGTCTGCAGTTCCACATCCACATCCTCCCCGGGTATTGTCATATTTTCAAAAGCTTGCCCATCTGGCAAGAAACAGCATCTCTGATCTCTTTCATTTGCAATTCCCTGATTAGTAGTGTGATAAGGTTCCCTGTGGAGCTGGAGTGGGGTAACTCACCTTCCCATACGCGCAGGACTGTGGTCCTGCAGAGTTCCAGGCCAGGGGCACACTCCTCCTGGAGGCAGTACCCTGTCCTCTCACACCGCATGCAGCGCAGGCCCCAGGAGGCTGGGGGAGGGAGAAGGAGAGAGGAGGTTGTTAAACTGGGTGCCTGGGTCTCCCTCTATAGCTCTCCCCTCAACGCACACACACATATACCCAGTGGGCTCAGTTAGGTTCTTGCTCCACGTTCTGCTAGTCCCTGGGTTCCAACGCTGGGTCCAAAGGAACTTCTAATCTATAGTTCTGTTCCCGCCTTAAAGTCCTGTCCTTGATGGTTTTCCCGTCAACTTCGGTCCTATCCTGAAAGTCTCATCCCCCATGCCTACCTCCACCTCGCCCCCTGGGGTCGACCTGGGGGGAACCTTCTAGTCCAGTTCCAGTTCTGTTGGTCCTGGGTCTCCGCTACCTCGCAAGCTCTCCTAGGGGGTTTCTAGCCTCATTAGACTCCAGTCCACGCTTACCTTTGCCTCCACTCCAGATGCCTCCTTCATTATCCACACCCCCCGCCATGCCTCCCCCTCGGGGTGTACCCCGTCTTTAGCCTCTCCCCCACGTGCTCCTCTCGCCCGTCAGTCATGCCGAAGTTCTAACCCGGACCCGACAGCCTTCAGGAGATCCAAAGCCGAACTTCCGTGGTTTTCCCGGACCTCCCCCAGGAGCCGTCTAGCCCCGCCCCCAGATCCTGGCCACGCCCCCAGCGACTCTGCGTTGTTATAGCAACTAGCGCGGAGCTCTTCCTGGGGACGGAGCCCGGCTCGCCGGGCGGCCCTGCGGTCACTCCCCAGCCCAAACCCCGAGACCTCGGAGTCTGCTCATTCTTGGCCTCCAGCGGTGCCGGCGGTTACTTTCCGGGTTATTCATTGTCGGGTTATGCATTACCCAACCACGCCGGCCCCGCGCGGCTCCCGGCCGCCCTGACTCAGTTCCCGCTGAGTTTCCTCTCTTTTGTTTAACTCTTTCCCAGCTTGAAATTTTCCCTGGAAAGGAACCGAGAGTCATGTCGTCTAGGGCGCAGTGAGAGGCAAGTGCCGTCGCGGGACACGTCCCTAGCCCTTGGCTCTGCGACTCCTTATGTAGCTCTCTTTAGACCTTATGTAAAATGAGGCGCTGTCCCCCCTGTCTTTCAAGCGGGGTGCGGGACCCTACCAAGTGGAGAGCGCTGTGGACGCCCCAGCAGGGTCAGAATCCCACTCATTCAAGGACTGGTTGTGGTGCAAGGGGTTAAGCACCGCACTATGAAGCAATCCGCAGCCTCTGCAGCTCGAGTTCGATCCCCGGCCGGCCAGGGAGCAACCCACATGGCGCGGCAGACCTCTCCTGGCTCGCCTGCTGCTCCCCTCTGCAGTGCACTTCGGTCAGTCTGCCTGTTCTGTTCCCCATTTTGTCTCTGGTGAATCCTCTCACCCCACCCCCGACATCTCTGGCCTGAACCCCAGCTCTTGTATGCATAAATAAATAAATCTTTTAAAAAAGAAAAAAAAAGGACTGGTCGGGGGACCTCTGACCAGTCACTTAACCGCTCTGTGCCTCAGTTTCCGTTGTGAAACGGGGTTAAAACAGTTACCCCCGCCCATTTTCAAATTACTGGGAAGACGCCCAGAAGAGCCCCGGGAGTAAAGAGAGCACTCCCCCGTAAGCGGTGGCTGTTGGCAAAGGTGGGGGTGTTGGGGAGGAGCCCTCCTCCTGCAACACCTCGGACTCCGAGGACCCTGGCCCCATCCGCCGACATCAGACCCAGTTTGCAGGCAGGCGCGCGGCCCCCGACCCCTACCCGGAATGCAGATCTGAACCAACAGCAGCAGCGGCCACAGCAACAGCCCCAGGCGGCCCATGTCCGGCAGCGGCTCCTGTCCGCAGACTCGCTTCACTTCTCAGCCTAACTTCTCTTAAGGAGACAGTTTTGTAACACAGGCTCCTCCCAGAAATTTTTCGAAAGAGCGAGTCACCTCCAGATGCGTGGGCGCTTCCCCCTTCTCCCCCAAGTCACCCCCTCTCTTCAAAAATATCCTTTACCAGGGCGGGTCTGCTCGGAGTAGGGGGGCTGACTCTTCTCTGACTCATGGGACCTTGGTCCCCAGATCCCGGGGTGCAAATTCTATTCTTTCTCTTCCTGCTATGGGACCTTAAACAAAGGAGCTTGTTTAAGCTAGGATTAAAACTTGTCCAGATAGGCTTATTATTAGATAATGTGAGATTTTTATTTGTTTCGCTTAAGAGGTTTAATGGTTATCTGGGAAAATGTCATCCTTTAGATGCCTGGTGGAATATTTGGGAGTGAAACAATATCATGTCTCTACCTTAGAACAAATCAGGCACAAAGTAGATGTTATGACAATGGTTTTGCAGTTCTGCAGGGAAAATTGTGCTTATTTTTTTACAGATACTTACTGAAATATTTAGAGGTGTATGTCATTGAGCTCTGCATTTACTTTAAAATATTTTAGGATAAAAGATAAAAGAGTAAAATTTTTGTAGCAATTATACCAAGGTAACATATGCCATGCTGCCTCCTTTTCTGTGTTTGAAAAGGTTCATAATCAGAAGAGGAAATAATCTCTCCAGGTCAGGATACTTCTGACTAATCAGAGCCATTGAAAGCAGGTGCAAGGGGTTAAGTCTCAGCACTATTAAGCTAGCACCAGCCACTGCAACATGAGTTCGATCCCCAGCCAGGTAGCTGACCCACACGGTGTAGATGTCTTCTGTCTTGCCTGCTGCTTCCCTCACCAGTGTATTTCAGTAGATCTGCCTGTTCTGCGCCCCCACCCCACTCTGTCTCTGGTGAATCCTCTCACCCCCTACACCTCTGGCCTACACCCCAGTTCTCGTGTATATAAATAAATAAAAAATAAACCTTAAAAAAATAAGAAAGCAGGGCCTCCCCAGTGGCGCAGCGGTTGAGCGCTGGGTTGCAAAGCTGCTCACAGCCTCTGCAGCGCCGGTTCGATCCCCGGCTGCTCCCCGGCCACCAGAGGAGGGTCCCACATGGCGCGCAGATCCTCTCCCGCTGCCCGCTGCTCCCCTCAGCAGTGTACTTCAGTCCTTCTGCCTGCTCTGCTCCCCTCTCTGGCTCTGGTGAATTCTCTCACCCTCCCGGGCTTCTGACTGTACCCAGTGCTTGTATAAATAATAAATAAATCTTTAAAAAAAAAAATAAGAAAGCAGGTACACTGCCTGACACAGTTGCTGCCCCACATAGAAGGCTCAACAAATTCCTCAGCATTTACCAAGGACCTATATTTGCTGGGCACGGATCCAAGGGCCTGGGAAGCAGCAGGAAACAAAGCAAAATCCCAGCCCTATGACAGAGGGGAGTGGATAAGTGTTATCTAATCTATGGCTGTGATAAATAAGAAAAACAAACCACGTGGAAGGAAGTGCGAGTATACAGGCAGGCTGCTCAGTTTCGGTACAGTTAGTTTTGTCAATGGATTTTGCCCTTATCTGGAAATCTTTTAGCCAACAATTTCAGATGCTTGGGAGGACTTTCCTGAGTGGGTGGCATTTGAACAGAGGCTGCCTGCCATAAGGGAAGAAGACAGGGAAGAGTTCCAGAGAGAAGAAATAACCTGTGCAAAGACCCTGAGGTGGGAGTTACCTAATGAGATGATCTAGGAACAGCATAGGGGAGGGTATAGTAAGCGAGAAGTAACTAGTAGCTGCCTCTTCCTCTCTGGTGATGTGTTATACGCTTATTATTCTGACTAATTCATTGACGCCTTGAGTTAATCATTTAAGGTAAGAAAAGTCCCAAAGAAAACCTCTTTGTAAGAGACAGTACTGGCATTCTTTGCTTAGGATGAGAAATGTGTCCTTAGGTGATTTCATTGTTACATGCAACGTCACAGAGTATGATCACATAAACCTAGATGGTGGAGCCTGCCTCACACCTAGGCTAGCTGGCACAACCTGTCACCTATCGGGACCAAAATGTTGTTGCGCAACACGTACCTGGACAACCTCGAAGTTACTCACTAGCTGTGTGGTCTTAGGTAAGTTATTTAACCTTTCTATGCCATAAGCCACTTATCTGGAGAGTAGAGATAATCAGTGCCTCTGTTCCAAGGTTGGTGTGCTCGTACCCAAGGTGCTGGCTGCAATGGCTGGCACCTACTTAAAGTGCTCAAGAGAAAATGAACTGGTCTTATTGTTGTGGTCATGACCGACTCTATTTCCTCTCTGTGGCATGGCAAGGGAGGGGAAGCCATGTCATGGGTCTGAGGTCAGCTCTTGTCATGCTGACGTCTGCTAGACTGGAAAGCACTCAGGCTGGGTCACCCTGGGCCAACACAGAGCCATCTTTCCCAGCTTCAGTGTTCTCATGTAGAAAAGAGGGTCCCTCTTAGGAAGGTGGTATAGACTGGTGGAGATATTGATGCATATGAGCTGGGCAATCAGAAAGTTGGGATGTTGGCCCATGCAGGCTTGAGATAGAGCTCAACCACTTGCTCCTCAGTGGCCCTGGGCCAGTGGCCAACTGCTCAGAGTCTTGCTTTTCTCAGGTATGACATGGATCCAGAGTAGGGGGAGGCATCTGTCAGTGGAAAGAAAGGCTTGGGTCTGGGGGTGACAGAGTGGTGTGGTCAGACCCCACCATTTCCAGGCAGGAGGACCTCACTGCTCTAGGCCCCAAGTTCTTCTTTTATTTCAAGAATGGGGGAAATATCTCAGAAGCCTTCAGCCCCACTTCAGCTTGCTCTGATTTCCCAAAATCTCCATCACTCCCCTCTGTGTCTAAGTTTCGTTCTCTCTCTGACTTGTTCTCTCTCTCCCTCAAGTGACACACCCCAGGGAGGTCCGGTGACACGTTTCTGGAGGGGGTGAGCGGGGTGCTTGGCAGAGCACAGTCTCGGGAAAGTGGCAGGTAGGAATGCAGCGCCTCCCTCCTGTGACTCACCTGGGCCTTGCCTGCCCTTGGGCTCCTGACTCCCTGGGGGAATCCCTAGGGTTTGGACTTTGGGTTTCGGGTTTTGGCCTTCCTGGCCTGAGGAGAAGCTAGAGACAGGGCGAGAGCTAGAGTAGAGATGGGGAGAGGAAAGGAGAGAGAGGAAGAGAGGAGAGAATACAGACACACTGACTCAGGGAAATCAGAGAGGGAGAGCTCTAGAGATGGAGAAAATGACAACCGAGAGACAAGGACAGAAACAGTGAGAAATAGAGGGAAAGAAGGGGTGCAGAGAGGGGTGCTGAGTGTAAGGGGACTGAGGACAGATGGGGGCGCTGAGCTGAGAGAGAGATTGACAGAGGAAATTAGAATGACCCAATTGCCTTCCAAGAAAGGAAAGCAGAGAGCAAAGAAAGGAAAGCAGAGACCGAGAGACAGTCTGTGTGAGTGCATGCTGGGACCCCCACCTGCCTGAGGCGTGCCCCCACGCTAGCCTGGCTCTTGGTGGGGCCAGGGTGTGCCCATTTCCTCAATGGCTCCAGAAGGTCTAACAGGCAGCAGTTATGTGACTGTCCCTTTCCTGCTTCCATGCGGGAAGTCTCCTGGCAGCCCCCGCTGTCTTCTGTGGGGATATCCCTGAGGAAAAGGGGACTAGAGGAGGAAACACCCGAAAGTAGAAGCCCTGGGAAAACCCTTGAGTCCACGCCTCTCTCCCTCCTTTTCCAGGCAGAGAAACTGAGGTGCTTAGAGACTTTAACTGAAACTCTACGCCTCTAAGCCTGACGAAGGGCCCCCGGCTCCAGGCACTTCATCTGTAATATAATTTGGTCCCCACAGAATCCCATTTTACAGTTGAGGAAATAGGTTTAGAGGGGCCTGGTTGGCTGAAGGGCCAAAGATATCCAAGTCCTGAGCCCCAGAACCCATGCACGATACCTCGTGTGAAAAAGGATCTTGCAGATGTGATTTAAGTCAGAGGTCATAAGATAGGGACATTATCTGATGAACTCCATGGGCCTGAAAGGTAGCAGCAAGTGTCCTTATCAGTGGGCCGCACAAGGACATTTGAGTACAGCTGTGGTACTGGACAACCAGAATCCACTCTGAGAAATCCATCATGATGTCATTTCATCGTTGTCTGAATATCGTGGAATGTGATTGCACACACCTGGCCAACACTGCCTGCCCCACCCCAGGCTAGAAGGTACGGCCATGGGGAACCACCACCTTGGACTGTGGTTAGGGAGCTGGTAACAGTATAGACAGAGCAATAGAAAACAGGTTCAGAGAGAGATATTTAACCTCTGGCTCCGCAGACGGAAGCAGAGGCCAAGCACACAGGAATATGAGGAATAGAGCAGGGAGACCAAGGCACCCCAAGAGTCTCCCAGGGGAGCACTACTCCGCTGACACCTTCATTGTGGCCCTCAAGACTCATTTCTGACTTCAGGGCTGTAAGAGACTGCATCCCGTCATGTTAAACTATTGAGTTTGTGGTCATTTGTCACAGCATAACAGGAAACCAAACCAGAACAGGGGCTCTGCAAATGGAGAGGATTTGGGCCTCTGCAGTCTGGCTCTGCCATATCCCATTTAAACAGCTCTGGCAGGTTGCTGCCCTGGGAGGACAAGGACCAGAAATTAGAATTACAGCCTTTCCCATCTGCTAGTCCTCCTTGCTGTGTTTCTGGTTTCACGGGCTTAGGGGTGAACAGGGGCAAAGAGAGTATCCTGAGCTGCAAACCTTCGTAGTGTCTGCGCAGAAAAGCCGGCTTTCCACGTCTTAGAACATTCACAGTTCAGGGTCCTCCCCTGAGTTGCAATAGTAGAAATAATTGCCATTCGAGCATCCATGTGGCGAAGACATGGAACTCCAGTTAGGGATGGTTTATTGCCTGCTTCCCCACCCCTGAAAAAAAGAGAAAAAAGAGACTCAGAATGTGACTGTCTTTGGAAATAGGGTTGTGGTTGATGTGACTAGATAAGATGAGGTCATAGAGGGGTAGGGTGTGGGCCCCAAATTCAAAGTGACTAGTGATTTTCCTAGAAGACAGCCATGTGAAGACAGAGTAGGGGATGCCAAGCAGTGCCAAGGATTGCCAGCAACCCCCCTAGCAGCTGGGAAGAGGTGAAGAATGTTTTCCCCTAAGATTCTCCAGAAGAGAACAAGGTCCCTATGTTTAGAATCCAGCCTCCAGGTAATAAAGTTCGATTGTTTCAACCGCTGGGTTTGTGACCCTTTGTTGTGGTTGCCACCAGAAACGAGAAACACTGCCCTGAGTCAACAGAAGAACTGGTAAAGGACAGAGAGGAAGCACAAAAGATTCCTGAAAAGGACACTAACACTCAATTTGTTTCAGTTCGCATATGCTGTGTTATTGATACGGGAATGGCTTCAGCTATAAGAATTCTGAGAAGGAGGAAAATAGTTTCATTTGTTTGTCAACAAATGAGGAAGGTAACAGACTAGAGTCTAAAGACTACTGTCCTGCTCATTAGCAGAGAACAGGGGTTTGTATGTATGTATGTATGTATTTATTTATTTATTTTAGATTTATTTATTTTTATTTATGCATACTAGAACTGGAGTGTAGGCCAGAGGTGCCAGGGGTGAGGAGAGACACCAGATGCAGAGTGGGGAGCAGAACAGGTGGATATGCTGAAATAAACTGCTGAGGAGAACAGGGGGTGAGACAGGAGAGGCCTGCTGCACCAGGTGAGCTAGCTCCCTGGTGTCAAGCCGCAGTGGTGATAGTATGATAGTGCTGAAACTTAACCCCTACGTCACCAGAAAGGCTGGGACATGGGTATTTAAGTAGTCATGAGTGGATCAAAAGGGGGAGTGTAGGGCCTCGCTGGTGGCTCAAGGTGTTAAGTCTTAGCACTATGAAGCTATCCGCAGCCACTGCGGCACAAGTTTGCTCCCTGGCCAGGGAGCTACCCACATGGCACAGCAGACCTCTCCTGTCTTGCCAACTGCTCCCCTCCTCCGTGTGTTTCAGTCAATCTACCTGTTCTGTTCCCACTCTATCTCTGGTGAATCCTCTTACCTCCCACACCTCTGTCCTGTACCCTAGTTCTTTTTTTTTTTTTTTTTTTTTAATAGAGGCCTATTTATTTGTTTGCTGGTTTGTTTGTTTGTTTTGTTTATACAAGCACTGGGCACAGTCAGAAGCACGGGAGGGTGAGAGAATTCACCAGAGCCAGAGCGGGGAGCAGAGCAGGCAGAAGGACCAAAGTACACTGCTGAGGGGAGCAGCGGGCGGCAGGAGAGGTCTGCACGCCATGTGGGACCCTCCTCCGGTGGCCGGGGAGCAGCCGGGGATCGAACCGGTGCCACAGAGGCCGCGGGCAGCTTCTCAACCCAGCGCTCAACCGCTGCGCCACCGGGGAGGCCCCTGTACCCTAGTTCTTGAACGCATAAATAAATCTTTTTTAAAAAAAGGGGGGGGGGGTAGCATTCCTGTCCTTGAAACATCAGTGTCTGGTGGTCAGCAATTCTGATATTATTTTTGCAAGATTCCTTGGCTTTGTTTTGAAGTTTTTTTGAAGTAAGACCCTTTGTCCTCAGAATGCAAGGAGAAAAAAAAGCGAAGTGTTAGTTTAGCATATAGATCAAGGTTTGCTAAACCTGAAGGAGGTAGGGATTGTCCCTCTCCGAGTTAGGGAGGGCTGTGTATTTTAACGCTGTATCATTGTGTCCCCACCCTCAAAGTGCAGTGGCTGAAAATCATATACATTTTGCAGCAGGGTTCCTGGTTTGGCGCGGCCCACTGGTCCGGATGGGTTCTCCTGGTTTGGTGGATTTTGGCTGGTCTCACTCACAGGTCCGAAACTGGGATGCTTCCCTTCCTGCAATGGCTTCCCCTCCTGCAGGTGGCAAGCTTATTTGCAAGGTGTCAACAGGAAAATGATACCAGAAATGACAAGTTCCCTGGTAGCCATGACTCAGAACTCACATGATATCCCTTCTGGCGCATTCTAGGGACTAAACAAATTCCAAGCTTGGCTCAGCATTGAGGAGAAAAAGAAATTCCATCTCTTTTTAAATTCCCCTCCCCTGTATTCCCTTGTCTTTTTCTCCCTTCCCCCTCCCTCTCAACCTCAGAGCCCTCACAGTGTTTATGAATTTCCATCAGTTTTTGTATTTTACTCTGTCTAGTCATCCTCTATGTAAATGTCCAGCATTTGTCTCTGTCATTCTGACTTGCTTTCTTCCACCTCTTTCCCCTGAACTCCCTCCATTTTGCTATAAATAGCAACATTTCATCTTTCCCTATGGTTTAATAGTATTCTAGAGTGTGGACAGACCACAGAATCTTGACCCAAACATCTGTTGATGGGCATTTTGGTTGCTTCCATGTCCTAGTATTGGCAATAATGCTGCTCTAAGAGACTCTGTCTCTTTTGCTATATATATGTTGAGTGATCATCAGGTTATTTAAAAGGTTGATTTGAGCATCTGCAATAGTGACTTCAACCTTGATCTCTTGATGGAAGGAGCTGCCCTGAATTCACAGACATTTGTCTCCTGACACTCACCTGTCACTTACAGACTGACAAGAAAGAAAAGGCCCATTTGATGATACAAGCAGTGGGTGGGTCCGTAGGGGAACAGACAATCCCCTCCATGCCTGGTGCAAGTGGAAATTCGCATAATCCCTTGGAGGTTTCAAAATTACACATGACAAATCTTCCTAGGTTTTGACAGAGCAAAACCACTTGTGTTTACAGGGGAAACACAGATGTATGAAATTATATGGCTGAACACTTTTCTTTGCAACAGAGTTTGCAAAACCAAGTGAGGGGAAAATCTACCCTGTACAAGACGTACATCATTCTAACAGAAAAGAGAAAGAGGAAGTCATGAAATGCAGGTTGCATTACAGAGAAGTAGGGAAATTGTGGTGCAGAAAAGAAGCTAGGTGGCAAACACTGGCGTGGGGACGGGAGGGGGGTTCATATTTGCTCCTCTGAGGTTTCCTCCAGTCCCCATTTCAAATTAAAGGCAGGAGAACATCCCTTCCCTGTTTTCAAGCCCTTCACGCTCTACCTGGAGAGCCTTGTGCTTGGTGCGCCTGTGCTGGCGCCTGGTCTGTTTACCCAGCCTGAGTTATCTGCTCACCTTTGGGATACTGGGTTCTAGTCACGAAGCCCCAGGAGCCTCTCCCTCCTCTTGGACTCCAGACTTCTGGGGGAACCTGCTCTCCCACCTTCCCATGGGTGCACCCAGGACAGAGGTGGACCCCTCCACCCAAAATGCTCTGGACCACAGCACCCTATCATGAAAAGCCACTCTTAGGCACTTGTCTTTCTCCCTTAGGGTTGGCGCCTTGCAAAGCCAGCTCCTTGACATATACCAGAACTGAGGGCCCTGTCTTGGGGTCTGGGAAGCCCAGGAGGCCTGTGGCATGACTTTGGACTCAACCTTTCTCTTGCTTGGGATGTCACTTCTGAGCCAAGGGGAGAGGCCAACCCCCGTGTGGCCTGGCATACTGCTCAGTGATGATGATGGGAGGATGGTGATGGTGATGATGATGATGATGGCAGCACTGGCAGCAAGAAAGTGACATGAGAAATTTAGTGGTTGAAAACAAAGCAGAGCATCTGACAGAATTTACCGACTGTTCTGGGCAACGTAAACCTCAAGGCATCATTTTGAGGCAGGTCTTTCCAATTGCCCTATTTGACAAATGAGGAAACTGAGGCTCAGGCAGGTGAAGAGTCTTGTCTAAGGCTACCCAGCTTGGAACTTGACCTCTGGCCACCTAGCTGTGGGCGTTCATCCCCCTCTGGTTGGGGGTGGTGGTTCTCTTGAGGCTACTAGTACAAGTGCCCCCTAGGTTAACAAGTCCCAATCATCAAGTGTTCCCTGCTGACCCAAGTTCTGCCCATGTTATGGATGAGCACACTGAGACCCCCAACAGGGGAAATGACATTCCCAGAGACACACCTCAAAGGAGAGGCAGGTAGGGAGAGACTCAAAGTCCATGAAGAGGTGACTGACAGAGGCCAAGCGTGGGGCTGGAAGGGAGGATTACATCCATCTTATTCTCAATGAAAAGTTGTGCAAATTTGGGGCCTCCCCGGTGGTGCAGCATGTTGAGCACAACGCTCTGAAGCTGTCCGCAGCCTCTGCAGGGAGGGTTCAGTTCCTGGCCAGCCAGGAAACTACCCACATGGCACAGCAGACCACTCCTGTCTCCCCCGCTGCTCCCCTCAGCAGTGTATTTTGGTCCATCTGTCTGTTCTGCTCCCCACTCTGTCTCTGGTGAATCCTCTCACCCTCCTGTGCCTCTGACCTGTACCCCAGTTCTTGTATAAAAATAAATAAATCTTGAAAAAAAAGTTGTGCAAATCAAGGCTGCCCAGTCACAGAGGGGGCAGGAGAGCAGCATAGGCCTTATCCAACCAGGGAAGGCCAATTTTTAGGTAAGGATGGGGGCAGAGTTTTCTTTCCTTTCTCTTCTTTTTTTTTTTATATTTATTTATTGATTGTGTATAAGAACTGGGGTGTAGGCCAGAGGTTCAGGGAAGGAGGGAGAAGATTCACCAGAGACAGAGTGGGGAGCAGAACAGGTAGATCTACTGAAATACGCTGCTGAGGGGAGCAGCAGGCGAGACAGGAGAGGTCTGCTGCATCACATGTGGGTCAGCTCCTTGGCCACGATGGAACTCAAGCCACAGAGGTGACAGGGCTGAGATTTAACCCCTAGGCCAACACGGAGGTCCTCCTCTCTCCTCTTGGGGAAGCCCAGATCAAGACAGAGAGGCCTGGGTTCAAACCCTAGTTGTGCCAATATCCTCACTTTGTGGCCTTGGACCAGGGCCTTGATGGCGCTAAGCCTTAGCTTCCCTGTTACAAATTGGGGGCATGGGGATGATTTCAAATGTACCAATTGTTAAAATATGGAGTCTTCCAGATTTTATTGGTAAAAATCCACTGCCTCAAGACCCTGAGTGCCCCCATGGAATATCTATCCGGGTCTTCCTGGATACTGCCATGTTCCAGCAAGTAAGAGAAACACCAAATCAGTGGCAGCCACCGGGTGCTGCTATGGCAATTGGTGTGGAGTTTTACCACTGCAAAGTTTGGCTTATGCTGACAACTGATCAAATATTTTGAAATGTCCCTTCTAGTGTTAATGGTAACAACTTTAGGACTATCATGAGGATTCAGTGAGTTGATCTCTCTAAGGAATAGGCAAACAATATAATAATAATAATAATAATAATAACAACAACAACAACAATATGCACATTCATCCTACTTTGGCTTCACAGAGTAGCCTCAGGATTTTCCCACAGGCCTCTCAAGTCTCAGTTTCCCCACCTTCATGCTCCATAAGCCCCACCCCAACCCCTGCTGTATCCCTGTGACTAGGATGGTGGGTGGGGCCGCCTATCTCCCGGGGCCTGTTTGCTCTGCCACATACGGGGCTGCCACCCTAGCCAAGGCCGTTGAATAAAAGGCCAGGCCACCCCCGTCCAGCTTCCTTCTCTCCGGTTTGGATCATGCTCGGGCTCCTCCCTGTTCTGATGCTCCTGGGAGCACTGGCTGCACCAGCAGGTAGGCACGTCCTATGCTGCCCCCTCCAGAAGGGAGGGGATTAATCCACAGTCCTGTGGGTGGGTGGTGGGCATCCGTTTCAGAGTCTCAACCCCAGTGCCTTCTACTCGCGCTTTTCATCTGGCAGAGACTACTGAAGGGAAGGTTTGGGGCTAGGTTCAAATCTCAGCAAAGCTGCTTTTTAACTGTGTGCCCTTTGGGCCAGCCACTTAACCTCTCTGTCTGTGCCAGCCTGAGTAGGAGAATTCCCCAACTGTGAAATACAGGTGAGAATGGCCCCGCCTCAGAGGGCTGTTGGGGGCATTCACTGGATTCATATGTTTGAGGAGCTTTTTTTTTTTTTTTAATTAATTTATTTATACAAGCACTGGGTACAGTCAGAAGCGCGGGAGGGTGAGAGAATTCACCAGAGCCAGAGCAGGGAACAGAACAGGCAGACTGATGAAGAAATACACTGCTGAGGGGAGCAGCGGGTAGCAGGAGAGGTCTGAGCACCATGTGGGACCCTCGCCGGTGGCCTGGGATCAAACCAGCGCTGCAGAGGCTGAGGGCAGCTTCATAACCCAGTGCTCAACCGCTGCGCCATCAGGAAGGCCCTGTTTGAGGAGCTTTTTAAGAGCTTAGGTGCTTAGAACTATGTCAGGCATAAGTGACCTTGTCTTTCAGGGAGCTCTTACTGATCAAGGGGCAGTCATTATTATTCCTTCTCCTTCCCTGCCTCTCTGTCCTTGGTTGTTTTTTGTTTTTTTAAGATTTATTTATTTATACAAGCACTGGGGTACAGGCCAGAGGTGTGGGAGGGTGAGAGAACTCACCAGACACAGAGCAGGGAGCAGAACAGGCAAAGGGACTGAAGTACACTGCTGGGGGGAGCAGCAAGTGAGACAGGAGAGGTCTGCTGCGCCATGTGGGGATCTCCCTGGCTGGCCGGGAATCGAACTGGCGCTGCAGAGGCTGCGGACAGCTTCACAGCACAGTGCTAAACCTGCTGCACCACCGGGGAGGCCCTGTCTTTGGGTTTTAATTCTGCCACCTTCCACCCAGGCTGGGAATTGAGTGGCCACGAACCTCGCCAGGGTCTTAATGTGGGATCTTCAGCACTTCTGGCGTCAGTTGTATTATTTGCAATGAGAAGAAAGGAGCCAAGGTCAGCAGTTTTCAGACAGACTTCTTAAGAACTGGGGCCTCTTTGGAGGTCAAGAAGACATCTGATTGATGGAGCATTATTGCACTCAGCCAGCCTGAGAAAGGGAATTTCAGTTCTCTGTTCGATTCTGGGCTTGTGAGGGAGAGATTGTTGAGTGGGGAGGGAGTGCTGTGATAGAACTGGTAGCTTAGAGGAACTTTGCCAACATCTGTAGCTCCGAGAAGCTGTGATTCCCACTTCCAAACCTTTGCCCATGCTGTTTCGCCCACCCGGATGTCAGTCCTACACGCCTCCAGAATTCTCCCCAAAGCACCCCCTCCCTAGCCTTTAGTCCTATTCTTGAATCTTCTCTCTCTGTGTGTGTTCTTTCCTCTTAAATTGCAGGTTCTGATTCCTCCTATCTCCCCACAGGGACCTCCCTGATGTGTCCCACCTGCTCTCCGCTGGGAAAATGCACCGAGATAAATTGTCCATCTTCGAAGGAGTCCTGCTTGCTTAGCCAGAAGTACCTCAGTGGGGGATTGGGTAGGGGCTGGGCAAAGTGGGGAGGGGAAGCAGGATTGGAGGGGAGAGGCATGGATGAGGCACTCAACTTGGTGCCATGGGTTGGGGAGGAGTGGTCCCAATGTACCTAGATTGCCCTCTGGGGATAGCTGCCTATGGGCAGAGGTGCAGGAGAGCTTGGGGTCTCTAATATGTCCTCCTCAACCTTTGTCTCCAGAAAATGGGGCTCTCATTAGGAATGGATCATGTGTGGCAGCTGAGGAGTGCCCAAAAGGTGTCTACATGCTGACCTTTGGCCCCTATTCCTGGCTCAGCAAGGGATGCTGTGAAAGCAACTGCAGCAAAGCTTTTCACCAAGGTTTGTCTCAGTCCCTGGGGGTCCCACCCCCCGGGGGGCGGGTCATGGGAATGTGGCCTTGATTTCCAGCTCTGCCGGCTGGTTGGGGCAAGAAGAACCTCAGTTTTCTCATCTAGATTATGGACATGAAATGAGTTTTGTGGGGTGTGCCCAGTGCAAGTTTGGCTATAGTAGATGCTGCAAAAATTGTAACTGTGAGTTATTGGGAAGACTGGAGAGGAGACTCATTTTTTCCTCAGGAGAGGGGTTCCTCTGAGGCTAGTCAAGCAGAACAAGACATATTATGGGTGGTGACAGGCCCAGATCTAGGATAAGACCAGCAAGGCCTCTAGGTGCAAAATTAAGGGGGCTGCTGATCCTGCTTTGCATGACCCTGGAAGAGAGACCCTCCTGGGTGGCCACACCCTAGCCATGGACCTGAGTTTGTTACCTGGTTATTTCTCCAACCAAAAAAGGAATTTTTTCAACCACATGTCACCTAACAACAGGGATACATCCTGAGAAATGCCTCTTTAGGCGATTTTGTCCTTGTGCAAAGGTCATCAGGTGTAATTAAGGGCACAGCCTACTGGGACCACCGCTGTACATGTGGTCTGTTATTTACTGAAAGGCCATTAATTGACACAGGTATAGCAATAGGGACACTGAGATCGCTCCACACCCCATCCTTTTAAACAGTTGGGACTTCCCTCTGCCTAAATTGTGCACCTCAATCAAGTAAAAAAAATCCAGGTTCAAGGTAAGAGGTGGGCGTGTATATTAAATGCATGTCAAATGTGAGTTATGATTATAAATGCATTAAACTCCTGTGGGTAATGAAAGATTATACCCAGGAATACTTGGAGTCTTCTGTTAGAGGATTAGAGCAGTGTTGTTCACTAGAAATATATGAGTCATCATTAAAATGATTCCAGTCACCACATTGAAAAGTAGCAAGAAATAGGTGAAGTTCATTTTATTTTATTTTTTATTTATTTATACAAGCACTGGGGTGCAAGCCAGAGGTGCGGAAGGGTGAGAAAATTCACCAGAGACAGAGCAGAGAGCAGAACAGACACAGTGACTGAAATACACTGCTGAGGGGAGCAGCGGGCCGGACAGGAAAGGTCTGCCACACCATGTAGGAATCTCCCTGGCCAGCCGGGAATCGAACTGGCGCTGCAGAGCCTGTGGACAGCTTCACAGCACTGTGCCCAACCTGCTGTGCCACGGTGGAGGCCCCTGAAATTCATTGTAATAATATATTTTACTTACTTTAGATTATTCGACATATATATAATCAAAACAAAAAATTATGAATGAGATTTTTTCCTTCTTTTTCCCAACTAAGCCTTGGAAAATTAGGGCATAATTCCTGCTCACAGCATATCCCAAAAGGAACCAGCCACAGTCCAAGTGCCCAGTGTGGACAGTGGTCACAGAGCACCGTTAATGGGTAGTAACTCATTTTATAGTCTGTTTTTGCGATTTGCCAACCTTTTTTTTTTTAATTTATTTTTGCTTAGAAGAACTGGAGTGCAGGCCAGAGGTGAATGGGGGGAGATGAAAGGATTCACCAGAGATGGTGGGGAGCAGAACAGTGGATCTACTGAAATACACTGCTGAGAAGAGCAGTGGGTGAGACAGGAGAGGTCAGTTTCCTGGCTGGGATAGAACTCAGACCACAGAAGTGATTGCACTGAGATTTAGCCTGTAGGCCACCAGAGAGGCCCTGCAATTTTCCAATCTTTCGATATAAATCCACATTAAAATGATTCATGGTTTAGATTTGATCCAGAAGAAATCGGTCTAAACAACTCGCACTTAAATTTCTCAGATCTCTAAGAAAGCCCATAAAATTCAACAGCGGATGGAGTATCAAAAAAATCAGTGTTCCCCCCTTTTTGCTGAATGCCACATCATCTTAAAACCTAAAATAACAAGATCATTCTCTGAAAACCACTATTGGATTTTAAGATCTTTAAGGGAGGGTTTCATTCAGGTCTGGGTGAAGGGTTTCAAGAACAGTTTCTGTCACATAGTAGATGCTCAAGAAATGTTTGTGAAATGAATAAAAGAACTCTTAAGATTCAGTTTGAAGGTTTGTTCAGGAAAAAGGAAGAGCTGGAGGCCAGCCTGATCTTGGACTCAGTGAGATGTTCTTTTAGTTGGGGGCTGGGAGGAGATGGCTGAGACCAGGCTGGTCCCATCCTAGAGGAAAACGTTCTGGATTGTGGTGGGCAGAGGTGGCAAGAAAGGGAAGGCAGGAGATCAGCGACCTGCTGGGGCATTCGTCAGTTCCCATCCCACCCTGACTTCACCCACTCACCCAGGGGCAGAGACCGAGGCCCAGCCCAATGGGGTGAAGTGCCCCTACTGCTCTGGGAATGAGTCGGCTCCCTGTGGCTCCGGTTTGGTCTTGAACTGCACCGGGAAGCAGACTGTGTGCGCCATCCTCAATGGGACATGGAGTGGAGGTAAGGATGCCCTTCAAGAGGTTGTTTACAGAAACAAGAGCTTTAAGACAGAGACAGATGTGAAGATGGGAGGCTCAGACTCTGAGCTCCCCCTGCAGCTTCTCCCTATTTCTGCAGGTGATCACCAAACTCTGAAGGGCTGTGCTACCCCAGAGATCTGCCACTTGCCAGAAAACACCATCCTGGGCCCGGTAGCTTCTGGATTTCATCTCAGCACCCAGCCTGAATGCAGCATTGTGGCTCCTTCCGCCCAGCCAGGTGCTTTGAACCCCTCAAGTTCCTGAGACCCCACCCTCCCTCGGCCCCACATGTCCTTCCTAAGCCTATATGTCCCCAGGGTATCTGCTCCCCCAACCATAATGCTCCCAGGGAGTGCAATTACCCTTGCATGTGCGCTTGGGTGCACACACACACCATGCCTGACACACTGGGAAGCAGAAAATCTCATTGACACATATCCACACTTATTCACAAACTGCCACATTTATATCCTGGCACCCAAGACCCACCTACAGAAGAGCACGAATTTCTAAATGCGAACATCCTGTTATGTAAGTGAGAGGAAAGCTCTGCCCTGGGTTTAAATAAGAAATTTGACAGTCCTTTTCTTTCTTCACTTCCTTGCTTATGAAAGAAGACCGATTTGCCAACCATCTTCTTTTGGCCTCACAGAGAACATCCACAATCATTTTTGTTTTTCAGAAAAGAGAGATGCTGATTGAGATAGTGTTTACTGGGGCAACAGCTTGATAAGTGAGGTCACTGAACAGAATTATTGACGTTTTAGAGGTGAGAAAGGCAGCTTTCAAACCTGGCAGCAATTCCCACAGCTGCGGGGATGCAGGACACGCTTGTTAAAAGCGCCGTCAAGATAGCTGTGTGAGGCAGAAGAGGATCTGCTTGCCAAATCTGCAGGCAAAGCGGGAACATTCTCACCTTTGCGTCCTCCAATGACCAGCTGCCAGGAATTTTGTTTTTCAAAACTAAATCATGGAGTAAACTAATGATCACAGTAAAAAAAAAAAAAAAACCTGGGAACTCAAAATGTACAATATGGAGAGGAAAGGAATCTGGGGCATGGGATCTTTGCGTGTATAATCTTTTTTTAAAAAAAAGATTTATTTATTTATACAAGAACTGGGGTATAGGTCAGAGGTGTGGGAGGGTGAGAGAATTCACCAGAGACAGAGTGGGAAGCAGAACAGGCAGATGGACCAAAGACACTGCTGAGGGAGCAGCGGGTGAGGCAGGAGAGCTCTGTGGCACCATGTGGGCATCTCCCTGGCTGGCCGGGAATCGAACCCGTGCTGTGGAGGCTGCGGACAGCTTCACAGCATGGCGCTCAACCCGCTGCACCACCAGGGAGGGCCTTTGCATGTATAATCTTTACAGACACCTAACACATTTGTGCAGGCACACATCAGTTGTCAGAGTCACACACACAGGCTGGAAAAGAGACAGAGACAAATGCACAAATATACAAAAGCATACAACACACACAGATATGCTGAAGCATTACTGACATCCACAGAGGTTTGCATCTATTCACCAATGTATCTACCCCAAAGAACCCAAATTGTATTGAAAGCACACTCGCACCCTTACACAGAAACACACAGACCCAGAAAAACATACATAGTTACATATAAGCACCAAATGTGTACATACGACATGTGGTCTGTTCACACAGATATGCATGTAGATACCTGCTTGAGCAGGGATCCAAGTGCATCCCCACCTCTTGCAGACAGTTCCAGAACACACTGTCCAACAGAGACTCATGCAACCACGTGCATCTACAGAGAAATGGATGCTCTCACACGCAAGCTGTGTCATTGCAGGCATGCACACTCTGCACAGTACATTTGCACACTCAAAGTCATGTACCCCTGAAATACAGACACGCACACAGATTGTCCTCCAGCCAGCTTATCTTCCTTTCTCCCCAGGTTATCTTGCACCTCACACCGAGGCAACTGAGAACCACGAGGCTACTAGGTCCCACACTGGGGCAACTGAGTCCCACACCAGGGCAACAGTGACTCACTCCAATACAACCAAGACACACAACCAGGCCAGCATCACCAGCTGTTTCACCTGCTCAGACCCCTACCACTGCGTCCCTCTCCACTGCCCAGAAGATAAGAACTACTGCCTTCAGAACACCGGCATCACGGGTGAGTGACCCTGGAGTCAAGATTGGGAAGGGGAGGCCGAGACAGGATCTGAGGTGCAATGAGACCTCTCCTAGTCCTCCTGTTTGAGCCTCCACTCCAGCCACTGTGGCTTTTTCCTGGTCATAGAGGATAGAGGCTGATTGCAGGGCAGGACAGTTTAAAATCTGGTCTGGTGACATGTTTGTTTTTGTTATTTATGGCTGAATTATACACATATTGGTTCAAGATGTCGTGGCTTAGTCACAAAGGGGCAAAAATGGGTATGATCTCCTTTTTTTTTTTTTTTTAATAAAATCTGGAGTAGTTAAAACCAAATGGAAAGAAAATGGAATGATGATAGTTTTTATTTTGCAAAAGGAAGATTATAGAGATCCGTTACCCAACGGTTAACACTACTGAACTGTACACTTAAAAATAGGTAAGAAGATACATTTTATATTATGTGCTTTTTACCTGAATTAAAAAATAAACTTTATAGCTCAAAACAACAATAATTTATTATTTCTCAGCTTTCTGTGGGTTGACTGGGCTCAGCTACGTTCTTCTGTTCCAAGTGGTGAAGGCTGAGGTCACTTGTGAGGCTGCATTCAGCAGGAGCTCGACTGGGGCTGGAATATTCAGTTCAGACTTTCACCTTCCATGTGGCTCCCATCAGTTAGCAGCCTAATTGAGTTTCCCTCCAATATGGCAATTGACATCTGATAAGGAAGACCTGGAAACCACCAGCTTCTTAAGAGATAAGCTCAGAACAGGCAGTGTCTCTTCTGTCACAGTCTGTTGATCAGAACAAGTCAAACTCTGGTTTGGGGGCCTCCCTGGTAGCACAAGGGGTTAAGTCTCAGCACTGTGAAGCAATCCATAGCTACTGCAGCACAAGTTCGATCCCCACCAGGGAACTGACCCACATGGCGCAGCAGACCTCTTCTGTCTTACCTGCTGCTCCCCTCAGCAGTGTATTTCAGTAGATCTGCCTGTCCTGCTCCCAACTCTGTTTCTGGTGAATCTGCTCAACCCCCCCACCCCTGCACCTCTGGCCTACACCCCAACTCTTGTATGCATAAATAAATACATCTTAAAAAAAAAAAGGCCAGCTCAGATTTAATGGGTGAGGAAGATTCCACCTCTTGATGAAAAAGTGGTAAGATCACATGGGAAAAAAAGGGAGATATAGTTATACCATCTTGGTATCTTCTTGTACATTCAGGGCCAGGAATTCTCTAAAACCTCTGTTGATCTCCCCCATAAAGGGAAACAATGGACTCTTGAGTAAATGGGAAGAGGCATTGAACTAGAAACCAGCTCTTTGTCTTCCAACAGTGTGAATAGGAATAGAAGGATAATGTCCTTATTAAATAGGATAGTGCTGAACATTTCTGGGATCCTAGAGAGATTTCTGGCTAAGCCCACAAGGTGCTCAAGGGTAAGTTAAATATATAGATAAGTTAGATGTATAGATAAGTTACCTATAAGTCATAGGTCCAGAACCATCCTGTTCTTTGGAACTCTAGGAGGAGAAGGTAGGGGAAGAAAGACTTTCTGAAATATGTGTCCAAATGAACAATGGCAGGTTTTGAGTGTATTGGGGGATCTCAGATAGGGTGAATGCCAACAATGAGACCCAGAGGGACTTAGGGACTTCAGTTGGTGGTCGCTTGGGATTGTCTTTCCTCACCAGCCTGCCCTCCACATTTCCCCAGTCTTAGGTGAACAGTCCCGTGTTTCCTGGAGAAATGGTTCCTGCGTGGCCTCTCGTGACTGCAAATTTGAAAACTCCATCTCTGCCTTCACCAATGGATTTGGCGATGGCTTCTGGGTCAGCACCACCTGTTGCCGAGGCCACTGCCAGGCCCCTATTCTTTTTGGTATGCTGCCACCAGAAAGCTACCAGATGGGAGGCCAAAGCGGAAGTGGGGTGACTATGGAGGGAGGGTTTGTCCCAGATTAAGGAAGGGATACAGGAGAGCCACTCAGTCTCCATTCCCCGACCAGCGGACCAGCGTGTCATAAGGCACCAGCTGAGTAGGAAATACCTAAGAGTACATGGAGAGCCCTGGGTGTCCCTGAGAGTCCTCCAGGCTGACTGTCACCCTTCTCTGTGCAGAAGCTTTGCCAGCCTCAAAGTCCCTGAGCAGGTTCTTGTGTCCTACGTGTCCTGGCAACTCCTCTGGACCCTGCAATTCCTCCTTGTACTTGCATTGTCCCCGTGTGGAGACTGAATGTATCCAGCTGGACCTGGTGCATGAAGGTAATGTGTGTGTGTGTGTGTGTGTGTGTCAGACACAGGCATACCTGAGTCTGGGGTCCACTGCCATCATTTTCTCTGTGTGATTCTCAGATAAATGACTTCACCTCACATCTCAGTTTTCCTTTCTGCTAAATGGGGATGATGGAAGCACAACTCACAGTGTTTCATGAAAGAGCTGTTAGATTAGAGGATTCAGGGTCCAGGTTGTCCGGATTCAAAGCCTGGATCTACCACTTATGAGTTGGGTGATCTTACACAGGTGACTCTGCTTCTCTGTGCCTCAATTTCCCCATCTCAGAAAGGGAATGATGATAATCGCTAACTCATAAGACAGTTGTGAGAATTAAACAAAGCAATCCTCTAGATGAGTGCTAGCCAAAAGAAATAGAATGTGAGCTATGAGTATAATTTAAAGTTTTCCAGTAGCTTCATTAAAAATCATAAAAAGTGGGCCTCCCTGGTGTTGCAGGGGGTTGAGCGCAGCACTGTGAAGCTATCCGTGATCTTTGCAGTGTGAGTTCAATCCCCAGCCAGCCGGGAGCAATCCACATGGTGCGGCAAACCTCTCCTGCCTGCTGTTCCCCTCAGCAGTGTATTTTGGTACATCTGCCTGTTCTGCTCCCTGCTCTCTCTGGTGAATATTCTCACCCCTGTGACTCTGGCCTGTACCCCACTTCTGAAAAAAAAAACAACATAAAAAGTAACCAATGAAATTAATTGGTTAATATAGAATTTAACCCAACATAGCCAACTGTTAGCATTTCAACATGCAATCAATATACAAACTTGCAAATGTGAGATCTTCCATTCATGTTTTTCCTACTGACCTTTGAAATCTGGTGTGAAATTTCAGAACATCCCAATTCCAACTAGGCACATGGAAAGCACTCCTAGTCACCTGTGGCTACAATGTGAAGCAGGGTAGTTCTAGAACATAACAAGTGCTATATATGGCACTTTCCATCATATAGATGGGAAAACAAAGCTCTATTCAGAAATGGTAAAATGTGTGTGTGTGTGTGCACGCGTGGATGAAGGAATGGAATTGCTGAAACTCAGTGTTAGTGGTCATGACAGCTGTGTGTGTGTAAGGCTTCTGTGGGCTGACCAGGTCTTCAGTCAGCCCTTGCTCAGGAGATGGACATGCCAGGGACTTGGATTTGCATGCATAGTGTCATGTGTGTGTTTTAGGAGGAGGGGGGTGATGTGAGTGGACAGGGTGGGTGGGCTTGTTTGTGTTGATTGTGTGCGGGACACTGGGGGCACCATTGGAGAGCTCTTTATGACTGAGATGCATGTGTAGAGTGCCCATTTTGTGTGTGTGTGTGTGTTTGTGTATGAATATGTGTGTGTGTGCGTGCGTGTGCGCACAATCGTGGGTCTGGGACAATAACTCACATATATGCCTCTTTGAGGAAGTGTGTACTCTAGTTCAGGACCAAATGAGACTATGGACCATATTATGAGAATTACCTTTCTATTAAACTTTTCTTTTTAATGGAGAAGCTCAAAGATACACAACAGTTAAACAGACCCCCTACAACCCCTCTGATGAGGCACTTTGTGTTGTTAAATTAAGATTCTTTAACTTTCATAGCCCCCATCAAGTCCTCAGAAAATGGTTACATGTATTATTTACATTTATATGTAGATAAAGCATATCTTATAGCAGACATCAAACCATATTATATAATATATTGTATTGTATCATGTCCTATCATGTATCATGTGGCTCTGATATAGCAGCAGAGGAAAAAGTTGAGAAAGTTGTGCACGAAACCGTGTGGAGGAATGTGTGAAATAGAGGAGCCATCTGGTGTCATAGTTTTAGATTAATCCTGAGCACAAGTAAAAGAACCCTTGCTGCACGCATGCAATGCATCGAGAATAACAAGGAAAAGGCCAGGTGTGACCAGGTCTGGGCTCCAGGCTCGACATTCCTGGCGCGTCTTCCCCAAGCACAGGATCCCAGAGCCTGCCACTCCCTCCCAGGTTGCTCCCTCCCCTTGTTCCTTTTCGAGGTGCCAGTTTTTTCTTTTACAAAACCTCAGCGAGGTTGGCAGATCCCAAGGCTCGATCTGGGCAAGACAGGCGCCCCCTGGACCCCCTCTCGGAGTTTGGGGGGCAGTTGGCTTGGAGAGAGCCCTCGGTCTGCGGGTGGGACCAGAGCAGGCGCCAGCGGGGGGCGCGCGAAGCCGGGCCAGGGGCTGGGTGCTCGGCCCTCAGGTCGCCTCTCCCCTGTCTCTGCAGGAGGCGGGAACCTGACCCTGCGCGGCTGCGGCTCCCGCGACCTGTGCGGCGGCGCCCGGGCGCGAACCCCGAGGCTCCCGGAGCTCCCCGCGCCCTACCGCCTCGCCCGCCCGCCCCGCTGCAGCGCCAGCCGCCGCGTCCTCTTGCGCTCCAAGGGGCATTCGGTCGTGTCCCGGGGCCTCCCCCTTACCCTGCGGGTGCTGGCGCTCGCCCTGGCCACCAGGACGCTCTTCTGAGGAGGCCGCGCCTCGCCCGCCGAGACAGGGGGGGGGGGGGGGGGGGGGGCGTGCCGGGCCCGCGCGTCCTAGGGGGCGCCCTGGCTCCCCTCCGCTGGGGCGTCGCTGGGGGCCAGTCAGGCCGCAGGCACACTCCTTTCCCCAGGCGGAAAGGGGAGCAGGCTGCTCCAATTAGAGGCACATTCTGCTTCAGATGAGGGGCCCCCCGAAGAGGAAGCCTCCTTCCTCCACCTAGGGGGACCCCCAACACCAGGCCACTCCTGCGAGCGAGGGCTCCTTTCTCCTTCTGAACACTGGGAAGCAGCTCCTCCGTCTGTCTTGCCCTTTAGGGTCTAGCAAAGTCCCTAAAGAAGGTGTGGTGCTTGAGGACCTAATAGACCCCCTTCCCAGGCACGCAGAGCAGCCCATTCCGCCCCCACGTGAGACCCTCTTCTTCAGGATCCATCTTCCCAGCTGGAACCCCATTGAATGAATTGCCTCCCACAATGCCAAGTGGTTTGGGTTTCCTTTTTCTGACACTGCAGCCTCAGATAGGGTTCTGCTGTGCTTGACACTCTCCTGGGGGATTCTGGGACCTGCAGGTGACAGTGTTTGGGAGCTAAGGTGGGCAAAAAATCAAATGCTCCATGTGGAGTGAGCCTCATTTTCGAGCAATCACCGACCCCAAAGGGCTGAGCAGAGAGGTAGACGCAGGGATCTCACAGTGGGCACAAGGCCAGGACCGAGTGCTTTCAGCGGAGAGTAATAAAAAAGTCCAACTAAAAGAACCAAATGCGCTCATCATTCATTTAACACATTTTTATGGATCCCATCCTGTGCTTCAAGCACAGTGCTAGACACTGGAGAGACATAGTAAGCAGAATCCCTTGCTTTCCTGAAGGTAATGCTTTAGTGGGGGAGAAAGATAATAACCACCACATATAATATGTCAGGGAGTGACAAGTACCCTGGAGAAAACACAGTGCAGGGAAGAGACTGGGAGCAGTGTGAAAGGGACGCACATATATCAGTGTGTTCAGAGGCCTCAGGAAGGTGATGGCAGAGTGAAGTTCTGACGGGGGTGAGGGACAGGGCCGTGCAGATGTTGGGGGGAGGGGATTCCAGACAGAGAGAGCTGCAGAGATTAAGACCCTGAGACAGGAACGGTACAGAATAACTAATATTACATATCTTAGCAAGAAATGGAGGGAGGAATCTAGGACTGGATTTATCAGTTCAAAGGCGTCCACAAGAACCGGCCTCATTGACACAGCTTTCGCATGTTGGTGTTTGCACGCTGGCCAGGCTTCCAGTGTCATGTCCTCATACAGCCATACCCAAAGCTACAAGAGGTGACCCCACCACCCCCATCTTCTCAGAAGTCTCACCCCATGGCAGGCTTCTTCCTGCTCTACTGGCCAGAATGGAGCCAGCCCATTTCTGGCAAGGGGATGGATTATCTTGACTGGTATTTAGTCCCAACTTTTCCTAAGGTACTTGGCCTCCCCAGATTCTGGGCAGAATGGGGTTCTCATTACAAAGAAGCAGTGGGGATAGAATATAGGGATCAGTCATGCCAAGAACCACCACCGTAGGTCTTTTAACAGAAGGGGGATTCATCCGGGGGATTGCTTGTACTTTGTTGGAAGAAGTACAAGGGGGATGGAGGGGTGCAAAAGAGCAGAGAGGAAGAAAGATGTTTCCCAGTGACTGGGGCGATGACAAATCACCCCTGTCCTTAGTGGCAATAAACAGTTCAGAAGTAGAAATTTGAGGGTGGCCTGTCTCTGCTCCATGATGTCTGAACATCAGCCAGGATGGTGTGAGGGCAGGAGTTGAGGCATCAGCCCTCATGCCTTCTAAAGCGATAAAGGCTGCTGGCGCTTTTGCTGGGGCCATAACTGGATCCAACAGAGAACTTTTTGTATGACCTAGACTTCTCAGTTTGTGGAGGGCCGAATTCTAATATGGTCCCCTAAGATTTCTCCATGCATCCCTGGGTCTACCAATGTGATGAGATAGAACATCCATGATGATGTGTTATATGGCCCAAGAATTTGCAGATGTGGTGGAGGAGACTGATTAGTTGGCTCTGAGTTCATGGAGGACGGTTTTCTGGGTGGGCTTGATCTTCTCACATAAGTCCTTTAAAAGCAGAGTGTTTTCTCTGGCAGGGAGCAGCAGGAGAAGTCAGATTTGAAGAATAAAAAGGCAGGGATGTCGCCTTGCTGGCTTTCCGTAGGAGGGGCCATGTGACAGCTGAGTGGCCGCTAGGGGCCAAGGGCCAGCAAGAAAATGGGGAGCTCAATCCCATACCTGCAAGGAAATAGATTCTGCTAAGAACCCAAGTGAGCTAGTTAGTACAGAGGACATAAGAGAGTGGAAGGCAGAGGTGGGGAAAGAACCAGTGTCTCAAATTGCTGTCCTAGATAGGGTGCTCATTGAGATCTCTGGGCTCACACAGGCCCGGTTGGAGGGTGGCTTCACGTGGTATCTGTTTTGTGGACTTGGACAGGTCTCATAGCTTCTCTGAGCCTTGGGTTCCCATTTGTAAAAGGGAATTCAACACTCTGAACTCCTAGTATTGTAAGGTCCAGAAAGCCTAAGACTTGGCACAGACTCAGCTTTCAGCACATGGAAGGGGGTCACCAGTTAGGGCTATTAACCTTCAGGACAACTGTCCTATTATTTAATCTATGAAGACAGCGGATGGATGGAGGACTGCCAGTAAGTGCAGCAGTGGGATTTGAACCCTCTACTAGCTGACTCTAGAGGATAAACTTTTCTCCCCCTTGAATATTAAGAAAATGTTGGAACCTACACTCAAGTAGGGAGAACAGTATAAAGAATGTGCGCTTATCTGTTCCCAGTATCAAACATGATCGACATTTTGCCAATGATCTCCTTCCCCTCCCTCCCTTACTCCTTCTCCCCTTCCCTCCTTGTTGCTGCCCTCCTTCCTCTTTTGCTGCCTTTTTGTGCTGAGAAGTTGTGTTTTTTTAAAAAAAGATTTATTTATTTATGCATACAAGAGCTGGGGTATAGGCCAGAGACGCAGGGGTGGGGGGGTGAGAGGATTCACAAAAGACAGAATGGGGAACAGAACAGGCACTGACTGAAATACACTGCTGAGGGGAGCAGCGGGTGAGTCAGGAGAGGTCTGCTGCGCCATGTGGGTAGCTCCCTGGCCGGGGATCAAACTTGTGCTGCAGAGACTGTGTAGCTTCATGGTGCTGTTCTTAACCCTTTGTGCCACCAAGGAGGCCCTGTGCTGAGAAGTTTTAAAGAAAATTCCAAACATTACATTTCACTCAGTACTTCAGTGCGCACCCATGCCTCCTCACATAACCTTTGCATTACGAGCCTTCCTGGGAGGGAGGATCGAATACAATAAAGTGCCCTGAGAGCTCAGCATGCCTGGTCCCCCTCCCTGTCCATTAACAAAAGGTCCTGGGATGTCCTTGAACTTCAGGGCAGAGCTCCCCTAACTGTGGGACTGTGGCCTTCTTCTAAAGTCTTCATAGAGGGCCTCCCCTGGTGGCGCAGTGGTTGAGCTCTGGGTTACGAAGCTGCCTGCAGCCTCTGCAGCGCCGGTTCGATCCCGGGCTGCCGCTGGGTGAGGGTCCCACATGGCGTGCAGACCTCTCCTGCCACCCGCTGCTCCCCTCAGCAGTGTACTTTGTCAGTCTGCCTGTTCTGCTCCCCGCTCTGGCTCTGGTGAATTCTCTCACCCTCCCGTGCTTCTGACTGTGCCCAGTGCTTATTTAAATAAATAAATAAATCTTTAAAAAAAAATAAAGTCTTCATAGAAAAATCGTATCAGAAGGGTGTTAGTGCATGACTGAGGGGTACTCAGGCACCCCAAACTGTTAAGGGGTGCATGTTCTAAAGGGATCTGGCCATCCATGTACACAAAGACAAAGGAAACAGACTTTCAGTGTGATAGATCTTTAACAGAGTTGGTGTGCATACAGAGGGAAGGGAGGATATTCCTAATAATAGTTTCCCAGTAAAGCTTCCAAAATTACCTATCCCTTTGTGGGTAAATACTGAGTCAAACAGGACTGGCCAGAAAGCTTGCCACAAGTCCGAGGCACCTTTTGGTGGGGAATAGCAAGAAAGGGGTAAAGCAGGTCCCAGAAAACTGGGGCAAAAGGAGATACCACATCAACATACCTGCTGCCGCTGTCAGCTTCCCCACGTGTCTCTCACCCATTCACTCCTTCGCTTGTCTCTACTTGTCTCTCCTCTGCTCATCTCCTTTCAAGTATCCCAAGCCCCTGGGTGCAAGTCAAAGCTGGAGAAGCAAGTACCCCCGCCCACCCAAGCCCACCAGCCTTGCCTGTTATTTTGCATCCCTTGGCCTCTCAGCTCTGCCCTTATTTCCCAGCAGCCCCTCGTTCAGGACGTCTGGTTCATGGCCCACTGGCACCTGCAGTCATGACAAAAGTGGGAGGAGGGAAAATAGCACCTTCCCAAACATGTCTAGATCCATATGCAAACAGGAACCACAATCAAAAGGAGCAGCTGGCTTTGTGGTTAAAAGGACGGACTTGGGTGCCCCCTGTCAGGGTGCCCCCTGTCTGAGCACCAAAGCCAGCTTGGCCAGTTACTAGTTTTGTGACCTTGGACGACCCCCTTGACCTCAGTGTGTCCATCTGTGAAAGGGGGCAGTAATGGTTTCTACTCATAGAGCGGATGTGAGTGGTCGAAAGAAGTCAGATTGGTGCACTCCGAGACTTCCATCTGAGCAAACAGTAGCCCTTACTATCATTATGGGGTGGGAGGGTGGGGGTGCCCTCTGGATCACGCAACCAGGCTAAGTTGCATGACTCCAAAGCCTCTTTATTTTTGCTCCCCAACATGGCTTCCTGTCTGGAGGTTGGCTGCCCTCACATGTGGATGTGGGAAGGAAGGGACTATTTGTGGTGGGCTGGAGGCTGGAGGGCTGGCGTCCGGATATGATCCATCTCTGCTAAGCCAGGGACCCCAGCAGGTGCTCAGGAAACCCTTGCAGGCAGAAACAGATCTAGTTAATGACCTTGACCCTGGAGTCTGCATGGGTATGTGTGTGTGTGTGGGAGGGGACTTTAGGGGTAAGGGGGGGTGGCTAACCTGACCAGAGAATTTAATTTTATTGTGCTTTTCCAATTTTCCATAAGGGCACAAATGTGAGTATGTTACTCAAATAAAAAAAAAATTATGAATTACTCAAAACCTATAAAAACAAAGAATAAGCAGCCTCTCAGCCTCAGCTGAAAGAAATCTTCAGGAACAGTTGAAATACTCTGCAGCTGCTTCGCTGGCCACACGCCTGCTTGCTTTTCTCATCACCCAAGTTAACCTCTACTCTAAAAATGATATTTGCGGGTTTGCTATATAATTACAGGCTTTGCATTTGAGTTGTCGTTCCCTTTCCTTTTTCTGTTTGGCTGTCTCCTCTCCCCTTTTACTCCCAGACTCTCTCCATACCCCTCATCTCCCTGAAATTTCATGTCAACAACCCTCTGCTATTTTCCAACTCCCAGTAAGACTCTGCAGACACTTGAGACATCCATGTATATGTAGACATCTACATATCTATACATGTCATATCTGTATCCTGCAGACGTAGCTAAGTCATGTAGGAATACAGGGTTGGGTATTTATTTGCTGTCTTCTAAAAATAAGATATTTAGGCACAGTTCTCTAAAACTTGCTCACCCGACGCACCTCATGGAATCCTCTGAGTCATTTGATTCAGTCATTTTCATGGTTCCTGATTTTTAATGGCCCGTGGTGTGGATGTACTTTCAGTCAGTCCTTCTCATTTCCTTTGTTCCCCTTCCCACGATGATAGAATCAGCCGTTAGCATTCTGATGACAGGAGAGTTGGTTATTTGTTTGGTTTCTACATGTCTTAAATTTTTTCTGATGCATTCAAAAAGTATGACAGGTGGGGCCTCCCCGGTGGCACAGCAGTTGAGCGCTGGGTTGCAAAGCTGCCCGCAGCCTCTGCAGCGCTGGTTCGATCCCCGGCCACCGGGCAAGGGTCCCACATGGCACACAGACCTCTTCTGCCGTGCCCGCTGCTCCCCTCAGCAGTGTACTTTGTCAGTCTGCCTGCTCTGCTCTCTGCTCTGGCTCTGGTGAATTCTCTCACCCTCCCGCGCTTCTGACTGTACCCAGTGCTTGTATAAATAAATAAATAAATCTTAAAAAAAAAAGAATATTTATTAAAAAATAAAAAATAAAAAGTATTACAGATGGATGGACTATTATATCCCTGCCTTACTCCTGGATGATCTATCCTTCCTGTGCATTTACGAAAAATTCTAGCATGTATAATGAAATGGAATCGAAAATTATGGTTAAAAATTAAAGGAAGGGGTCTCCCGGGTGGCACAGAGAGGAAGAAGAGACAGAGTCCTGGGACTTTCATGGGGGAAGGACCAAGGTCTTGGTCCAGCTCCATCTCTAGCCTTGGCCAGCACAGGACCCAACACACGTGTTTAGGGATGTGTGTTGAATGAATGAACTTTCTTTAAAAAGCCTTCACTGATTCCAGGCCCCCATCACTGCTGGGTCAGAACCCCAGAACCTTGCTGGTCAACACTTAGAGTGGGTGGTCACTGTCTGGGGGTGATCTGTGTCCCCCCACTGGACTCTGTCTTGGCCACTGCCAGATCTCAACCATCAGCAAACGGGCCCTGGGAACACAGTAAGCTGGGCCACATATACTTCCTGGAGGGAGGAAAGGCTGTCTGGGTCCTGGTCATGTGCCTAGGCTGACCTGAAACAGAGTGGACACTCAAGAAATTTGAAGTGGTTCTGTCCCACCCCACACTAACATTTTAGTAATTCCAAAGTCAGGAAGTCACAGTGGATGGTGCCTAATCATCACTGTCAGCCAGGTGGCCATTATGACATAGCTGTCTCTGCCTGGGTGTGAATATGGAGCTGCTTTTAACAGAAGCCCCCCCACTCCTGATGGAGGATCTGTCATGTGGGAAGACATGGCTGTCCTCTCCTTAGAGGCCAAAGTGACTCCACAGTGACAGACTGTGTGTTTTTAGGACTTAGCCAATCTGTGTCCCCTTGTATTTTGCTACATAACTACATACACGCATGATAGATGGTAACAATCTCTATTTTCCAAGAAAATCTACATAGAGCTCTTACCAGTTAAGTGTAAAATAAAAACTGTAAGTGATTAGGAGATATTACATCAGAGTTTTATTGCAGCACTTTCCCCCTTGTTCGCGGGACTGAAAATGATGCATCCGACAACCAACCGTATAGATTTGATTATATATGGAAGCTGCAGAAGGGTTGGAGGGATAAATGCATTCACCTCATTTGTCTCTTCCTCCCCATTCCAGTCTGCTCCTGGATTTTATGTCTGTCTTGGGAGGGCAGGTGGGAGAACAATATTCTAGTCCCAGTTAAACGAGCGACTTCCTGCAGCATCTGGCGCGTTGCAAATGCTCGGTAAAGGGATCCCCTCTGCCTGTGTGTGCTCCTGTCAGTCACCCCACCAGCCTGTGAGCACCCCCATCTTCTCTAAGAGTAGGAGTATAAATATGACTCACATCTCTGGACCAGGGTTGGGTCTGAACGAATGTTTGTGGAATAACTACAACTGAGTGGTTGACTAGGTGAACAAGCTCTCTCGCTCAACTCAGATTCTCAGCCAGGGATGCGGCTCCTTAGCAGTCATCACAATTCATCCTTCAGATCTCAGCTCTGGTGCCTCCTCCTCCAGGAAGCCCTCTCTGATGCTAGGCTGGCTCACATACCCCCTTTAGCTCACAGCCCATCTGTGCTCCCCCATCTCAGGCCTGTTCACTGTGGGTGGTCACTTTAGGGGCAGATCTGACTCCTCTACTGGACTCTGAGCCTTACGGGGACAGAGCCTGGACTGTCTTGGTCATTGCTGAGTCCCCAGCACTGGAGCCCAGGACAGGACCTGGGGAAGTACTGATGATGAGTGAAGAGGGAAGGGGAAGCTCGGCAGGTAGGCAAGCTGCAGTCTCTCTTTAGTTGTTGGCCTCAGGAGCTGGCAGGGATCACCAGCATGGATCACAAGTGCCCTGCGGCTCTCTCTCTTGGCTCAGGGTAGTCCTGGGGTGTGGCCATTTCCCTTTGCTCTCACGTGGGGCCCCTGAGGGCAGTACCCGGGTCTCACTGTGAGGCTTTTGCATGTATGCTTGAGCTGGGGTTTGAAGATGGATGTGCTTGGGGGGTGGGGTTGGGGTGGTGGTGGCCTCTCCCCAACCTTCTCTGTCATCCCGGCTGGCACTGCCAAGCTAAACCACCCCCCTCCATGCCTGTGCAGTACATCGGGCATGCGGTGGCGGAGGCATGGACGGTGAGGAAATGATACAGAGAAGGGAAAATGAATGACTTGTTGGGGGAACTGAGGCCCTTGATGAGGAAGAAATAGAAAGTGGAGGGGTGCGCAGGCCCAACTTCTCAACTTCGGGTCGAGAAGCCCGGACTTTGTCCAGAGTGACAGAGAGTACAGACGTTTTTGATTAAGCTGTGATATTAGCTAGGTCTCTCTGGGTCCCCTGTGGGGACTGGGACCCAGTGTGACTGCCTGAGCAGTGGGAGGGTGGGGTCCCTGCCCCACCTTAGGACCCCGCCCCCTGACATCACTGGTACATTATTGCCTTAGAGCCGGCTGACCAATAAGCTGCTGCTTGCCCTTATAATGGGTCTTAGCAACCGTCTGACGTTGGGCTAACAGGACCCCACCAGCGGGGAGAGTGTGAGGGGACAGGGAGAGCCTGCAGGGCAGGTGAGTCGCCTGAGGGCAGGGCCCTGTGGGTGAGTGAAGACAGGGGCTGCCAGGCCCATCCCAGCTTCCTCTGCCCTTATTCCACACACTGACCTGTCTGCCTCTTGCTCCTGAGGCCTGACACCGGCTCACGCTGTTCCTGTAGGCCCGAGCTGGGTTAGGGGAGAGGGTACAGGAGAGGGCGGGTATACTCTGGATGGGGAAAGCTCCCTATTCAGGATAGGGGAATCAGACCTGGTGGTGGGGGTGGCACAGGTGGCCAAGGAGATAATGGGGAGGCGGAGACATGTGGCTGGAGGAAGAGCAGCACTTCAGAGGACCCCAAGGAGCCCAGGGACCTGGGCTCGAGTCCTGGCCATGGCTCTCAGCAACACGTCACTTGTCTGAGTGTCAGCCCCTCTGTGTCCAGTGGGGACAGTGATCCTGGACGGGAGCAGTTCTTCAGGGCTCTGAAGAGTCATAGTGAGGAAGTGAGTTTTGGAAGTGACTCACCAGAAAAGAATGGGAATGGAAGGGGGGGGGTGCCCAGCAAGCTCCACGATGAGGCAGGTAACGAGATCTGGGAGAGACCATCATGGGGGCTCCAGGAGGTGGGAGGGGCAGGACCTAGCTGTGGTGGGGTGGGGTGGGGTGGGGAGTACCTTCGACGAGGACTTCCTGTGTCTGTGCCTCTCCTGTGCCAGTTCCTCCATTACCTGAGCCCAAGCACATCTTCAAAGTCAGCCTCACGATGGAAAGATGGGGCTCAGGAGGGTCACAGCAGCCTACGAGGCAGGCAGGGTTAGTTTCCCTGGTGCCAATATGGCAGGTAAGGCTCAGAGATGGCAGGAAATTCCTCAAAATCACACAATTAGGAGTATCAATGTGACATACGATGATGATGATGATGCCGATAACACAGACCTTCTGTTCTGTTCTGTTCTGTATGCTCTGTTCTATACATATAGACTATATATATGTATACACACACATATATATAGTGTGTGTGTATGTGTATGTATATATATATATGTTATATATATTAACTCATTTAATTCTCAACAACCCTGGGAGGTGGCTTACTACTGTCGTGATTCTTCTCATCTGACACATGAGGAAAGTGAGGCAGAGAATTAAGTAATTTGCCCCAAATCACTCTGAGTACGTGGTAGAGCCCGGATTTGACCCCAGGTAGGGCAGCCTCAGGGTCTGATTTCCCTTCACTGTGAAGCCACACTGCTTCCGTAATGCCAGCAGCAGTGGGAACACAGCCCCTGTCTTTGGGCCCAGGAGTTCAGGGCCCTTTCGTTGGTAGGCCTGGTAACACAACCTGCAGGGCTTGGTAGCAAATGAAAATACGGAGCCTCTGGTTCAAGTAGTAAGAAAATCACTGTCAGCCTGGAGCTAGGCCTTCTGAGTTTGTGGTCCTGTGTGACCACATAGGTCATCAACTGCCCATAAAACTGGCCCCCTTTGTAGCTTACCCAAAGATTCCTCAGCACCCCAGGAGACAGGTCAGTCATGATAACCCAGGGAAGCAAACAAGCCCAGAGAGGGGCCTCATTTTGCTCCAGGTCACACAGTAAGTTGTTGGCACAGGTGGAATATAAACCTGGCCTGGGAGACACCAGAGCCCCACTATCTTGTCTGAGAAAGCTACCCTGGGTTTTGGCGAAGGAGAGGCCTGTGGGGGGTCCTTTTACCTCCCTGGTGTCTCTTGCCCAGTGCCAACGCCCAGGATATTGGAAAAGTTCCCTTCTCCCCTCTCCTGCAGACGCTGAGGACCTCTAGTTGGGGGGACTCTCTTCCATCCCCCATCGCCCTCTGAACCGCTGGTGACCATGGCTACTTCCAAGGTGCCAGCGGTGTCCAGGGATGAAGACACCACCATCCTCATGGCCAAGGAAGAGCTGGAGGCCTTGAGGAGCGCCTTTGAGTCCGGCGATCTCCCCCAGGCTGCCTCTCGCCTCCGGGAGCTGTTGGCCTCCTCCGAGTGCATCCGCCTGGAGGTTGGTGTCACAGGCGAGTCTGGCGCTGGCAAGTCCTCCCTCATCAATGCCCTTCGTGGCCTGGGGGCCGAGGACCCCGGGGCGGCGCTCACCGGCGTCGTGGAGACCACCATGCAGCCCTCCCCCTACCCGCACCCACAGTTTCCCGATGTGACCCTGTGGGACCTGCCGGGGGCAGGCACTCCGGGCTGCCCCGCCGACAGATACCTGAAGCAGGTGGACTTCAGCCGCTATGACTTCTTCCTGCTGGTGTCCCCCCGCCGCTGCGGGGCCGTCGAGACCCGCCTGGCCGCCGAGATCCTGCGCCAGGGCAAGAAGTTCTACTTCGTGCGCACCAAGGTGGACGAGGACCTGGCGGCCACCCGGACCCAGCGTCCCTCGGGCTTCAACGAGGCTACGGTGCTGCAGGAGATCCGCGACCACTGCGCTGAGCGTCTGCGGATGGCGGGCGTGGCGGACCCGCGCATCTTCCTGGTGTCCAACGTGTGGCCTGGTCGCTACGACTTCCCGCTGCTCGTGTCCACCTGGGAGCACGACCTGCCGGCCCACCGGCGCCACGCGGGCCTGCTGTCGCTGCCTGACATCTCGCTGGAGGCGCTGCAGAAGAAGAAGGACATGCTCCAGGAGCAGGTGCTCAAGACCGCGCTGGTGTCCGGAGTCATCCAGGCCCTGCCCGTGCCGGGGCTGGCAGCTGCCTACGACGACGCCCTGCTCATCCGCTCGCTGCGCGGCTACCACCGCAGCTTTGGCCTGGATGACGACTCGCTGGCCAAGCTGGCGGAGCAGGTGGGCAAACAGGCGGGGGACCTGCGCTCGGTCATCCGTTCGCCGCTGGCCAACGAGGTGTCTCCCGAGACCGTCCTGCGGCTCTACTCACAGTCCTCTGATGGAGCCATGCGGGTGGCCCGTGCCTTTGAGAGGGGCATCCCCGTGTTCGGTACCCTGGTGGCCGGGGGCATCAGCTTCGGCACCGTCTACACTATGCTCCAGGGCTGCCTCAACGAGATGGCCGAGGACGCCCAGAGGGTGCGCATCAAGGCCCTGGAGGAGGACGAGCCGGAGCCCAAGGACAGCTTGGAGGCTGCAGGGGACAATGGCGTGGAAAAGCACGGGTCCGGAGAGGGAATCGGCGAGGACGCCCCGCTCTCTGCCCGCCGAAAGCTGGGCCTCCTTCTCAAGTACATTCTTGACAGCTGGAAGAAACGTGACTTCTCAGAGGAGAAATAAAAACGCAGTCCCCAACCAACCCCCTGCCTCACCCACAAACCAAGCCTTAACAAAATCGACCAAACAAACAAAAGAGGCCAGTGTGGTGTAAACTCGAGGCGCCAGTTGGGAGCGGGGGTGAGGCGGCCATCTGAGGGGGTGACCAGAACTTGCCATTTTGCTCAGGCAAGGGGAGGGGTGGAGAAGTGGTTGGAGGGAGGTAGGGGCTCCAAGTCAAAAAAAAAATAGGCTGAACTCTGGGTTAGGACTTGATCGTGGGGAGACAGAGGTCATGGGCCTAGGGTTCCTTGATGGTATCTTCTTGCCTGGCCAAGTAGCACAGGGGAGGTTTGTGGGTCACCAGAACAGCTCAGCCGGGAGCCAAGACAGGAGCTGACTGTCATCTTATGTGGGTGATGGAGTGGGGATTGGGGCGGGCTAATTAGTTTCCATCTCATGTCCCTTCTGAGAACCCCAGTGTCTCAAAGACCTTCGGGGGGTGGGGGGAGGGGCAGTCAGTCATGGCCAGGATTGGCACAATGGCGCCTAGCAACTGGGCTAAACAGAAGTGGGGAGACAGACATCCTGCGGCAGCCCCACTGCCAGTAAGTGATGGGGGGAGGTGGCAGGGAGAGGGGAGGCCAGATGGGCCCGGATTCATCTACAGGTGGAGCTTGGGGAAGAAAGAATTAGGGGGGCTACTGAGGGCAGGGTCTCTATCGGCATCCCTGGAGTGAGTCGTCTCCTTTCAGAAAGCTCCATGTCCGAGGGGAATGTGGGTGACCATAAGCTCTCTGGTGTATCTGTGATGGGGAGGAATTGTGGTAAGAGAAACAGGGCAGGATGCCAAAGAGAGCAGCCCAAAACCAAACCAAGGGCTATAGTGATACCTCTACAATAGGGGACTACAGCCAATCAAAGGGTGTGCCCAAGAGGGGACAGGGTTCTCACCGCGTGCACAATTGCAAGATACTTCAGGCTCCAGGAACAACAATGGGGTTTGTTTTACAAACAGGGGAAACAGAGTTTACTGTAGCCACAAGTGGCTCACTATCTCACCACAGCATAGTATCAGTCAGAAGCACAGATGTAAGCAGAGTGCCGGTCACCTGCCAACAGAACTGGCCAGCATTGGCCAGCACTGGCCAGATGGTCACTAGTGGTCACCCTGAGGTGGTGTCAGAAACACCAAGTGTTAACAGCTCTTGGTGAGTTGTTGGCTTACACCAACAAACAGCAGTTTGAAACACCAGGCCAAGGGCCTCTGGTGCTCCTTTCAGACAATGCCAGAGACAGGACCAGAGGCCTAGTCTCTGACAAAGGTCTTCAGCTTCTCTTCCTTCCTCGGAGGTCAGCTGCTGGATGCTTCTTTCAAGGCCGGCTGCTGGTGCTTCTACGAAGGCTAGAACAGTGCCCTTCGGCTCCCTCTGGCCTTGCCTTATATCCTCTTTCAGGATGCCTACAAGTCTGATTGGACCATTTTTCAATCCAATGGTTGAATGGACCATTGGGGTGGAGGAAGGTTGGACAGAGCAAGAATTGACCCAAGGGCTTCTGGGCCTGGATCTGCCAGGGAGGGTCAGATTTAGGTGCAGAGAAAGGCAAATTTTTAGGGCTTCACTAGGTGACTTCCAGGGTTCAAGGTTTGTGGTAAAGTGGGGACAGCAGGGTAAGGTCTAGATATGGTTCCAGCCAGAGTCTCAAGTGACCTATGTCCCTCGGAAATAGTTTCAAACCAAGAGGGTCCACTTTTACCTAGAGGATTAAAGGGGTATGCATTCTCTTTACTAAATATCTCTGTGCTTTGCAAAAGGATTCCTCTGTTGCCAGAAGGCCTTCACGTCAGCTCCGCCTGGATGACTGGATATAGACTTTCTGCATCCAGGGGATCATGGTAGAGAAATTTCAGATCCCCCAACCCCTAGCCATGCACAGCACTGGACAGTAGTGATGGTCACTACTGGTCATTAGGAATTCCCTAGGTGACTTCCTGGTTCCTTCCAAATCCATTTGCAAAAGCAGCCCACCCTGTGTCTGTAGACCCTCCACATCATCGTAAACACAGGACTTGCTGGCCAGTGTGGGCTGGGATGGACAGAGTAGGCATGCATAGCTTGAGCTCTCATTGCACTGGGCCTAAGGTTGAGACAGGATTGGTTGTATTTGTCTCCTCCCCCCACCTTTACCACCCTCAGCTGGCTGGTCACCATGTCCTGTTCCTTCTGCCTCCATTTCTCTCCTCTCTCCCCGTCCTATTCCAGCACAGGCTCCACCCAGTTCCTTCCCCAGCCCCTTGCCTGTCTCCCAGGTGCCTCTCCTTCCCCTTAAGGCAAAGGTGGGCTCTTAAGTCCACAGCAGACCTCTCCCCGCCCTGCTCCATGAACCCTCCCCGGGCTCTCCACAGCTAAAGATCAAGCCCAGCCTCCTGTGCCAAGCCCTTACTCAGCTGGCCTTTGCCTGCCCCTCATCAAGAATAAAGCCCAGCCTTCCTAAAGAGCAGAGCTGGGAGGGCTATAAGGAGTTGGCTCTCCATTTCACAGGTGAGAAAACTCCCCAATCTCACCCTGCCCCATCGCTCACAGAAGGGGAAAGACACCACAGAGGGCACTTGCCTAGCATCAGCCCACAGGACCCTGGCACACCGGGACTGGGCACAGTCATACCATCTAAGACAATGCTTGCACAAAGGCGCCAGAGCCATCACTGCTGGGAACTGAAGCACCCCACGAGATCTTGGCACACAGTGGGTGCTCATTTGTGCACAGATTGGGGAGTTTACGTGATGAAAGGATCAGAGGGAGCAGGTCTGTGCCCTGCACCGTGCTCTGGTGCAGCTTGTCAGACACTGAGCAAGTGACTTTTCCCTTCCTAAGCCTCAGTTTTCTCTTCCGTGAGACAGGGACTTACTGAGATTATGTGCCTGTGTCTGGCTCAGAGTAAGCCATGAACACGAACTGTTAGCAGATCCCAGGTCTCCATCACTGCCCCTAATTACTGGTCACATGCCTGGTACAGGATTTGAAGATCTTGATCCCAACTCTGATACCCCCTGCAACTCGCTAGAAGCCCGGGGCAAGGGGCTGACCCTCTCGGTGCCAAATGTAGCCAAAGGGTAATCGTTTTCCAGGTTGTTAAGAGAATTTTACAAGATTCTCCGAGAGGAGAGCTGGGCAGCAATGAATACATGTTAACTAAAAGCAAGCAATGAGCACTGGCCTTGTTATAGCCTCAGAATTAATCTGGGTGACCCTGAAATACCTGGGCATGCTGAGGGCGGCAGAGAAAGAAGGGGTGACTCACAAGTGAACATACATCTTTACCTGTCCTGTCGAAGGTCAGCAAGTCCTGAAGACGGAGAACTGGGAGTCAGGCAGCCCATGGCCAGCAGCACCTTCCAGTCCTACCTCAGCCAGATATGGGAGGTGTCGCAGGACACCAGGGCTCTGAAGGAAGCCTTTGAGGAGGGGGACCTGCCCGCAGTGGCCGCCAAGTTGCAGGCCACACTCCATTCGCTGGAAAATGTCAGGCTGGACATTGGTATTACGGGGGGGATGGGCTCAGGCAAGTCAACCTTTGTCAACGTCATACGGGGACTGGGAGATGAGGACCCCAGGTCGGCCTGCACGGGTGTGGTGGAAATGACAATGAATCCCACGCCGTACCCGCATCCCAAATACCCCAACGTCATCGTCTGGGACCTGCCGTCCATAGGCACAGCCTCCTTCCAGGTTGACAGTTTCCCCCAGCGGGTGCTGCTGGACCGCTATGACATCATCATCTTCATCACGTCAGATCGCTTCACTGCCAACCAAGCTCAGCTGGCCCTTGGCATCCTTCAACAGGGCCAGCGTGTCTACTTCATCCGCTCCAAGGTGGACGTGGACGTCGCTGCCTCACGCAGACGCCGCCCCAGCACCTTCTGTGAGAAGAAGGTGCTCAGTCAGATCCGCGATGACTGCAGGCGGCGGCTACAGGGTGAGATTCAGGCTCCCGGGGGCCAGGGTCAGGGGATTCTGGGGGCTGGCCTGCTCCTTCTCTTGCATCTTCCAGCAAAGCCCCAGAGTGGGTCAAGGGCAGGTCCAAGGTCACAGTGTGTGACTGCAGTCAGTCCCACAGTGAAATAGGTGGGACTTAGGTCATTCCAGGCTGCCATTTCTGAGTTAGCACTTCTCCATCACAGGAGATAGAGCCAAATCACCCACGTCTTGGGTACTGGTTAGAGTAATGCCATCCATTACAGGTGGCCAATGCCCTGGCACCTGCTGCTGATGGCACCAAACATTTACGAGGGTTTGTCATAAATCAGACACCATTTTCACAAACTCAGTCCCTCACAACATCCATAGGAGGAAAGGCAAAATGGAAGCCCAGAGAGGTTTGGGAACTTGCCTGAGGCCACACAGCTGGTAGGCGGCAAGGCTGGGTACTAGGCTCAAGCTGCCTGGCCGCCAGGGCCAACAACTGAAGCCAGAGCTGAGAAGGCTCATGGTGAGTGTGTGCGTCAGGGCAGCTGTCAGGACACCAGAGCCTGCTCCGGTGTGGGGGTCCATTCACTGGTGCTCTTGTCTCCTGCAGGGGAGGGCCTCAAGGACCCCAGGGTCTTCTTGATCTCCATGTTTGAGCTGGGCAAGTATGATTTCCACCAGCTGCAGGAGACCATGGTGAAGGAACTAGACAGCCGCAAGCGGCATGTACTCCTGATGGCCCTGCCCAACATCTCCGAGGCCATTCTAGAGAAGAAGGCGGCTTCTCTGCGGCACCACATCTGGCTGGTGGCTATGGTGGCTTGTGGTATCAACCCGAGTCCCGTGCCAGGTGTAGAGGATGTGGTGTGCAACCTGACCACGCTCACCCGTTCCTTGCAAGGCTATGACTACAGCTTTGGCCTGGACAAGGACTCCCTTGTCAAGCTGGCTGAACAGATGGGCCAGCCCCTGTGCAACATCCTGGGGGTGATACAGGGCCCCAGGGCCCAGGTAACAGAGGCACTGGTGCTGGACCTGCTGGGTGAGGCCTCAAAGAATGCCTCAGCTTTCACCCAGGGGCTCCTCCAGGTACCCATTCTGGACTCCCTCGCCACCTGTGGCATCTCCTTCGCCACCATCTACCAGATGCTCCGCAGGGCCCTGGATGTGGCAGTCAGGGATGCCCAGAGAGTGCTCCATAAGGCCTCTCTCCACACCCCCGACCAAAAGCTCCCAGATCATTCCCACCAATAACCCCAGCCCAAGCCCAGGCCAACTGGAGGTGGCAGCAAGGGGCTAGGAGGAGACTCCATCTGCTCCCAGGATGGGTGGTGATGGGGGGTGGAAGAAAAAACCTCAATCTCTGACTCTGCTGGACTGTGCCTGTGCCGTCTTATGCTTTTGTACGCTGGGCCTTATGCCCTCTCAGGCTATTGCCTTCACCATCCTATTCCACTGAGTCCCCACAACAACTAGCATCCCCCAGGGAAGCAAGGGGCAGGAATGTGACACTGGACAGGTAGGGACAAGCTGTCTAGCTGGAGGGCAGCAAGGGGGGTGTCCGTGTAGGCTGGGACAGTGAGGCTAAGTATTCAGAAGCACCACCCAAAGAGGACTGCCCCAGACCTGAAGGGCCTTGAGGACCCTTAGGGGTAACGCCTGCCCCAGGGGTCATCACCAGTCTGCCCTGGCTCTGGGAACACCCAGGACCTTAGCTCCCTTCTTAGGGATCTGTACAGATTCCCTGCTTACAGCCAGACCTCTGAGCTTTCTCTTCGCTGCCTCCCACCGTCTGCAGTTGTGCATTTTTTTCTGAAAGACCGTGGGACCCCCAGGACTGAAGCACCAAGACTATATGGGTACTCCTGAGAGTAGGGGAAGATGAGGACGACCAAATGGTTAGGGGAGCTGGGCGGCAATGGAGAGTGCTTGGACAGGCAGCTGGAGTTCCTATAGGTGGAGTGGCATGATTTGAGGGTCAGGACTAATTTGTGGAAGGGGATGGTCACACTGCTTTGAATACCTACTTCAGGAAACACTAAGATTAGGTACTGCATTTAACTCTGCAGATAAGGATGACACTGGATTTCTGGATACAAATCTAAAGTAGGGACCGTTTTTAAGCCAGAGTAGATAGGGTGACAAGGAAGGAAGCCACAGTATTTAACCAACAGTAGGCATCATGTGTAAGGGAAATAAGGTCTAAAGAGTTAACAAGGGGCACATTCTGTTCTTTAACCGAGTATTAAAACATTGTATTTAACTGGCATTTCACGGAAGGCCGGCACTAGCTGAGAGAGGAGAGGACATGAGGGTTGGAAGTCAGACTTTAGCCACAGGAGGGCACTGATTTTCTTCCCCATACAGACATGGGAGCTGGATGTCACCCCAGGACACAGAACACCCCTTTCTAAAGACCTTTCCTTAGCAGAGACTGGCCAGCTGCTCCCCACAACTCTATGACCTACAATGGATGTGTCCCTGAGGGAAGTTCACCCCAGTTCCCAGGGCAGCCAAGGAACTCTGCCCCCAAGGGCTGGGACCCAAATTTTCCCTGCATCCCAAGACAGCATGCTGGGGAGGGGAAGGAGAGTTACCACCAGAACAGGCTTGTGTGACTTTTTATTGAAACACCAGATGCACCCCAATAAAGAGCTCCCCAGATGCTGCCTCAAGAAAGGGCTGAGTGTCAGGAAAGCAGGGCGTGTTGTCCTGCCCTGCAGAGGGAGGCGAAGATGGAGCCTGGGCTTCCAGTGTTCTCAGACTCCTGCCTGCTCGCGTGGGGCCGGCCCCTTGCCTGGAGGTGACATCTCAGAGCTGTCCCCCATCCTTGCACACCACTCCATGGAGGGCCTGGTCCTGAACACCTAGGACTGGTCCGTGTCTCAGGGCGTGAAAGTCGAGGTCCCTCATCTGTCAGGCCTGCTGCCACTTCCCTCCTCCTCGCATGGGGTGGAGGGGGATGTGTGTGCTCCCGGCCATGCACAGGGGACCCAGAAGGGGTCCCAGTGACATTCTCTCCGTGGCCTCAGGCCAGCAGGCGACTGTACTCTGCCAAGGCAGAGGACTTTTTCACCCCGTCCCAGATCCGGGCGGCATAGTGGAACCTGTGGGAGGAGGTCAGCGATCAGGGCTGCCCTGTCTGCGGCCCCTGCCTGGCACCGGCCTTGGTAGGTGAGAAGACCGAGTCTGCTGGGCTGGGATACAGAGAAGAGGCCAAAGCTGAGGGGAGGTGGCCCCGATCTCTTCTCTCGCCCCATGTAAGCCAAGATGAAGGTGCCTGGGTTTGGACGAAGACCGCAGCCCCCACCTCTGGTCCAAACTTCCTCCTACTCCACTCAGTGTGGGCCTTGGGGACTGGGGTTCTAGCTCCAGCTCCCTCCAGTCTCGTGAGGGTCAGAAATGTCCACCAGTTGCAGAACCCTTCCCTCCCGACCCACCCTCCCCACTGGGCCTTGGCTCAGACCACAGCAGGAGCAGAGCTCCAGCCCACCTGGCCTGCACCTGCTTGAGGCGCTTCCTGTGGCTGCATGCACTCCCGCCCTTCTGGTCACAAGACTGCGAAGGGACCCAGGGAGCCATGCTATTTCTCTGCCCAACTTCTGTTTCTCTTGGAAATGAGATGAAGCCGACCCAGTTAGATCTGTGGTGGACGTGACGTGGGTTCTGGGCATGGAAAGCCACATGAAGCTGGGGCCAGGGAGGGGGGCCAGGGCCGTGAAAGCAGGGGAGACATCAGCTGGCAGAGGAGCAGCAGAGGAAAGCGTAAGGCCAAGCCACCTGGTGAGAGCTGGAGGCCACAGCTCCTCCGGTCACTGACTTTCTGCTCCCAAATCCTGGGAAGGGCTCCAGGCCTTGGAATAAACTGCACTCAGGTGCTGAGAATAAATCTTCCCTAAGCTTAACAGGTTCATGGGCCTATTCACAGTCAAATGACAACCAACCACATGGGTGTGACCTTGCTACATGATGCCCCCTCTCTCAGCCTACGCTAGTAAAGGACAACAAGGCTGATACCCCACTGTCTAACTAGAAGGAATGACAATCACACGAAGTCGCCTGTTGCCTGGCATAAAGAGGAACATCTTGAGGCCCCCCTGGTGGCACAAGGGGTTAAGACACAACCTATGAAGTTGTCTTCAGCTTTGACAGCACAAGTTCGATCCCCAGCCAGCCAGGGAGCTACCCACATGGCACGGCAGACCTCTCCTGTCTCGCCCGCTGCTCCCCTCAGCAGTGTATTTCAATCAGTCTGCCTGTTCTGCTCCCCACTCTGTCTCTGGTGAATCCTCTCAACCCCCGTACCTCTGGCTTGTACCCCAGCTCTTATATGCATAAATAAATCTTAAAAAAAAAAAAGGCACATCTTGCTTGGGAAGGGGGAACTGAGATCTGAACAGAGCTCCAAGACCACCTGACTGTCTGTGCCGGGTGGGGCACCTCGCACTGACCCACTCTGCCAAGAGCTCTCACCAGTTCTTTTCAGTGAGGATAGTGTGCGACAGCTGTGGCCGGGCCATGGACATCACTTGACTCCGGAGCTTGCTCACCAAGGACTGGAAACTGGGGTGGCCACGGTACCCAGGGAGCAGGGAGAAGAGTGGGCTGGAACCTGGTCCTGGAAGGTGAGGTGGGGAGAGTAAGTGTGCCCTGCCACGAGAGGGTCTTCCTCCCAGTCAACCAGCATTCTGAGCTTCAAGAAGCACCTGAGTTCAGCCCTGGTCAAGTTCTTCTGTGACTCTCAAATAGGCTCCCAAGAAAGAGTCTGAGTAACTTAGGGACTCGGGCCGCGAGTGGGGAAGGGGCTTGTTTTCCCCCAGAGCAGGGCAGATTGTGTCTCCCTCAGATCAAGAACACCCTGTCTCCTTATGTACCAGCCCCCTTGAGGGGGAACCAGACCTGTTCTGGGTGGGTTCTCACTCTCGGCCTCACTGTCCATGAAGGGCATCAGGAACAAGTTGACCTCAGAGTCCAGGAAGTCGGCCGGAAGGCCAGGAAAGATGTTGCACTGTAACATGGACAGCGTACCTGGAGGAGAGAGCCTTTCAGCCTGTAGGCAGTGTGCTGAGACGCAGGGAAGGCACAAGACAGACAGTCAGGCCGGGGTCAGGACACTAGTCTGGGTCAAGCCCACAGGACTGGATCAGGAGTTAGGAGGCTGCTGGCTGCTTTGGGCATGGTTCAGGGACCCTCACCTTTGTAACGCAAGTGGGAATGAGCCATGAGCTGGTCGATCATCAGGTGCATTTGCCGCAGCTTTCGAGGACAGAAGTCCTCTCGGCGAGCTTTGTTCTGTAGGAAAACTGAAGGCGGGAGGGAAGACAGGGCCCTGTGATGTAGCCAGGCTCACCACGTGTTTGCCCCTCTTCACCCAAAGATCTGCTCTAACCCCTGAATTCAGATCATTTGTAAGTATTTAAGGAACACGGAATTCACTTTAGCACCAGGCCAAGGGTGATGCTGAGGACCCAGAGGTTAGTTTGATCTGGTGTCTGCCCTCAAGAAGCCACCAGTCTGATGGCAAAGACAGAAAAGGGTGATGGCCATACAACCAGGAGCATCACAGAAAGACAGGCAGTTGCTGGGTGAGGCAGAGGGAGCTGGGAAGACCCCGCGTGAGGCATCCTAAATGAGGGAGACCTTCGCAGAAGAGCAATGTGTCAGCAGAGCAGAGCAAGGGCAGAGCGGGCAGAGGAATAGCACGTGCCAAGGCGGACTAAGGGAGAACAGGGTGCAGGGCCTGTCCCCAGTTCCATGCTAGAAGACACCAGGGGCCCAGGAACAAGCAGACTTGGGCCCCACTCCCAAGAGGTTCTCATACTGATCAAGGAGTCAGAGCCAGACTCCCGTCACACCCTCGGTGTCAATGGGGGGCCGGGGCTTGAGCCCTCAGAGGAAGAAGCATAGCATCTATAGACCTTCCTCTTCACAACGGCCCAACTCCCACCTCCCCAAGTGCTTGCTCCTGCTTTCCCTCCCCTCCTCCGCCCCCTGCCCATCGTCCAGCTCTCAGAAAGACTCTCACCCAGGTGGGGATAGTACTCAGTGCCTTCATCGGAGCCTGACGAGCTGCTGGACTCGTGACTGGGCGACGGGGTGGAGGGCTTCACCATCTCTGCCGTCTGGAGGAACCTTTTGGGGTGAAAGGTAGGTGCTCTGCACTGGTACCCCATATCCCACCGTCTCGGAGAGGGGGCTCCCTTGGAGGATCTGATGCAAGTTCTAGCCACACTCAAAAAATGCCATGTACACGCCAGTTTTGTCACACAATTTTAGGGAATTCAGAGATACCAATCCATGGGCCCACGTCCATGATGGTATTAAAAAATGTATGTATTTTTAGAGCAGTTTTAAGTTCACAGCAAAATTAAGCAGAAAATACAAAGCTGTCCCATACAACTGTGCACCCCCACACGATGGCTCGCCCACTGTCAACATCCCCTGTGAGAGAGGTCCAAATGAGGACACCACGGCACATGTTACTCAAAGCTGTATTAGGGCCCAAGACTGTGCTCGTGTGCTATGGGTCTGGCCAGACGCATGACAGGCATCCACCATAATGTTGTAGAAAACCTCCGTGCTCTGCAACTCACCTCCCTCTCCCTCCAAACTCCTGACAACCCGTGATCATTTAACTGTCGCCACAGTTTTGCCTCTTCCAGAATGGCCTATAGTTGGAATCATACACTGTGGGGCCTTTTCAGATTAGCTTCTTTCAGTTAGTGATATGCATTTTGCATGCTATGCATATATCTCCTCATGGCATGATGACCTATTTCTTTTTAGCACTGAATAGTAGTCGCCTAATGGGACGCGCCATAGTTTATTTATCTCCTGAAGGACATCTTGAAGCTTCCAAGTTTTGACTATTATGAATAGAGTTGGTATAAACAACTGATGTGCATTTTTTAAGTAGAAATAAACTGTCATAGTATGCTATTTTTAAGTAATTTTTCCAAATTTGTAATCATAAACAAAACCTGTGGCCTGAGTAAGGAATAATGGGACCCGATAAATACACTTTCTTCTCATGGAGACACACACACACAAATACGCACATTTCAAGGTGGCCTCCTGCTCTGAGAAGCCCACGTACAGACTTTGGCTCATGAACAAGGCTCTGCCCTGTGCCAGCCCTGACCCATGAGTCCCCCCCAGAATGTGAACTCCACAGGGCATTAACAGAGTTTTTGAGGGATAGTGACTGGGATCAAACTGTGTGGGACCTTATAAATCACACTCGGGAGGACTATGGAATGTGCTGAGCAGTGTGTGAATCTGGGGTATGGGCAGGGGTTGTATATGCGCCAACTTCCATTTTAAAGGGTGCCTGTGGCTGTGGGGTGGAACTTGTGAGGCCTGGGCAATGTGGCTATCTCTGCACCCCATCTCTTACCTGGCTCCCCTCCCACCCACTCCTTACCTGTACAGACTGAGGTCCGTGAACCAGTCTTGGACGACGATCACCACGTGACAGACGGTGAAGAGGAAGGCGGCAATCTGGAGTGACTGAGAGTGGGCAGGAAGGGACAATGGAGTTGAAGGTCCACTCTGTCCAACCCTGATCCCAGAACCCAGCTGAGGGGGCAGTGGGGCAGGCCTCAGAGCTTTAAGCACCTACAAGTGCTCAGACGGTGCTGGTGCTTCCTGGTCAGCCAGCCCAGTTCAGGCAAGGCAGGAACATGCACCACAATTTACCCAAGTGGAGACTATGGCTGAAGGGGTGGGGGGAATGACTTAGCTGAGGCAGCAACAAGGGCCAAGCCAGATCTGTCTCTCAATGCTGTCTTCTTCCCAGGCTCTTGGGCCACCCAGGGCTCATAGAGAACAGAACTAGGTAACCTGCATCCAGCTCCCCGGCACAGATCTTGTCAGGGAGGGTAAGACTGTACCGCTGGGCAGATGCAGCCCCTTACCTGCATTTCAACATAGGTGTGGGGCAGGCTGTACTCTGGAGGCAGCTTGCGGTCGTTGTTGATGAGGTGATCCAAGATGGAGGGGCTCAGGATGGGCTGGAGGAAGAAAGAGAAGGGGTCAGGGAAGGGGCTGGGGTCAGGATCCTGGGACCTGTGTGCCAGCCCTGCAAAGGCCTCTGGGACTGAGACACACCCTGGCTGCCAGCTGCCAGCTATTCATGTCCCACACACTGAAGGCAAACATTTTGTCCCTCAGGACAAAATGAGGTCAGAGGGCCTCCCAAGGTTGAGCACAGCGCTGTGAGGCTGTCCGCAGACTCTACAGCGCAGGTTTGATTCCCGGCCGGCCAGGGAGAATCCCACATGGCGCGGCAGACCTCTCCTGCCATGCCCGCTGCTCCCCTCAGCAGTGTATTTCAGTCGTCTGCCTGTTCTGCTCCCTGCTCTGTCTCTGGTGAATCCTCTCACCCTCCTGCACCTCTGGCCTGTACCCAGCTCTTGTATAAAAATAAATAAATCTTAAAAAAAAAACACAAAAAAAACAAAATGAGGTCAGAGACACACAAGCAGGTAGTTTCTATTTAGTACCTTGCTAGTCAGCAAGAGGAAGGTGAAAGAAAAGTATCGAAGCAGATACCCCTTCCCAGCCCTTTCACAAACCAGCACTGCTCTCAAGTGTCTCATGCCTGGGAGATGAACTCATCCCGAGCTAGCAATTTTAACACCGACTTGAATGAGTCACTTCCTTAAAGGTCTATTTGTTGTTAGTTGTTTTAAAACTTTGCTAAGATAATTACTTAGGTGAAAAAGCAATTTCTAGTGTGAAATTAATATGGTTTTGAAAATTGCATCAGTGGGTGTAGAAGAATCAGTGGTGACTCAGCAAACTTTTCTTAAAGGAACATTTCATTTGAAAGCCGCAAGTGCTAAACTGGCTTGGTCGTCTATTGCCTCTGACAGCTCTGGGCGCAGGCTTCTTTAAGAAAAAAGGTTTACCCAACTGCTTGCTTTCTAAAACTCCCAAAATCCAGCAGTATCCCAGCCTGTCTTGTTTGAATTTCTACGCTGCCCCACATGGGCCCCTGACCAGCTGGCAGTCAGGGCGTGTCTCAGTCCCAGAGGCCTTTGCAGGGCTGGCACACAGGTCTCAGGCCACACTGGGAGGCTGTCCACTTCCGTGACACCCACATCCACAGTGACCAGAACTTTGTTGTGCAAATATTCAGTGTGCACCAACTGCCAGCCAGGCCTCTGCCCCAGCTCTGACCAACACAGCCAAGGCCCCCACTGAAACATGCCGGGCAGATGGGGAATGGAGCAGCACACCAGAACCATTACTGTGAGACCAAAGGGAGGGCATATGGGCACTGGTAGGTGGTCAGAGGCATGCCTAAGAGGAGGCAACACACCAGTGGAGACTTCAGGGAGAAGGCATTAGCAGGGCAAAAGGGGAGTGTTCAGCTGGTAACAACACTAACAGAGTTCCAGTCAGGTGCTGTTGTTAGCAGTGTCTCTTACTAACTCACTGAAACCTCACAAAAATTCTTCAAGGTAGGCAATGTTATTTTCCTCACTTAAGAAACCCGAGGAAGGGCCTCCCTGGTGGCGCAAGGGCTTAAAAGCACAGCAGTGTGTAAGTTATCCGCAGCCTCTGCAACACCAGTTCAATCCCCAACCGGCCAGGGAGCTGACCCACATGGCGCAGCAGACCTCTCCTCCCTCACCCGCTGCTCCCCTCAGCAGTGTATATGTTTCAGTCAGTCTGCCTGTTCTGTTCCCCATTCTGTCTCTGGTGAATCCTCTCACCCCCCCACACCTCTAGCCTGTACCCCAGTTCTCATATGCATAAATACATAAATCTTTAAAAAAAAAAAAGAAAAGAAAAAGAAACCTAAGCAACAGAAGCCTGGCTAAAGAGGGGACCATGACCCAGGCCCCATTGTGTGCACAGGGGCTGGTGATCGCACCGGGGGCAGGAGGCTAGACAGACTGAAGGAGGCAGCCACATGAGCTCTGTGTACCATGTTGCACACAGGGACGTTGACTGAGAACAAGGAGAAGCTGAGGAAAGCTGCCGCCACACATGTGACCAGACAGTTCTAGTGACTTGAGTGCTATCCACGCACCATGACCTGTGTACACCATGAGGTCTGAGTAGCATCACTGAATCCCGGTGACCATCCAATGAGGCCAAGGAGAATGATCATTCCCATTTACAGACCATGGAACAGGTTTTGGGAGGAACTGTAGAGCTGACCGAAAGTTACCAGCTGGAAAGAATTAAAGGCAGGCTCTGGACCCAGACTGACTCTGGGGCCCACACTCGTAATGGCTATGCTAGAGGGTTGTTCAGGTTGCTGTGTGCACGATGGATGGGGGTGAGGGCAAAACATGATAAGAGGCTAATTCAAGAAAAGACACAACTTGGGCCTCCCCAGTGGCACAGCAGTTGAGCGCTGGGTTGTGAAGCTGCCCGCAGCCTCTGCAGCTCCGGTTTGATCCCCAGCCGCCGGGCGAGGGTCCCACTTGGCGCGCAGACCTCTCCTGCCACTCACTGCTCCCCTCAGGAGTGTACTTCATCACTCTGCCTGTTCTACTCTCTGCTCTGGCTCTGGTGAATTCTCTCACCCTCCCGCGCCTCTGACTGTACCCAGTGTTTGTATAAATAAATAAATAAATCTTAAAAAAAAAAAAAAGAAAGAAAGAAAGAAAAGACACAATTTGCCAAGGGCACCGAGCATGTCCATGGCTCGGCTGGAACCACGTGGACTACAAGCAGGGCCCTGGCTTAAAAGTAAGTGGGGATGGGGCTGAATGTGGCATGGAGCAGGGAGGGGTGTGTGGAGGCTGGCACCTGCGTGTCCAGGAAAACAATCCGCTCTTGGGTAATAAAGAAGTCGATGCCACTGGTCTGGTTGCCCCCTCGTTCCTTCATTTCAGCACTCTGGGCCCGGAAAACATATGCCCTGCAGGGAAGAGCAGGTGGGGTACATCAGAATCTGCTTCTCAGCCTTTGAAATCCCCCAGATTACTATCCCCAAAATGAGCCTGTGAGAGGTGGTTTCCTGTCTGTCCACACAGCCTCCCGCCACGGCCCTCCTGTGTGCATGACTTCATCCTACCCTTTGCGGACTCCTCCACTCAGCTAAACATCTGAACACTTTAGATGTTTAAGAGCAGGCCCTGCCAGAGAGCAGGGATCAAGTCCCAGCTCGGATTCTTCCTTAATGTGTGGCCTTGGGCAACTTCTATCATCTTTTTCCTGTTTCCGCCCTATAAAACGAGGTCCACAACAGTGTCAAACCTCCTTGGGTTACTGAGGTTGATATACATAAAGTCCTTAGAAGAAGGTCTGATACAGAGTGGATGGACCTGTGGGCTATTAATCACCAAACATCCTTGCTACATGTCAGGCGTCGGCAACACAGCACCGAACACCCTCCACCCCCACAGTGAGAGGTGGTTTGGCATCTCAGTTCTTACTTCTTGCGAGGCAGGTCAGCCTCCATTTCCACCTGTGCTGGATGATGGGGATCTGGGAGCAAAACTGACAGAGCCTTGCCCTAAACCACTGAGCTCAACATGGTCAATCTGTGGTGGACGAACTGACTTTACCCCCTTCAATCTGTGAAAGCAAGAGAAAGAATTTGTCCCTCAAAGGCTAGCTTCCACCTCCTCGAGACACTCAGTATGCATCCAAAACCAGGTAGGGATCCTTCCACTTCACACACGCTGTACTGAAGACCCAATGCACCAGACACCGGGATGGAGCAGCGAACAAGAGACTGTCTCTGCTTCCACGGGACTTCTGGTCAAGCTTACAAATCAGTGGGAAGTCGTAACTGTGGGCATTAGGAAGCAGAGGTGTACAGCTCTGTCAGAGGAGCCAGAAGGAGCTACCCTGAGAAGTATGTGTCCAGGCTGAGAGTGAGAGAAAGGGGGAGCTAATTAAGCAACTTTAATTCACGTAAATGGAGATGTGGGAAGAGTGGGGGACAGAGGATTGAAGCAAAGACCATTCCAGGCAGAAGCAGGTGACTTGTATGAGGCCTGCTCGTGGCAGGGGGAGGGGCATCCTGGAGAAATCCTGAAGAGTTAGGGTGAGAAGTGACAGGACTTGGGTTTGACGTTCCCCCTGGCCACTGTGCAGTGAGGACTGCAGGGTTGAAACAACACAGTGACGTACAGACCCGGTGCCCCTGCGCCTGCCTTTGGAACTGTTAACTGGCCACCTACCACTTGGCTCCAGCTCTGTGGCTCCACGCCACTGTGCACAGACACCAGGGAAGCTCCCCCTCAGAGGTCTGTGCTCACCACTCCCTGAGTGGAGTGCTCCTTGATTGGAGTGCTCCTCCTTTGGGTTTGCTTCTCCCAAATGTCCCCCTAAGTGTAGCTTTCCTGGACCATCTCATCTAAATCTGTGCCTAGCCCCATCACCACCTCCCTTTAATTCCTTTCTGTTTTTATCATCTTCTAACATGTCAAATAATAGATTTTGCTTACCATCTCACCTATGAAAATGGGAGACAAAAACTACCATGACTAAGATTCATGCTAGTTCTGTTTACTGTAGCATCCCCAGCACCCAGAACACAGTAAGCCCTCAAAGATGCTTGTGTTGAACTAAAGCAAGACCAGTGAGGAGGCTCTTGCTTCCTGCAGGGCAGATGTTAGTGGCTTGGAACAGGGAGGTGGGGTGGAGGAGAAAAGCCTATGATTTATTAAAGGTAATCAGGAGGTAAACTTAGGAGACATAACAACAAAAGCTGGTGGGCCAAGTCCATCATACCTAGACTGATGTGGCTCAAAAACATAAGCTATAACAGGATTCTTGTTAGTTCAGGAAGCCGAACTGAGAGCCAAGGGGAGATTTTGTTAGCTGCGGGAGGAAGCTGACAGGGAAAAAATGCTATCCGAGAGCTGGCCCAAGCAGAGCTGAACCGAGCCAGATGAGGGAGTAGGGTGGGGAGGGGAGGGGCTGACTGGGAGGCAGAGGAACACATCCTGGTGCTCTCCCTCCTCCAGTAGGCCTCACAGCCTGGTTCTAGCCAATGCCCATTCACTCTCACAACAGTGCCTCTCTACCTGCTCCGGGTCACCATCAGCCCCTCCGAGACCTGGTGGAAATGACAGTCCCCTTCCCTAGGAAAAAAGTCTTACTGCAGATGTGTGTACAATTTCATGTATACTGTTAGGGGGTTCATGGATGTCCATTTGTGAAGTCCAGGGTTAACAGTACTTGCTTTATAAATAATGAATCCCTTTTTGAGACTCCCCAAGTGACTACTACCCCTCCCATGGGGCATCATGGTTCTTCAATTAAGACTATCTGACCCACATTCCCTCATTCCTGTCTTTCCTACTTTTCTGCTTTGCCCTCAGGTTTGGGGCCTGGTTCTTAAGCGCTCCTTCGCTCCGTGACTTTATCCTTTATCTTCCCAAATACACCCCAACCATACTCAAGAATAGAGGACTGAGGGTGGACGAGAACCCACCTCCCACATGCAGACCTCTTTCCTGTTTCCCAGGTCTCTCAGTCAGCATCCTCAGAGCATTTGCTCTGTGCCACACTCCTGCTGACTTCTGCCCACCTGAACCCACCCTACAGATGAGGAAGAGAGATGCTGGAAAATAAAGTGACCTGACCAAGGTCAGCTAGCTGGTGAGCAGCAGGGCTGAGACTGAGATGGGGTTAATCCAAAGGCCTAGTATCATCCCAGTTTCTGGCTGGGCGCTGTACCATTTCCTGGGGCAAGGTGGGAAGGGAAGGAGAGAGCAACAGGGCTGGTGACCATGGAGCAACAAAAAGATTTCATGCACCCCCTACTCATCTTCATCAGATGAAGACACTAAGGCCAATGGAGGAAAGCAACTTCCTAAAGTCCTTTGGTAACACCACTTGAAAGACTCAGGCCCACCCTTCCCCTGTCCCACACAGATGCCCACCTCCCTCCTGACCTCCTACAACCCCCCCCCCCGAACCCCCCTCACCTCTGGTCCTCCTCAGGCGTGTTGGCTGACAACAGTGACATGACCATGGACTTGCCTGTCCCCTGGAGACCCAGGACACCAACCACCAACACATCAGTCTGATCCAAGAGGTACTGTGGGAAGATACAGGAATGAGACCCTCATAAATCTGTGAGTTGCTGGGGCAGGAATGAGAAGGGAGCCCCAGACTTTTGTGACTTACCCAGCTGCTTTGTCATGCTGACAAGGTCTGAAAGGAAAAACTTCTATGGCCTGAATTCCCTCAATTGGGCAAAGGACTCTGCATGTGTGGTGACAGTGGTGAGGTACGTGGGATGTTCTGGGCACACAAACAGCATTTGTGGGAGCTTCAAAGCAGAAAGGTGCCCAGCATGATGAAGACTCTAACAGGAAGCTAGTGCACCTGGACTACTGTGAGACAAATGAAGCTTGATCTTGGGGAAGAAATGTGGAGAGGGGCATGGGAAAGACATGTCAAATGGCTTGTGCCAACTGAAGGCCACTGGAGTGGACTCCTGGGAGGCTTTCTGCCTCAGGCAGGCTGGAAAGCATGAGAAAGAGAGCATGTTTGGGAAAGGGAGAGGGGTGTTTTCAGGCTCTTGTCTGTGGGATTTAAAGGAGTGCAGGAAAATCCTGAGACCTTCACCTCTAGGCCTCGACAGTTCTGACTTTCACCACTAGAGGGCGGAAGAGACCCTCCACAAGGACATTTGTCCTCAACTTTGGCTGCTGTTCATGCCTCACCTGGAAGAGCTTAAAACAAAACAAAACAGTAGCTAATCCTGGGACTAGCCCTAGACATGCTAAATCATAATACCCAGGGCTAGCCCTGCTCAATACGGTAGGCAGTGACCACATGAGGCTATTTAATTAAAAATTTAGTACATTGACTGTACTAGCCTCATGTGGCTAAGATAAGGGGCAAAGTGTCCAATAGCCTTCTACAGGGACAGAGGACACCATACCAGATAGCGTAAATATGGGCTGTTTTCATCACTGTACTTCTACTTGAAAGTGACTTATTTTTTCATTCCAGAGCGCCCCAGTTGATATCACTCTGAGAATGGACAGAGAGGCAGCAGGTGCCAACTAATAAATGGGCCTCACACACTGTCCCTTAAGCCCAAACTGTTGAGGAAGGAGTTGGGACACACTCAGGAAGATTTGAGCAGGGCCATGTGGAAGATAAAGCAACAGAAGAGGGAAAATGAAGACCGGGAGGCAGGAGTGGGAATGACAGGGGCAGTTAGGATGGAGGGTGACTTCCAGGGGGTGACATTCAAACCAGTAAACACCGGTACAGCAGCGTTTCTACCAGGTGAGAGAGGCTGTGGGATGGTACAGGAGACCCTGGGGAGAACCTCTCCGCCAATGTGTCAAAGTATTTCAGTATTCTCGCAAGTGGCAGAGCATCTGAAATTCAACTCTGGCTAGGTGAGTACTTTCTGACCCTTCCCTCTCATTGCTGCAACAGCCTGAAAGCTGTCTAGTTTGGTATTGCCTACCAAGATGGAGGCGGGGGCGGGGGGTGCGGGGAGAAGAGGGAGTGAGACCTAGGGAAGTTCAAGCAGGGAGAGAACCCCCCCCAATACCTCGATGGCACTGTCACACCAGTTCATCTGGTCATCCACCAACTTGATGCTGTGCTTCATGCGTTCTGGGGGCAGCAGTTTGGCTTGGCCCACGACAGCTGGAGATGGGAGAGCAGGTGACAGAGCATGTGGTGAGGGTCTGCGTGTGAGGGAGTGCCGGCTCCCACCCAGCCCCTGCCTAGCCCCCACTCACGGTCCATGGCTGCTGGGGCGGCCGTGCCCATGCCCCGGTTCTGGATCTGGTACACAGGCTGTGTGGGTCTCTGCCCCTCCTTCTCTCCCTTGGGTGGTGCGGGCGCTGCAGGGGGTGGTGGGGCAGTGCCCTCGGGGGTTGGGGCGTTTGTTGCGGTGGCAGGCCCCTTCCCCTCCTCCCGAGGTTTCATGAGGACGATGGGCTTCTCTAGAGGGGCTGGGGCAGGCGGGGCAGCTGGGGCTGCTGGAGGCGGCGGCTGCTTTGACTATGGGAGTGAGAAGGTTCCAGTCAAAGAGAGAGATCCTTGCCCTAACGGTTCCTGACCTCCCCTTCCCCTTCTGAAGAAGATTCTTCCCAGCTCACCCGCTCTGCTGGAGGTTTTGAGAGGATGATGGGGGTTTTCTGCATGACCGACGAGCTCGTCTCTTCGCTGCCATCCTGTGGTGAGGGAGGGCAGTTACTCAGGAATGGCTCCCCTGGTCCCTCCAGAGCAGGCACACACCAGCGACTAGTCTATTTTTTTTTAAATATATATTTTATAGCCATCTTCCTTTTTGTACAGTGCATGCTTTCTCCCCTCAGGTGTAGTCCCTATGAAATTCCCACCACCAATTCACCAGCAACTATTCTAAATGCCTTCCCGTGAAGGCATTAACTCCCTCAATCCTTCCAACAACCGTGTGAGACAGAGACTAGGCATCATCTCCATTTTACAGAAGACATGGAGGCCTAGTGCTTTGCTGGGGGTCACACAACCAATAAACAAAGAAGCCAAGCTCGGCACACAAGCAGCCTGGCTCCAGAACCATGCTGTCCACCGCTCCGTTCAGCTGCCTCTGCCAAACAACAGGCCCAGGTGGAGGAGCCGGAGCTCTGGGTTCAAACATGACCCTGCCTCCTGCGGGTTTCATGAACTTAGACAAGAAACCGCCCTCACTCAGGCCTGTCTCCTCATCTGGCAAATGGGGACGGGAATTCCTTTCTCCCAGGATGACAGTGATATGGAGGAGACAGAACTCAAAAACTGTCCATGTGGCACATGCCGCACAGCAGAGGCCTGCTCTCTGAAGCCAGTGCTGCCCCATACTCTCTCCTCAGTGCTGCTAGTGCCGCTCCAGGAGACAGACCCCCATACCACGCCTCTTTGTCCCTCTGATTCCTCCCCATCTGCTTATGAAAGGGGAGGTACCCCAGTTTGAGTCCTGTTCCTTCTCTGGTTGAGTAACCTGGAGAGTGCTGACCCCTCACAGGGTCTGTTTTTTCACCCACAGATGGAGGATACTTATCTAAATGCTGCTCACTTCACTTCCTGAGGGGAAGAACAAACAAAAAGATGACATGAAAGTGCTTTGGAAAGGAAGACAGTGGCGAGAAGTGTGGGAGAGGCTGTGAGCTTCCAGGGGGCCAGGGAGGGAGGCAGAGGAGACGCCCACAAGGAGAGACGATGGGCAGGAGGTATTCGGGGGCAGAGGTACCTGAGTGGCATGGGTGGGGTGTGAGCGGAAGGGAGATGTCCAGGATGAAACCCTCTGGGATGTCACTGATGTGGGGAGGAGGGAAAATGGCAGCAAGATGCTGCTGAGGTCAGCAGTGAACACCGAGGATGTGAGGAGCCCATGGGCGAGTTAGGAGGCTGCCAGGGCTCAAGCAGCAAAGACAAAGACGAGATCTAGGAGCTGCCTGTTCCAGCTGGAAGCCTTCCCCACAAGGATGCGTGCGAAAGGAAGAGAGACAGTGTGTTCTCACTTAATTTGTGACCTCAGCGGATGAAACAAATAAGCACCCTGCTCACTGTGAATAAATTATTCGTCATACTGACGCAGTGTCATAGCTCAGAAACTGGTCCAAACCACTGCCTATTTCCATCCCACCAAATAGCCTCAGAGGTACACCAGGCCCTGGAGAAAGAACCCAGGGACAGGTTGTGGCAGTGAGTCACCTAAGTCCAGGAGAGGAGCAAGGCAGGAGGGGAGCCCTCAAGGAGGCTCCTGACCCCTCATCCAAGACACTCCCTACAGCAGAAGGGTGCTGCACTTGACTGAGCTGGCTATGGGTTCAAGTCCTGGCCCTCGAACATACTGTGACTTCAGGTAAGTCCCTTCACCGCTGAGGCTCATTCTTCTCACCAGGGAAAACTGGATCTATCACAGGTTCTCCTTCATGGGGTAGCTGTAACGGTTCAAGAAGACCCAAAGCCAGCACACGGCAGGCTACTCAGGTGCTATTGTTTTGCACAGCTCTTTAAAGCACTAACTCATGACACCTCTCTGTTCAAATTCTCCAGAGCCAATTTCATTCAAGAAAACCCAAAGTTCTTTGCATGGCCTACCAGGTCTACATAGTCTGGCCCCATCATCTAACCTCATCTTCTATCGCTTTCCCTCCTCCTTCAGCCACTGCAGTCACACTGTCTTCTGGCTACTCCTTGAACACACCAGACACAGGCTTGAGGGCCTTTGCTTTTGCTGTTCTGTCTAGAATGATCTTCACCCCTTCGGGTCTCTGCTCAAAAGTCAGATCTTCAGAGAGGCCTTCTCTGCTCGCTTCATCTAAAACAGTCCCCTTTATCACTCTTACTTCATGAGGGCAGATGGTTTTGTTCATAGTTAGAGCCCCAGCAACTACATCAATGTCTGGCACGTGGAGCCAGTGGCTGCATTAGTGCTGCCCTTGCACTTGGACACTCACCCGTCTCTCTCTTTCCCATGGTACAATGTAGTCCCTCTCCCGACTGCCAGGCCCAGAGAGATTCTGGGGGCCACCGGGACCCGGTTCCTTCCACCGTCGCCGCCTCTCTATGCCGTAGAGCCCAGGCTGACTGTGCCCAGACTCAGACATGGTGGCCTAAAGAGAGAAAGAGGTTCATTTCAGGGCGAAGCGTTTCTCCCCATTCTACCTGGCACACCCTGGACTAAAAGAAGGCATTTCCTTCAATATCCATTCTTTATGTCTTTGGAAAAAATAAAACTCTCAGTTTTGAGCTAGTGCAGGACTATCAGAATCTAATTCTCAGCCTAGTTTGCTGAGAATTCTCAGCCTAGTTTGCTGTTAGGTGTGGCTACGGGATTGTTCTTTCTGGTCAATGGTATGACGCTGGACTATTTTTGGCAGCTTTCAGAAACCTACAGGTGCTGGCACATGCCTTTTGTCCCTTCCTCTAGAAGGAATGTGGGTATGATGGTTGGACTGTGAGGCAACTTAATGGAAGGAATGGTAGAACAAGATATAAGGTTCAGGGGTTGCCATCTTATCCTCGAATTGTCTACCTCTACATGCAGTTAGAAACAAATACCCTTCGAGTGTGTACTTGTACCCTAAACTACTGTCAACCAATAATCACTTTGCCTTAAAATAAATACAACTCCTAGGGACAGGGTCATAAAAATGAGACGTGAGCGTGAGCGTGAGCGCGAGACCTGAGCGTGAGCACCCAAATGCAGCAAGGAATTTCCTTACAATCCATAACATGATCCCCAGGCCGATAACTACTCTTGTGAGAACCCACTGTTGGCACACATGGGGGTGGGGCTCCAGCATTCATCTGGCCTCCCTCTACACTTCAGTGTTTGTTTACCTTCCGTTCCTGATGGTCTGCCATCCTTTACATTCCAAGGTCTCACCAGTGTTTAATTTAATGTCATAAAGTGTTATGGTGACCATGTGGTCCACTCCCAACCATTTAAGTAGCTGTCTACGGGTCCCCAGAAAGCTTCCTCAGCTGTTCACACATCATTCTAGGGAGGTCCTAAGTACTTAACTTTGTTTGCAGGACTGAGGCCATCTGCTATAGCTCACTGGTGAGGTTGGTAAACTGCAGCTTATGGACAAAATCCGGTTTTGTATTTATAGTTTTATTGCAACACCGTTATGTCCACCAATTTACAAAATGTTTGCGGCGGCCCTCTTGATACAAAGGCAGAGTTAAATGGTTGGTACAAAGACAGAATCTAAAATATGCTCTAAAATAATTACTCTCGGCCCTTGATAGAAAGTTTGCTGACCCTCGCTTAGCACTTTAAGTGCCTATTAATTGTTCCATGAATTCCCCAACTCCCATCCCACTACACAGCCTCCTGAACAAATCTCTGCTGGAGACTCTTCAGAACGTTAGCATCTGTTTACAGCACACAGGAGTACTTTTGCCAGCCAAAAGTACTGGCTCTTCTCTCACTGCTCTGTGACCTCTCGCCCAGCCACAAACCGGACTGCAGACTGCCCTCGAGACAGGAGGACAAGGCCTGTTTTTTGATGCTAACGGAAAATGATTCATTCAGCACTTAAAATGATTGTTTACAGTCTCCAGTGGAGATTCCCCTCAGAATGTGGGATGCCTCCCTATCTTGCAATTAAGTGTCTGTTTACATTATTACTCTCTATACCTCTCTTGTGCATAAGTGTGTTTCTCATGTGTTACTTCAATCCCTCAATAGGGATTCTGCCCTGGTACTACAGTTTCTTAGGTACCTATCAGAACCCACTTGTCAAGCAAATCCACAATATTGCAGTCTATTTAACAGCCCTTATGGGGAGTGCCCCGGAACTTAAGCATCCACCTATATGCAATCTGGGAACCTGCATTGTTTCTAGGATTCTGCGGGGATTCCCCCCAAACTTATAAAGCCAGTTTATTTAAATGTCTATTGACAGGTTTCTTAACTGACCTCCCAGACATTTGGGGTTTGGGGGTGGGATGGGGGAGGGGAAGTGCTTCCTCAGTACTTAATCATCTCTTTACAAATCCTTTTGGGGCGCTATCCCAGAATCCAAGTGTCTCTGGCAGATTATCTGAACAGACTCCCAATTCCTAAATCCATATTTATGTCACCCTAACACACAAATAACGCATAAAGCACCCCCACCCCAGAACTGAAGAGTCTAGTCACACCTTTTTCTAAGCACTCTGTGGCACATACATTGACAGCTTCCCCTAGGGGACCTCCCCTACAATTTATGGACTTATTCATTATTCAGGGGACTTCCCACATAATTAGGCATCTGCTTACAGGCCGCCCATGGCGAACCCCACGACTGAAGTTTCTACTGACACAGGAGGAGGAGGAGGAGGGCCTCCTCGGCACATAAGTTTCTCTTTGCCCGCGACTGGACGGAGCTTCCAGGTCCTTTACGGTCAGTTTCGGTGCCCCCTCTTGTTGGGGAGTCCCCCGGGACGGAAGCTCCTGTTCCTTCCTAGTGCCACACTGCGCGCCTGCTCACACCCCACGCCCCCCAACCCGGCTCAGCCACGGGCTGCTCTGGGCTGCCCGCGGCTCCGCACGCCCGCGCGACCGGAAGACCGTTTGACAGTCGAGGCGGGGGCGTGGCCTGCAGTGGCCCCGCCCCTCCCGGTGCGCGCGCCTTCCGCGGGCACGCGGAGTCCTTACCTAAGGTGGCTGCTGATTGGCTCCTGGGGCGCGGCGCGCGCTCTCTCTGACGGGATGGGGTGGGGGCGGGGAGGTTCCACCACCAGCCACCAGCCGGTAAATGGCGTCTAGGGGAACGCGATCGTGGAAGAGAGAAAGGGAGAGAGAGAAAAAGCAGGCACCGGTCACCCCGGAACCGGCCTGAGCGTCCCGGAAGCGGCACCCAGGACAGGCCGGCCGAAGGAGGAGGAGGAACTATCCCGGGGCCGAGCCGAAAGCAGGTCCCGCGGACTGCTGTTCATGCGCATGCGCGGCGGGTGGGGCGCGCGAGACCTGAACGTGAGCACCCGACTGAGCATGCGTTGATGGAGGAGGGCGGCCTCAGCACGCATGCGCATTACGGAGGGCCGGCGAGAGCGCGCTGCGGCTCTGCCTCGGCGCGCGTGCGCGTCGCTGGTGGGAGGAGGGGGGTGTGTGTGCTGGCGGTGAGGAGGCGGAGAGGGCGGCCTCGGTGACTGCAGGTTCGAGTCCCCGCCTTGCCAGTGGCGTTGGCGGGATGCGTTAGGGTGGGGCGGTAGGGTGGAATTTCAGTGTCTCGGACTGAGTGAGGGCTGAGAGCACAGGCATGAATCAGACCTGGAAGCGATCCCGGCCTGTGGAGGGAGATGGTTAGGGGATCAAATCACTTAGCAGGAAAGGGCGCGGGTCCAGTTGGACCTCGAAGGGCGGGCGGACAAGGGCACCCAACCAGGAGGAAGGAACCCCGGAAAGGTCCACGCTGGCTTGGATTTAGATTCCTCCTGGGGTGGGAAGTGAGGCAGGCAGCACAGGTAGGCAGGTCAGGCCCTGAAGGGCCAGACTTTATCCTGAAGGCACGAAAAGATCCACCAAGTAGTAAATCTGCGCTTGGATCCAAACTTTCAATGCCTCCGGGCTGCGGAGAGTGCATGTGTGTTCCAAGGGTTCGTCGCCTTAGCTGGGCTATTTGGCTATCCAATGAGAATGACAGTGCAAGATTGTTCAAGAAAAGAGAGAAATTTAGATAGATAAGCGGATGGGTAACTCACCAGTTTTCACTTGCAGTCTTATTAAACATGTTTTATCATTTTATTTGAGCAGGTAATACCTGTACATTTTGAGTAAAGTCAAGCAGTCAGCGAGAACCCCATAAAAAGTAAGTCTCCTATTCTGGCCCCCATTATCTGTCCCTAAAGCAAGAGTTCCCAGTTTCTGTCTGGAGCTACTGGCACAGCAGAGCATTGGAATTAAGAGCGGAAGCCTAGGTTCACATACATGGTGGCCGACCTTAACCCTCTCTACCCAGTATTTCTCATGGGGATGACCTTATTTATGATGTTACTGGCAAAGCTAATGGATGAAAATGCCCAGAATTACTATGCCTGGTGCATAGTAGCTCTATGTTATTTTGTGATTTACAATGCTAATGATAGTGATTGATACCAATCTGCCTGCTCCCCTGCTGCCATTTTCTCCTCCCCCCAAACCCCCTGCTAGGCAGAACCCTTCTCCAGGTTGTCACAGATTGGGTGAAAACACAGACTGAGTTGAGGGTCCTCTTTACAGATTCTTCAGAAGATTGTGGGTGTTTAATGGATGTACACCTGACAGGCCATCTTTGTTCTCAGCATCCCTTTCAGCATCGTCATCTTCAGTTAGTTTGTATCTGTTTTTCTTCTCTGATTTTCTCAACCCCAGATCATCCTCCACACCAGGTTCATATCTGGGCAATCTTTAGAGGTGAAAATGACTTAGAAAAGGATAAAGACAGGGCCTAGCCTTCACCATAGGCCCACTGTGTGCCAAGCTCTGTTTTACATAAATATCACTCAAACCTTTCCCCCTCCTCGTTTAGCAGATGCAGAAATGAGTCCAAAAGAGCCTTACTAAAGGCCCTGTAGCCAGGGCCTGGATTCAAATCCAGTAGCACCTGGATTCAAACTCAATCCTGTCTTATGCCAGGATGAGTTCACATTTTTTCCACCTGGTACCAGGCAACCTGCCTGATGGTTATCAGTGGTAAAGTCAGGTGCTCAGAAGACTGCCTTTTCTCTTATCTTAGCGGCATGGTATGCTGTTGTGGGGATGTGACATATTTTAACCATTTCTCTATTGATAAGCACTTAAGTTGTTTCTGAACTCTTGTTCTTACAAACATTTGCTGCAGTTAATGGCCTTGAATGTCTGATGGCATGTTTCTTTTTTTTTTTTAAATTTATGTATTTATTTATACAAGCACTGGGTACAGTCAGAAGCTCGGGAAGGTGAGAGAATTCACCAGAGCGGGGAGCAGAGCAGGCAGAAGGACTGAAGTACACTGCTGAGGGGAGCAGCGGGCGGCAGGAGAGGTCTGCGCGCCATGTGGGACCCTCCTCTGGTGGCCGGGGAGCAGCCGGAGATCGAACCGGCACTGCAGAGGCTGCGGGGCAGCTTTGCAACCCAGCACTCAACCACTGCGCCACCGGGGAGGCCCTGATGGCATGTTTCTGATAGTATCATCGAAATATATGTTTTGAAGTTGAATTGCTGGGTCAGAGGGTATGTACATTGGGAATTTTAAGAGCCACTGCCCCGTGATCAATTATTCATCCCTTAATTAATTGTGTTCATTCTTTCATTCATTCATATATTATCAAATTTTGCAACTCTAGTCATCTACCAGGCATAATCTATTATAAGACTTCTTATAATATTTTTATAGTATTCTCTTGGAGCACATGGTGCCAGGTAAAAGATACTTAGAAGAATCAGGATAAGGGAACAGATCACAGAAAGTGACAAGTAGTCAGAGAAGCTGCCCAGAGGAGGTGACATTTGAGCAGAGGCCTCAATTGAGCAGAAGATAAAGAAATGAAACATATGAAGAGGTTGAACATTATTAAGTGGGGAGACTCCAAAGTGGGAGTGGGTCTAGCTGTTCAAAATTGTCAGGGTGATGTGGAACCAAGCATAAGTATTCTTAGCCATTGCTTTGTGTAACTGCCATTTTAGAATTTTAGGTTTTGCTGGGAAAAGACTGCATTCCAGAGATAGTTTGGACCTTCACTCCAGCCTTACTCTCCAGTCACCAATGAGGGCGAACTTGCTGTAATTGGAGCTGCAGGTTGGAGCTGCATCTTGGCCTGGCCAGTCAGCTTAGAATGATAGCCGGGCAAAGTTGGAGAACGCATCCTTGTAGCCAATAAGTAACTGCCAGCATAATTTAACCTTATTAAAAGACCCCTGCTTCCTTTGTTCGGGGCTCTCGGTATCTGCCTCTGCATTGGTAGGTGCCGTGAACCCGGACTCGAGTCTGAAATAAACTCCCTTTTGTGTTTGCATCAGCTGTCTTTGGGTTCTTGGAGACTATGCTCGCCGAGTCTGCTGACCTTGGGCACAACCGGTGACCAGATGACTAGAGCAAGGGAAGGTGAGAAGGGGGAGGACTCTAGGGGTAGAAGGGGGAGGACTCATGTTGCACATCATCTTGCAGGCCACAGTAAGGGTCGTGGAATTTACTTCCAAGTAAGAAGAAGCTAGCAGAGGGCTATTAGCAAGGGACCAACATGCTGTGAGTATGTTTCATAAAGATTTCTCTAGTGAATGCCAAAAATTAGTAACAGTGGTTGCCTGTGGCGCTGTGGGTGATAGACAGATCTATAGCAGATCTTGTCTTTGTAAGTCCTTTTAAGGCTTAACCTGTTTCTGAACCAGCTGACTGTTCTCTATGTAGGAAGTTCAATGAGAACACAGCTGGCTGCTGTGGGAACCTGCCTGAGGCAGGGCAGTCGTGGAAGTAGATGAAGAAATTCATGTCACTGCCTGGTGAGAGATGATGGCAGCACAGGGAGAGGACTGTTTGAGGGGAGGCATGAATCAGAGATGGTAGAAAGTTATCCCAAAGCTTTGAGGCCTAACTAACTGTATGAAGAGTTATGCTTTTTACCACACTGAGTTGGAAGTGTCTCGATTGAAATGGGCAAACTTCGAACTTCTTAATACAGTTAGTAGGAGTGGCCAGGAATGAATCAGGGCTTGTAGATAGAGGCTTCATTGTGGGATTTTAAAAACATGCACTAAGGTAGTACAGTGTGGACCTCCACATGCCTATCCCCCAGTATTGACAGTCCACTTAGCCTTGTCTTAGTTCTTCTAGTTTCCCCTCCCAGATATAAGCATGCTTTTCCCTGGAGTAGTCTTTTTTTCTTTCTCTCCTCTCTCTCTCTCTCTTTTTTAAAAGCAAATCTCAAATGTCTTGTCATTTTATCAAAAACTATATAAATAGACTAAATTTTGGAGCTCTTGATTTATTTAAAACCCTGGGATTTGGGCCTCCCCTGGTGGCACAGCGGTTGAGCGCTGGGCTGCAAAGCTGCCCGCATCCTCTGCAGCACCAGTTCGATCCCTGGCCGCTGGCGAGGGTCCCACATGGCGAGCAGACCTCTCCTGCCGCACCTGCTGCTCCCCTCAGCAGTGTATTTCGTCAGTCTGCCTGTTCTGTTCCCCGCTCTGGCTCTGGTGAATTCTCTCACCCTCCCGCACTTCTGACTGTACCCAGTGCTTGTATAAATCAATAAATAAATCTTTAAAAAAAAAAAAAAAAAACCTGGGATTTGCTGAAAAGCCTTCCAAGCTGGTAGGGGGTAGAGAAAGCAGAGACTAGCCCCAGGGTCTCCCACATTTGGGGATTAGGGAAAGGACCGGAAGCAGGAAGGTACATGAGGACAGCTGTTGACCTGGTGCCAAGGGAACAAAAGGTTCCGAATAGAAGGTGATGATAAGTGGGGCACAGAGCTCTGGACAAAAGCTGGAGGTAGATGTGGGGTCACCATGTCTTTTTATGCTCTAGTCTAATTATGTTATAGAAACTTCTCTCTGTGATAATAGAAAGTGCTTAAGTCCTTATTTTCCTTTGACTTTTTTTTTTTTTTAAAGATTTGTTTATTTATTTATACAAGCACTGGGAACAGTCGGAAGCACGGGAGGGTGAGAGAATTCACCAGAGCCAGAGCGGGGAATAGAAGAGGCAGACTGACGAAATACACTGCTGAGGGGAGCAGCAGGTGCAGCAGGAGAGGTCTGCTCGCCATGTGGGACCCTCGCTGGTGGCTGGGGATTGAACTGGTGCTGCAGAGGCTGGGGGCAGCTTCACAGCCCAGCGCTCAACCACTGCGCCACCGGGGAGGCTCTCCTTTGACCTTTTTTTTTTTTTTTTTTTTTTTTTTTTTAGCAAGGTGGCCATTACATGTGCACAGATTAAGGGTAAGGCCAGGAAATTTTAATAAATATATGTGCTCATATACCCATTAGCCAGATATTGGTAGAGGATATTTCCAATGCCCCAGAAATTTCCCTGTGCCCTTTCATGACAGTTCCCCCATACTGATCTAAATGTGGTTGCTGCAGGTTCGCTGTGCTTGCTCTTGACCTTCATGTGAGTGAAATCTGACCACCGGTCTCATGCGCATCTGACTGCTGTAACCCTATGTCTGGGAAAGTCTTCTGGGTTGTTGCCTGTGGCAAGAGTTTGTTCTTTAAGAACTCACTGTCTAGGGCTTCCCCGGTGGCGCAGCGGTTGAGCGCTGGGTTGCGAAGTTGCCCGCGGCCTCTGCCGCGCCGGTTCGATCCCCGGCTGCTCCTCAGCCACCGGAGGAGGATCCCACATGGCGCGCAGACCTCTCCTGCCGCCCGCTGCTCCCCTCAGCAGTGTACTTCGGTCCTTCTGCCTGCTCTGCTCCCTGCTCTGGCTCTGGTGAATTCTCTCACCCTCCCGTGCTTCTGACTGTACCCAGTGCATGTATAAACGAACAAACAAACAAATAAATAAATAAATAAAACATGCCTCTATTTAAAAAAAAAAAAAAAAAGAACTCACTGTCTAAAGTTTTCCTGTTTTGGCTATTTCACTGTGTGTCAAATAGAGACTGAAGCTCAATCCCAGTTGTTTTACACTTTGGTGAATACATAGAGAACTTGGGGGCACTGAGGATCTGAAGTGAGGAAGAGGCTCAGGGTGTGACTCATGGAGGAGGGACATATGCTGTCGGGGTGACAGAATAGGGAGAATGGACAAGGGAAGGTGGACCCAGGTCCTCAGGAGATAAGAAGAGGGGCTGCTGACAGGGTATAAGAGACTGACGGTGTGGACTTGAATGGAAAAAGAGTCAGCTCATCACGGTAAAAGAAAGTTTTACTTTTTGACTTCCCCTCCAAGCTGAGAAAGCTGCTCCTGTTTTTTATCTGTTGGCAGCTATTCTGTGCAATGGAAAGCTCAGAGCAGAACTGTGGCCAGCTTCCTTATGGGCCTTACCAAAGCACTGTACAGTTGCTGTCCATGTTTGTTCTAAGTGGCTGAGGGGAGAGGTGGGCAAATACAACACAGGCTGTTTGCAAAGGTAGAGGCCAGTGTCTGAAACAGCCAGGAAGGCAATGATGAGGGTTGGGGGGTGGCATGCAGAGTCTGAAGAGCCCCCCAGGTGTGTCCTGTGGGGTATGAACATAGGATGTGTTTCAGCAATGAGATAGCAGGAGCAGGGACAAACCTTACAGCCACTGTCCAGAGCACAAGCAGCAGATCCATACCAGGGCTGGCCACGCAGTGCCTTTCAAGTCTTTCTGGGGCCTGGAAACTTCCAGTTTGGTCTAGTTTAGTCTGTGGGAATGCATTTGTGGAAATTCTTGAGGCTGTATTAAAAATTGTGTATATAAAATATATCTCATGGAAAAAAAATAGGAGTTAGACTTAGGCTGAAGGGCAAGTGGGGGCCCCGGGAGGGTTTTGAGCAAAGGAAGGACCCGATCAGATCTGGATGGTAGAAGAGTCCTCAGGGATCATGTGGGGGTGCTTGGAAGTGGCAGGGGGAGGGAGAGGCCAGAGCCTGACCCAGGGCCTCAGCTTCTAACTGGCAGTCTAACTCTAGTAAACCCCCACTCTAGCTTCCCATAGGAGTGTCGGCAGAACAGAAGCAGGAGAGGGAAGTAGTTGGAATCCCCGAGAGACTGAGCCCCCTCGATACACTTCCCCAGGACAGAGCTTGATGCCTGCAGACCTTGGCTCAAGACCTTCAGGCAGAGCTGATTCTGCAGAAAAAGTGCAAAACTGCCAAAAAGTAGTTTCAGGCCCTGCACCCCACAGCAGAGAATGGAGCAGACCCAAGATAATCTAGAGCAGATCTCGCACGTGTTCTCTCAGTTTCTTCATCAAAAGTCCCTTCTAACCAGTTCCTGCCTTGTCTTGGCGGAAACCCACATGTGGAGGTGAGGTGCTTCAGGCCCCACCAAACAGGTGTTTGTTCAGTGCTATTTCTGAGGTCCTTGACATTGAAGACACAAGAGGGAACAAAAATGAAAGTAGGGTGGCATGATCTCTGAGCGTCTGAATGTGCTGGGTGCTGGGTGTGTGGAACGAGGCTGCCTGTGTCAAATTCTAGCTCCCTCAACTCTTGACTGTGACTTTGGGCAGATTCCTTAATCTCACTATGCCTCAGTTTCCTCATTTGTAAAACAGGATGAGCTGTCACCCCTTGTCCTTGTGTAGAGTTTTTGTGAGGTCATTTGTAGAAAAGGCTTAGCGTGGTGTCTGTGATACAGATTCACAGGACTTGGGTAGCTTCCAAGAGGGCTTCCTGGAGGAGGAGGTGTCAAAGCTGAGGCCTGAAAGAGGAGTGAGAAGGAGTTTACCGGCTGACCATCCTCTTTCTGTTCCTTTTTAGTTCTAGCAGATATAATGGGCATATGTGGGATGGGGTGAGTTCCTGCTGACCTCTTGGTGGGTGAGTTGTCATCTAGGTTCTGGTAAGACCAGAATAGATGGCATAGGATCAGCCATGAGAAAGAGAGGTCCCAGAGGAATGAGATTGTCAGGGCATCCTGCAACACTGCAGGAGGGCTTCCTGCTGGGGGAGGGTGCTGGCAGTGTCTTTGAAGGTCTCATCTAGTTCCTGTCTCCTTTGCTCCCCCAGTGGCTGGCAGCCAGATGAAGGGCAGACGTGGCTGTGGGTAGCGCAGGCCCCAGTTTAGCCATCAGGGCCAGGGCCTGAGACTGGCTGTGAACTTGTAGGGAAGCCCAAAGATAGCTCAGCAGAGGTGGATGACTCGTGGCCTGGTCTTCCCCACAAATCGAGGGAAACGAGAGTGAATCAGCTTCTCAAAGTGGAACGAGGCCACAGTGGGAAGTAAGACCTGGCTTCCAGGCAAGGCACGCAGCCTCTGACTCACCACAGGCAGGACTCAGCAGTGGGACTGGCTGGAGGTGAATCGGGGCCCTGCAGTCTGAGATCTGAGCTTCCAAGCCTGACTCCTTATGAAACCTCAGTTTCTCTCTGTAGGATGGGGTGGATGGGGGTGAGAGTGTTTGTGGTAATTTCTAGAAAGGGAACCCCCAGCTCTGTATACACAGGACTTCCAGAAGTGCCGGCCCCCTTCCCATTTCTTTCTGAGTCCCAGCAACATGAAGCTGGTATTTGGGACAGTGTGGGGATCCGGCCAGCCTCCTGATGGGTGAGCTGTCATCTAGGCTCTGGTAAAGGAAGGTTCTGGTAAAGTTATGCATTGTGTCTGAAAGTCAGTAGCAGTAATAAAATGATTAAGTGTCTCGAGTACTTAATTCTTCCTAAATGCCTGTCTGTGCCACTCCCTATTTCAACCTTCACAGCAGTTCTGTGGGGAGGGGGTACAGTTTTTACAGGCAAGGTAAAATGCTCAGAGAGGTGAAGCCACTTGTACAAAGTCACACAGCCAGTGGATGGCAGGGCCAGGCTTTGGACCACAATCTGTCTGAGTCCAAACCTCTTGCTCTTAGCCTCAGGTGGGGGCAAAGAAGCTGACATTATTGAGCACTGGATGGGCACTTAGGGCTAGGCCTGTTTTATAGCTGAGGAAACTGAGGTCCAGACACAACTAGATGACCTGGCGATGTGGAGTACTGATATTTTGAGAAAGACACAGCACATTCTGGCATTGTTTAATATTTATTACAAAGTATAAGAGCAGAGACTGGTGAGCTGTGCCCCCTCCGTGTCCTCCCCACCAAGAGTCTCTGCAGTTCTGGAAAAATAGTGTTCTCCCGCCAAGGGGTGCCACCTCCTGTCTCATCCCAGATGAGGCCTGGTTCTGTCAGCTCTGCCGTCCAGCGGTAACTGGATAACTGAGGCAGCCCAGAATCCTGGAATCTGGGCCCCCAGTCCCCTCCTCTTCTGGGACCCTAGAGCCTCCACTTGTGGCTGAAAGCTGGAGGTTGTCTCTAGCAGCACAGTGAGGGTGTTTGTGTCGAGGGCATAGGGGGTAGTGTGGCCGTTTTCCCATTTAGGGCCTCAAAGGGACCATGACCTCCAAGGTCCCCTCCAGCAGCCACCAGTGAGTCAACCCATCCCTAAAGAGGGGGCCTCCTCCATTCTCACACTTGAGATGACTTTAGTTCATGGAGCTGGGTCAGGAGTAGCAGGGAGAATGTCCTTGACCTCAGTTCTGGGGAGAGATCCTGGTTCTTCTTCCATGAGTCCTGGGGAGACACAAAAATGAGGGACAGGAAGGCAAGGACCAGAGGGTGAGGAGGACACCAAAGTGAAGACAGACAGAAGCCAGTGGACAGAAGGGGGAAGGAAGAGGGTAGGTGTATTGGGCAGGGTTCGGACGGGCATTTAGACTAAGCCAGTGAGTGGGTCCAGGGACAGGAAGAGAAAGCCCGCAGAAAGAAGGCCAAGAGTATTGTGGGTAAGCACAGGGGAGCAGGAACATCTCCTCCCTTCACCGCCAGTCCAGCCCCAAACCTGGAGTCCTTCCTTTCTTCCACATAGCCAAAGCTGAAGAGAAAGGGCGGCTTGTCCCCAGGCGTCCCCCACCCTCTCAGGTACACAGGGTGCTGACCGCAGGCACCCTTCCTGAAGAATGTTTTTCTACCCAAGTCCCAACCCCCTCACCAGCTACGTGGCCTCCTGGCTGGGATCTGGAAGCTGCTGCGCCCCCAGGGCAGTGCTAAGCAGCTCAGTCAGGGTGTCCAGCTTCCTTGCCAGTGCATCAATACGCTTCTCCAGGGCCCGGTGTGAGCTGCTCAGCCCCAGCTGCAAGTCACACAGGATCATGTGCATCTGGGGAGAGAGAAGGTCGGAGGCTTCAGGGCACTGGGGGAGCCCCCCTCCCTGTCTTACAGACTAAGGCAATGGAACCAACATTTATTAAGTCCTGACAGGCCCTCCAGGATAATCCTCAAAATAAGGCACCATAGCAGCCCAGCGACTTGGTCAGTTAAAATCCTCCTACAAGTTACTGACAGTGAGCATCCTGTTCCATTTTCACAGCTGAGGAAACTGAGGCCCACAGCATTTATGTGACAGGGCTGAGGCAGCACCTAGAATCCACCCAGATCAGAGTAGATGCTGCTGGAGATCCAGGGAATGGACAAAGGTCTGACTTGAGAGTTCACCGGCCCTTCCGCCACCTTCTCAAACTGGGATTCACAGCTCTGCGTCCTCCTGGGTATGCGGGTCCTGAGGTTTCTCTGAGAATTCTTGAATTCTGTCTTTCCGACCCGGTAATCTCAGGAAAGGACACCCTGCCTTTCCAGCAGACTGCCTGCCATGCTGTTTCTGGGGACTGCGTTTACCCTGCCGCTGGTGCCAAGGGCCCCTGTTTGAATTGTCACGGACTAATGAGGAAAAGCAAAGGCCACTGGATAAGTAGCAGGTGCCGTGAGCCAAGCCAA